TTAATGTTTGCTTCTTTTGAATGATGTCTCATGATAAATCTGGCCATTTCCTAGTCTTACCTTGTTTCCCAGCTGTAACTTTACACAATTTATTTTGCCTCCAGATGAAGATTTTTTTTAAATATCAATATTTTCTATATGGAGTTTGTATGTTATGCCAATAACATTTTATTTACCATTCAGTAATTTGAATATTTGGTGTTTTAATGACAAGTTAAATGACAAGGTAAGAATGTATGGCAGTTTTCGTCCTGTATATCCTATTCTTGCTGTGCTGTAATAAGTAACAGTATTTCTTGAGTATTCTTTGTATATTCTTCTCCACAAGGGTTGGCTGTTTGTTTCTAGACCATATACTGCTTATTCAAAAAGGTATTACATCTATTGTGTGGGAAGTGGGAACTGAGAAAAGATTTTAACTTAAAGGTTACAGTGTATTGTTGTTAAGACCAACTCAAAAAGATTATTAGGTCTTCAGATTGAACCTAAGGTCTCTTTTCAATTGTAGTTGTCTCTTTCTAAAACTCCAAGTATAATTAGATTGAACATTACAGGGATAAATAAATACTCGGAGCAAACTTTATAGAGTACACTGTAGAAATAGAGTTGCTTTTATTGGAAATATCTTTTTAAAAAGTAAGTATATTTTTGTAAGTTCACAGTCTTGAATCAACAGTTTATAGTGACAACTGGAATCGTGCTAGAATTTACTATATGTTAGAAAGATTATTTAAGTTGGTAAATGTGATGATGATGTTACGTTATAATTTAAAAAATGTAGACCCATTTTTGGAGCACATGTGATCTTTAATTATTGGAAGCTTGTTTTAGTACATGAATTAATTCTTTTTTTAACACTAATCTCCAAGTAATTTGCTTGCCAGTTCAACACTGTATTATAGGTATATGCATAGCTGTGCATAAATTCTTAAACATGTGAAATGAAAGTCTGATTCAGACTTGAGTAGTATTTATCTTTTTATTGAAAAGGACCAATAAGCCATAAAATGTCTAAATGTCCAGTTTGTGCAATTTTCCATTTATCCTGAAAAATATATATTTGAATGAAGATACTGTGTAAGTTTGGTACACACAACATCTTCAATATTTATTTTCTGCATTATTGTTGTTTGAAATATTAAAAAATTGTGTTTTTATCTCAGATTTGTTAGCTTTTTGATGGTAGATGAATAAATTAATGTATGCTACAAGCTAATGGAAGCATTTTGTTATATTTGGTGTTACAACCATTGTGATCTAGGTTAAGGACTATAATTATGTTACTGTGACTATCAATGAAACATCATCCATACAATCATCTATAAACGGACACATCATCGATACCATGAAGACCTGGCCCTTGTTAATGAAATGGCCATTGCAGCAATCGGGCGATGGAAAAACTTAGTTTAATTTAATTTTAATTAAGGAACTATACATAACTATAAGGAGACACGAACGAATTAACCTATATCTAGCAGTAATAACTTGGGAAGAAATGTGTGAGAGTACCCCTTTGAAAACGGCATCACTTAGACGACCTTTGACCAAGTTAAAGGGATAGTGTTGTCGAATATGATTTTGTTGGTACCAGGGATGTATCCAGGATTCTGTGAAAGAGGAGAGGGGGGGGGGGCACAGTTCCCCCAAAAATCTCTTGCAAGCTAAAACAAAGATGATTTTGAGCATTTCATTTTTGGGGTTTTAAATGTCGGGTGACATTCAAATATAAATTGATTCCTGTTGATGTGCAGGGCTGCATACAATTCATATTTTGTTATTCAAACATCTAAATAGTTATATTTCATAGATTTTTAAATATTTTGATAATGATTTTCTCACACCTGCTAAGCTCTACCCTAAAATAAATGCTCCAGATCTCATTCACCTTGTGACATCATCTGTCATTCATTAGTGAGCTAACAAGAGACAGTGGTATGTAGCTTCAACAGAGCTGACCATATGCTTACAATAGACCATACAATACCAACATATAGTTGCTATGTCAGACGTGCTGTAGCACTACCAGGAAAAGAAAGGTAATGTGGAGGTATTGTATGAAAGAATGCAATTCTAAGTTTGTGAGCATGTGCATTTTTTTAAGGATGGAGCTTAGCAGGTCTGAGAAGAAAAAAAAAAAAAAAAAAAAAAATATTGAAATATATTCACATTTTTTAATGTATGCAGCCCTGCACATCAACAAGAATCAACTTATTTTGGGGTATCATTTGACCTTTAATTGAGGGGGGGGGGCTGGGGAGGGCATAGACTGGATGTGCCCCCACCTTAAATCTACCATTGGTTATGCATCTTGTTAATCCTGAAGGGTTCTTAATCATGTCAAGATATGCTTTATTATCTTGTGGCGAAGTAGTTACAATGACATTGTTACTTCTGATTGTTGCAGATATCTTGCCTTCTTGTGACTGAGTGTATTCCGATGGATGAGATCATGATATGCTTAGCAGTCTTACAGTTTTCGTCCAACTGACGTAATTTGTCAGGTTAAAATGCACCAATAAATCCATTTGCAATTACAGTTACCAGCAAATTTGTGATAGCCGGTAATTGATAGTCTGAATTGAATATATTAATTTAAGAAAATACAGAATTTTATTTAGAGGAGTGCGTTTTTGTTTTGTTTTATTGTTCTTTGGCACCCTTCTTTTTTCTTCTTTTTCTTCTTTTTCTTCTTCTTCTTCTTCTTCTTCTTCTTCTTCTTCTTCTTCTTCTTCTTCTTCTTCTACTTCTTCTTCTTCTTCTTCTTCTTCTTCTTCTTCTTCTTCTACTTCTTCTTCTTTTATTTCTTCTTTTCTTTATTTCTAGACTTATTTTCTTCTTCTCCTTCTTCTTTCCCTTCTCCTCCCTCTTTTTCCTTCACTTTTTGTTATTGCCTTGCCTTTGCCTGTGTATACACTCCTACCAATCTTGTATCGTATTTGTTTAATTACTTTTTGAGTAGATTATACTCCATTTAGTTTTTACCATATTTAATTCAATTTAATTGAACTTAACTGTCATGGAGTAGTTTATCACCCCTCTTTACCCCACCTCTTGTCCACTTTAGGCATGGTTGTACATTTTCACTTTGTTTTGTTCTTTTACTCTTTTAAGTATTTCATCTTTATCTTCCCTTTCTTCTTCTTCTTCTTCTTCTTCTTGACTTCTTCTTCTTCTTCTTCTCTTCTTCTTCTTCTTCTTCTTCTTCTTCTTCTTCTTCTTCTTCTTCATCGTCTCCTTCTTCTTTTCCCTAGTCTTCCTTATCCTCCTATGTGCATTTTTTCTTCCATTATCGCTTTCTACTGCTTTGTTATGTACCTTTCCTCCTCTCAGCCTTTACTGTTCCTCTTTTAATCTCTCCCACTCTTAATTTCAATAACTTACATTGTATTTGCAAACTTTTCTCCTCACTTTTCAGTTCTACTCTCGATATTTTCCACCACATACACTTGCTCCGTTTCCCGATTACTGCTTATTCCAGTCCTTTCTCTTTCACATGATTTCAGTTGCACTATGTTACTTTATGCTAATTCTGATTTCTTTCTAATTTGTATGTTGCAATCAGCTATATTTCTCGTATTTATACTGATTTATTTTTCAGATTCAATATATCATGTTTGAAAAATGTTTGTATGGTGAATACATTTCCCACTGCTTATTTGAACGATGACATGTCCCTTAAACATTCAGTGATCATATACTAGGCGTTGTGGCGTGCGCCTGTAATCCAGCTAAAAAGTGGAAGTTACAAACTGATTCAGCCGAGGACGCAGGTTCGAAACTGAGTCACGTCTTTCGGATGGTGACGTTTAAAGGTCGGTCCCAGACGTAAATAATCATATCTGATTGATACACGTCTGTAAAAACCCAATACACACACACTATGATGATAATAATAATGATGATGAAAGTAATACAGGTGTACTGGTAATAATGTTATTGATGATGATGATTGATGAAAATGATGATAATAATAATAGTATTGAGAAGCCATGAAAAAAAATAATGATAATAAAACAAAAAACAACAAAAACAATAATTATCACGCCAAAATCTAGCCTATACCAGTAACTTTTTTGATAATGTGATTATATCAGCTTCAGTCATTTTGAAAACAAAGAGTTCAAAAAATAATTTCTGCATTGAATTGAGATACGTTGAGAAAAAAATTCTTCACTAGAAATTGTAGATTTCTTTGCTATATTAATTCACATTATAATATTTAATCAAATTGTATGATATGTATAACGCGATCAAGACCGTCATTACACCTGTCTCATTTTGCCTCAAAGTCAAAGGCCTCAATGATCAATCTCATGCAAAAAGAATGTGATCTACTACAAGTTGCATACTTGCGGGCATATCCGTGTGTTTTTGCCTTTTTCGTTTGAAAAACTAAAATGCGATTTATATCAATTCTTCATAATTTTCATCCACCTGTTCCTCCCACCCTTCACTCTTTCCCCCTAGGCTTAAGAAATGGAAGAAAATAAATGAAAAGGATTATGATTAATCAAAGTAAAAAAGAAAGAAAAATACTTCAGCATTAGGGTGATATAATTCTTAGTTTATAAATGATGAGGAAATAACAGAAGAGAGGAAGAAAAGAGGGAGGGGGGGGGGGGGGGGCAGTGTTAAACAACATATCGTATACAACAAAACAGCATCATGGGTGGTTGAGTTTCGGAGAGGGATGCAGTTTCTCCCAAACCATCACGTCGCCAGCCGTAACACATCGGTGCACTTTATTGACCAACACACGGATGTCTAACAAGTCGTCCTTAATATTATTCGGTATTCAGCACATTTCAGATGGACTGCCAACAATCATTTTGATCCCTAATAAGTGCTGCAGGACACGGTACCGTTTGAGTTTTTTTATTTTCAATATAAAAATGTTAACCCTTGTTGTGTAATGTTTATTTTCGAAATAAAATTGTTAGTTAACCATCGTAGTCTGATGGGCCGATATCTTTAATGACGAGCAGGTACAGGACGAGTTGTTTGAAATCCATGTTTGCTGCTGGCGCTTGATCGGCGACAGTATGTAATTAAATGGCTTGCCGCGTACTCTCCTGTAGTTTCTTCTGTGAAAGTCGTCGAAGACTTGGGCGAATTCCACCTCCCTAACACCCAATTTGATGAGCTTCTCCGTCCGAGCTTTATCCTGGACATACTTTTTCTTCGCCGAAGTGTTATTTTAGTCTGATATGTTTTACATTCACGCGGATTTACAGTTTCGTAAACCATTGTTGTCATTGTCCCGATTCTGTAAACTGTGCAGCAGTTGCTTGCAGCGTTAGCTGAGCTGAGCCCGCGCCCGAGTTGAAGAGTGGAGTGGAGGCTGAGCAGTGGGGCAAACACTGAGGTGAGAGATACTATTGATATGTATATAATGATGTATTTGTACAAATAGGGTGTCATGCATTGTAGATGTTTTATGATCCATGTCTGTCATAAAAATCAATAATTGGTCAAGTAGCATGAGCAGTAAATTGTTGACATTGTAAATTGTACGTGTCATCACTAGACAAAACGGGCAGGGCTCAAAATTTTGGTCCAGAGGGGCTCTTCCAAAAAAAAAAGAGCCCTGTTGAGCCTTCTCATGGATGGGGGCTCTTTTTTTAATACAAATTTCCATCGCATTGGACAATTGGTACCCATGATACTCGGCTATTTCATCATTGTCATTTATTTACCAGTAAGTCAGCATTTCCCATCTTTACAACTAAGCTACAATGTACGTAGTCTAGGGGTTCATCCAGTAATGACATTCTCTTCATTTCTTCCCGTTCTGCACATTCCTCCTCATCATTCAGAGCAACCTTATTACATTCTTTCTTTAGACTTTACAATATCCATCCACGACATATCTTTGGTCTTCCTCTTCTTCTCAATATTGATTTACTGGTCGAGGTTCATTATGTATTTGCTGGTCTTTTGGGATCACCAGATTTCAGAGGATTCACGCTTTTCACAACGAAAATGTTTTGGTCCTTGCGCGATCGCTTCTAGCCCCAGCAGATATGGGGCGGCAGCTTGCACACTGGTACTACCTGCGCGGTATAGCCGCTGCTGACAGTCGCACTGCAAGCTAGTGTTTGTATTGGTTGGGAGATATAGTGCCAACTTTCAAGCGTACATTTATTTACAACATGGCGGCCTCCGATCGAGACAGAAAACTCCATAGTTCCATTTCATTGGTTTAAGCCTAAGCCCTAAGGTTGGAAAGTTGAAACTCAATATTGTGGGAAAAGTTATAACAGAAAAGATAATCTTTACTTCATGATTCCATGGGGCGATTTTTAATTTTGCAATTGCCCCCGTGATTGAGATTCATATTGGATCATGCTTTTTGACTTCCTATTCTTCCTCTGCTTTTACCAGAGATAAACAGCTGTAAAAAAAAAGTATGAATTATTTTCATGTTGTAGATCCATCGTGGTGTATTTGATAATTTTATTTTAAGGTTTACAAACTTTGAGCTCTTTTGATTGTTGATTTAAAAAAAAGTAGATACTGTACAATTTGCATCAATTCATAGTTTACTCAGAAGTTAAAATTTGAAGTTTTCTGATATACATGTACATGTATGTACATGTAGATGTCTATAGTATGTTCAATTCATTTTTTAATTTGTTAATGGCTCTATGCAGTATTAGTGAGTTTCTTGTGTAGACCAGTAATTAATTTACAAGTTAGGAACACAATAATACTGTGCTTTTACACAACATCTTTCTTATGAATTTAGAATACCACTTGGTTGTCAAAAAGATACACTGTAAAATGGCAAAAGGTTTTATATTAAAAGCAGTTGTTATCAAAATGATTATAGTTATACAAACATATTATGTTCTCAATTTTCAAAAAAACTGAAAAATCTATAACATGTATAAATATCAGATATCTCATTCTTTTTTGTATTGTAGAAATATTGTTATTATTAAGTTTTGGAAATAGAAACTGTAATTTTGTAACGATGATTGCAAATTTGAAGACCCTTTGTGTTATTTTTCTTTTTGTACTTTTTGACATTACAATTTTTTTTTTCTTCTCTCTTTCTTTTTTTTTTTTTTTCCTTCTTCATCCTTTAAGAGATCTACATTTCAGAACCATTTTGTGTTCCTATCTGTCAGCAAAATATGTTCTACATGAATATTGTATACATCTCCTCCCATTGAAAATGTTTATACTTATAGAAATGTATTCTCTTTCCTGTGTACCAGAGTTAATGTAGATGAGTTTAAAAAGACTATAATACAAACTAGCAGGACCCGCGGAAATCCGCGGGATCCTAGAGGGGGGCGGGGGGTGTAAATAGATAGAGACTGTCTAAATTAAAACCACCAAGAACTTTATTTGCCATTCAGGCCATTAAGAAATATACATGTTAAGCGTCCCCGCCCGCTTCCTTTTTGGGGGCCGCCTCCTATTTTTTTTTTTGAAATTTTTTGAAAAGTTTTTTTTTTTTTGAAAGAAAAAAAAACAGCGTCCCCGCCTGCTTCCTTTTTGGGGGCCGCCTCCTATTTTTTTTATTTTTTTTTTATTTATTTATTTTTTTTTGAAAGAAAAAAAACATGAAAAGCACTGCTAAAATGTATTTCTGATTTTAAAAAAGAAAAAAAAAAAATTGTCGGCCGCCATCTTGAAAAATAGCCTGAATGTCAGGAAAAATGTACGGAGCGGCCATTTTGAAAGAAAATAAAAAGAAAAAAAAAGGGCCTCCTCCTTCCCATTTTTCGAAAAAACAGGAAGCTAAACATGTTTTTTTTTTAATTTGGCCTTATATAAAAATTAAAAAAACGATCCAACTGTACCGGTAGTTATTCTTTAAGCCACTGGAACTGCGTAGAGTTCCGTAGTGTGGCGTACCGACTACGCAGAAATTAGGCTGCGTATTAATGGGGAAATAGTCCCTGCGTAGGTTATGCGTAGGCTGGCGAAAAAAATTAAACAGGTTGAATTGTTTTCGTTCATCTTGCGTACCCCTTTCCGTCCCTCAGCATATAGTAACGTAGGCCAGCGTAGTTGTTACTCAACACTACGCAACTCTACGTATTGACCCCACGCCAATTAGTGACCCGCAAGTGTCACAAATAAAGTATTAAAAATATGCTCATCTGACCCTATACGCCTAAAACCCCCGAGTTTTCGGGGTTTTATGGCCCCTTGAAACCCGTGGACCCCACGCCTATATTATATATACACTCAACTCGCTGCGATCTGATCTCCCCCCCCCCCCCCAACTTTGAAAACGTAACCCCCGAGCTTTTGGGGGTTTATGGCCCCTTGAAACCCGTAGACCCCACGCCTATATTATATATAGTCTACACTCAACTCAGGACCCGCGGAAATCTGCGGGATTCTAGAGGGGGTGCGCAGGCAAAAAATTAAGTTTTTCATTTCGGGGGCTCCATTTCAAATTTTAGGGAAATTTTCGGGGGCTCTTTTTTCTGGGGCTACTTTTTCATTAATTCATATAAGGATAGGCCTACACTTTGTTGAGATTTGTTTAGTAGGCTATTAGGTTTCAGGCTTCCTACTTCATAATTGCCTATTTAAAAAAACAAAACATTTTTCTAGTTCAATAACTAAGTTTTCATGCATTGATTTGATGCAAGAACTGTAACATAATAGACCCTAGATTGTGATTATTTCTGACCATGAATTTCGATAATCATTTTTCAAAGTAAAACTTTCACAGGAAAATCAAACAGTCTTTTAAAAACGTAGACATTAGAGTCTAGTAATACTTTTACTAATTCTAAGCTCAGGTTTCGTAAATCTATTCACGAAACTATATTGAAATCGCGGCAAAAATGATGCAAACCAACAGATAACAATTTCAAAGTGTCAAATCTCTTCGACTCGAATTCAACTCACACACTTTCAACTGCAACTCAGCTCATCTCACACACACTACACAGTGGCAATGCACTGTCAGTTACGGTGATTTTGTCTGATTTTCTTTACTTTGAAGAAATGATTATCAAAATTACGTAAACATGGCGAGAACATCACAAAATAGGCTTTAATTTCATACCTCTATTTATGGAAACTTTATAATATTGCAGCAATCGTGAATTCGTGATGGAAATTGATTGCAGTTTCGCGATGTTTAGTGGTTCATGGTCTAGATTCAGCTTCTACCGAAACAAAATCGACCGCCAAAAACTCGAGCCCTACGCTCCGTCTCGATCTCGCAACTGCGAAAATGTACGTGTTTTGGCGCACTTGCGTGCGACATGGTAAGCCAGGTAAGGTATGGAATATGGTTCGAGTTTTTTTTACGACCGATTTTTGTCATCGGTCGTGTGTCTACGGATGTAATGTTGAATATCCATGAGGTATCTCTGTCGTCACGCATATCCTGCATTATGCATATCGCGTCTGTTTTCGCCCTGGACGTCGACACGGAGGAGGACCTCTGGCGGAGTATAGCCAATTCCACAGAGTAGACTCTCCCGCGGACGATGGCACCGGGCACGGGTACCCCGAGGGGAGGGTTCAGGAGGAGATAGCCGCACCAACTTGGGTCGGCGATCTCATTAAAAAACAATAGAATACAAAGGCTCGCGGAGACGTCGTGCCCCCCGCGGAGCCTTAGCGTATTATTATTATAGATTCTGTATGCCTTTTGCATGAAATGCTTGAAAGGTTGAATCTTTAAATAGGGCATGATTGCTTGATCATAATCTGCAGTCCCTAGACTTACATCTCCTTTATATCATTCTTTTCAACAAACATACAGAAACTTCCTAGACAGATGTCTTGATTCATGGTGTGACAGAGAAAACCATCAGGATTCATTTTGGGGTTGCAGAAGAACTAACAATTTCAGACCGGATTTGAGGTGACCATAGTGTCATCACCGTCGTCAAGCTGGCGTACACAATGGGAACCATGGCTGGGGCACCAACGAGTGCCGATGCCTGTCTTAGTATCGTACACAGCCTCATGTGCCATCGGCAGGGGGGAGAGTCGGAATCATTTGCAAAGAGAGCCATCGAAAGTTTGGTGAAAAAACTGAAAGAAAAGAGAGATGAGCTGGACAGCCTCATCACAGCCATTACAACAAACGGTGCACATCCCAGCAAATGTGTTACAATACAAAGGACATTGGATGGCAGGTTACAGGTAGGTTCACCACTCCTTTCCTCACTTTGATTTAATTGACTTGGTATTGAAATATCAATGATTCAATATCAGAAGTCTGCAATCAACATATAGTATAGACATTTGAAGGGTTTGTTTTTTCTTGTAATCACTATGTTTAGTATACATGAGCATCTTAATTTTAAAGTACTTTCACGATGCAATTGGCAATTAACAAATTGCAATTATGAAAGATGAATAACATGGCAAATTTAATAAATAAATAGAATGAGTTGCTCATGCAATATCAGTAGACATGTGCGAACTGTAATTTTGTAACAGAAATTTGAATTACATGTACATTAGATGTTCAGATGATCTGTAGATTCTCACAATAGTACTTACTTAATCTTCCACATTTCCTGGGTATGAAATATAACTTGCACTGTTGCATTATGTAGGGGAAGGAGAATCAGATAATGATTATTTGAAGAACCTGTCCTGTGTTTACGATAAAGTTTAATTATTATTAAAACTGTTTATGTTGGGGCCTGTTTGTCATGATGTATTTAAAAATGCTTTAAAAATTACACTGTTATTTCTGGTTTGATTTAACAAAAAATGATTCTTAAAAAATCTTACCAAATCTACACAGACTGTTGAAATATATATGCAAACTTCATATTGAAAATGTATCTTAGTTTAGTTAGTAAAGAGCAAAGAATAATGAGGCTGTTTGTTGTAAAAATAGATGATATACATGTAAACTGTAGTATTTTTTTCCCATTGAAATTTGAATTTCAGTAATTTCATTATTTTTAATTTTGCTGATTTTAACAATGTATTTTACTGCATAGTAAACTATTATTCATAATATTACCTACACGTATACATTTATACATAGACACTTTAGACATACCTATACCTACAGGTACACGTATACATTTATACATAGACACTTTAGACAGCTCTCTCTTTCTCTGAACTACCTTTTACAAGATTACAAATATTTTTTCTTCTTGGAAGGGGTGCTTTTTTCCGCCTCTAATTGGAGACATGTGATAACCTTTATATTAGAAATGGCGTGAGGTGAAAAAATGTTCTTATTGCCTCAGATGTATATCGCCGGGGGAGGGTTATTTCAAAGGTAACTGGTTTGTATTTCCCCCCAGGAAGGAACAGTTCTCCTTTGCAGGCTGTATAGAAAGTGAAACCTGTCTGTAAAGTCGACTTACAGCTGTACCTGGATATTGCATATTAGAGGGTTTCCTCTCAAGAGTGTGCATGTCACACACTTGCTGCCAATATGTTTCCCTTTCTATCAACAAACTAACCCATTTCTTATCAACCCCCTGTCCACACACAACATTTTCCGTGATTAGCTATACCGTTTCGCGATAGTGATACCGTTTCACGATAGTTTTACAATGAAATTGTGTGTGTGGACGCTCACTAACAATACGTCGTATAACGAAACTAGTCTAACGAAACGCAGGTTTGGGCATCAAAGAATCACGCCTAATCACGAAAAATGTTGTGTGTGGACAGGGGGAGTGTAACTAGTGTAACTAACTGGGCGGGGCTTAACGTGACCTCGAGCGAAAGGAGACCAGACTGTAGAGTTTCAGGATTACTTTCTGCTGTTTATGGACATCCTTGAATTTATACGATGATTATTTATATGACGTTTCTTGTGTGTGGACACTTTGAAATTTATACTATGATTCTTTATACGACGTTTCGTTATAGAGTTTCGGGATAAATTGTTTTGTGTGTGGACACGCTGAAAGTCCCATGTGCCTAGACTGTCAGCTACATGTAGGTCATTTTTGAATTTGTGCAATAATTTTTAAAAAGGGTGGGGGGGGGGGGAATATTTTTAATAAGCTTCACAAATTTACTTCTCTCTTTCCTTTTTAAGGTCATTAATTTCAAGATCATTAATTGTTGTCCTTCCTGTGGCTTTGTTACCAGTAATACCATTTTCCAGAAATAATTGTATTATTTTATGATTATTTGATATTACCGTAGTTGTTTAGTAAGTTAGAATCAGTAATTAATATGAAGATTGCTAAAAGTATTAATTTCTTATAATCTTGTATGTATTTATAATTCATAAACTTAATTGTATGAGTCTCCGAACTTTTTAGTCAGCATAGTTTTTATTTGTAATAAACCAGAATTGAATTGAATTTAACAGTGATTTCAATTGATATACATGTAGATTCAGTTTCTGTTTTTACTACAAGTCATAATGTGTGAAGTTATAAAATATAGTACATGTACAAGATCTGCATAAGGCCCTTGGTCATGAGTCATGATTCATTTCTTGATTTTTAAGAGAAGATTATTCTGCTAATATAATTTTCTTGACTACCGGTATCACAAGAAATGGCAACATTTTAAAGAAATACGTATCTCACATTCTGGCACAGAATCTGCATTGTTTTTCTGCCCATTGTTTTCCTGCCTGACAGGTTTTTCTTATCATAATGAATTGGAGTGAATTATGTGGTCTCGGTAGATAATGAGTCATCATGGTTATAGTGTGGGTATCAAGTAACTTCTAATGCTGAGCTGCGTTTTGGCATGCTTCCCCCAAATGATAAAAAAGAAATCAATGATTCTCCCGGGATTATCAAATGATATTAGCAAGTGGCTAGCCCTGGGCATGTTTGCATGATTTAATCTGTGCATCTCATTTAATATCATCCAAGATGACTTTAATACATCCATGAGCAGTACATTGTGCATACATATAGTTAACTGGAAATATATTCTTCTTACAAAATTTTGCAGCGTACAACATACATTTCACACGTACATGTAGGCCTATACATACTGTACATGTAAATATGCAGTTTATAGATGATTCATGTACCGGTACATTGTAATTGTATGAATGTAAATGTACCTGTAGATGAGTTTGATATTTTTATCCCCAGGAATTATGATAATACATGTAGCTACTTCTTTGTGAGTTACGTACATGTATGTGTATAATTTTCAACATCAACACAGCTAAAGTGGTGGTGTATAAATATGTAATTAACCCACCCTCAGGGCTACTATGAATCATACATACAGTGTATGGGGAAATCTCTTTATAAGCCTGTGAATTAGCTGAGATATGTGGACTCTAGTCTAAAGGCCAAACGTCGTGGTCATTTCTGTTCTCTAATTCTTTTCAGAAAATCATATTTTTGATTTAAAGATTTACTTGGTACAAGAATGATCCTGTTTTTTTTCCTTTTGTACACAATTAACAATGTATGTGTACTCGTATTTGACCATGATACTAGAGATGATTTTGATTTACTTCATTTTTATAATTCTTTTACTTTCTTAAATAATTTTTCATGCATTAGATGATTATGATTTACTTCAATTATTCTTCTTTTACTTTCCTATAAAATTACCTTTTAATTCTATAAATATTTTCTTACCTAATTTTCCATTGATAAGATAATTATTTTATAGTTTAATTTATAATTCTTTTACTTTTGTACCTGTATAGTGTTTATAATTTTTCATGGATGAGATAATTATCATTTAATTTATTTCATTATTTTTGTAATAGGTTGCTGGGAGAAAGGGTTTTCCACATGTGATCTATGCCAGGATATGGAGATGGCCAGACTTGCACAAAAATGAACTAAAGCACCTGAAATTTTGCCAGTATGCATTTGATCTCAAATGTGACAGCGTGTGTGTAAATGCATATCACTATGAGCGAATTGTGTCACCTGGTATTGGTAAGTGTATTTAATGAAATGTTATTAAAGATATGAGCATTGTTAAAGTGGAGATTGATAGTAATATTTTTAATTTTGTTTTCAATGAAAATAATTCAAAGGAAGGAGGACATATCTAAATTACAAAGTGTAAGTTTCTTGTTGTTCATTGAAGCATGTCAAGAATTTCTATAGATCGTATTGGGATTATGAGCATTTTTATAAACATTATTTTTTAAAGAAAAAATAAAGGTGCCCTTGAAATTGAAAAACAAAGAAACAAACTTTGGGGGCTTAATCCCAGCTTGGCGGCCTTCCAACTGCTCATAACATTCTTCTAGATGGTTTGCTAAGATTTCCATTTGACATTTATGATTCAGTAGTTGTTGGACATAACTTGGAAATAAATGTCTCTTATTCCATGAATATGTCACAAAGCATCCTGTTTTGAGGATTTCTTTCCTTTTCTTCTCCTTGTGTTTAACCATGCTTTCATCTTTTTCTTCTTCTTATGTTTCATGCATTTCTTCTTTAAAGGGAAAGTATGCAATGCTTCAAAGTCACACTGTTTGTAATTTGTTTGAATGACATGGCGTATGTGTATATTCATATTGGTTTAAATTGTGGGTGGTGGCCAGATAATAAGCTACATGTTGGAACAAAATTTAAAACAAAAATTGTAGATGTTTATATTACAAATTTTATCCTAGTTTCTATGAATGTCAACTAGAGCTAGAAAAGAAGGCAAAACCTAATGGTAATGCCTGGAATCTTTCAAAAATATTTTTCTTCAACAAGATATTTTCAATATGGAGTTGAACCAAAGGAGGAAGAAAATAAGAAAGGTGTTAATAGTTGCTTCAGGATGCAGGTCATTTGTGTAGGAATGTTCTTTCAACTTGTCTATTTTTAAAATCCTTAACACACATAACACTGTACATACAATACATGATACATATATTCATGTACAGTGTATGTCTTTAAGTTCTAGTGCTCTACTGTCTTTAACTAACTAACTACTTGGAGAGGTCTTCCTTCCTTTCTCCCCCATCCCTACTTGTTTTACAATCTTATCTCCTCTTTTCTTTTGTAGATCTGACTGGGCTCACATTACAACACACAGGTGAGACCGTGAGAGGTGTACAAATGTGCAACAACGTTTGTGTTGCATTGCTCATCTTTTATGAAAAGAAAACATATTATTTATATAATATGGACTGGCCTTGAGGGAGATACCACATAATATTTCCCAAACTAGACTCATATTGCCCCGAGTCAAAGAGGGCAAGATATGTGGTATCTCCCAAAAGTTAAGCCGGTCAATATTGTAATTATTATCCAAATCAGACATCTAGAGCAAATTCATGTACATACATGACAATCTCATAGAACTGAAAAAAACTTTGTCAAACCAGCACTGTGCATCCAGCTACTTGACAAAATTTTTGATATACTGCAAACAGTGTACCTAATTTGGTGTGATTATTACGTCACAATAGAGTGCGCGCAAAGTGCTCAGGTTTTCGTACGGATAATAGATGCGCAATGAAAATGACACAATACGGCGCGGTGAATATGAGACTTTATTTCCTGCTTTTTTAACACGTAACGTCCATAGGCTTTTTCACGAGATATGAATAATATGGTCTCATATTTACTGACTAGCTCTTTTAGGATTACAACAAGTGTAATATGATTTTGTAAAACCACTGCTGAGATGTCTGATACGGGTAATAATTTCTAATATATAAGGCTTCCAAGTGGTACATTAAATCAGCGTATTTTAATATTTTAGCACAGTACCCGGATGACAGATCAATATATTATTATATTTAAACTGTCGATACAATATTGCTTGATTATCGAATTTGTTATTTCGCTAGTCAGCCTGATATAGATAATAATAATATTGTATGGCTTTGTTTTCGTGTGATACAAGAATAAGAAAATATTGTTTTTGCTATGACAATATATCCTTGCATCACAATCAAAGCCATCCAATGGTATATAAATATTTACAGATTTGTGTTGCGATGTTAGTCACACTGGCACAGGCCAGTACTGGTATGACAATGGGATGATGGTAACTTGGCCATCTGCTGGTATTATTATCACATGTTTCATAATATTTGGTGCTTGGTTGCTAAGTTACAAGGGTACAACAACACCTACAATGTACATGTATTGTAGCTGTAAAGAATAGATGTACGCTCTACTGAAGTACATGTAGTAAGTTCAGGAGCTCTACATACATTACTAGTTATGAAGTTTTAAAAGGGGTGAAAATTAGTCACCTTTGAAGAGACCACTCTGATGCAAGACCAGTGTCATACTAGGGGAAGCCTAGTATTTGTCTATTTACTCACTGGTACAAATATTTTTATCCAGCCTCACAAAAAAAAAACTGAACATTCAAGTGAAATTGACATTGTCATATTGTGTGGTTATAGAATAAACGTTGGGAGAATATTAAGAGAGAGAGAGAGAGAAAAAAAAATGGAAAGGAAATTGGAACTTCTTTTGTGCAAGCTAGGGTACACGATCTTCCTTTTAAATGTGACATTGGACTAACTGAATAATATACTTGGATATCTTGATAACTGATTATGAAAACTTTCTATTGTATTCAGATTTTGTTCTCTCTCTTTTAGCAATATTATGGGTTTATAAAATTGTCATTGTGGGTTATTGTACGGTGCAAAATCGATCAGGTCATTGATGTTCCAGTATTGCTATGTTTTGTGTATTCCAGATGTATTTCTTTAGTGATATTGAATGTATAATTGAAAATTGGAAATTATTGGTAAATGCTTACTCTTGTTTTGCGTTTACATCGATACAATTACCCCCTGGACAATCACCCTCAGATAATTATCCCCTGGCAAACTACCCCCAAGGACAATAACCCCCTGGAAAATTACCCCCCAGAAGGCAGCCACTACCGAGGACAATTACAACCCTGAAAATTACCCCCTAGGTCAAGTACCCTCCAAGGACAATAACCCCCCCCCCCCCTCCCCTGAAAATTACCCCCCCCCCCCTGCTCATTAAAGGGGAAGTCCACCCTGATAATGATGTTTTTTTTTCATGGGGTAATTGTCCTCAGGGGTAGAGGGGTGGGTTCATTGTCCTTGGGTGTAATTTTCAGAGGGGTAATTGTCCTCTGGGGTGGTTGTCCTCGGAGGTAATTGTCCTAGAACCCTCGTTTGGTCTTACAGCCGGTCCTCCACGTGTGGTTAAAGACGAGTTTGGTGGAGAATGTATTCAGGTGGAGCAGAACATATCACACCCTCCTGGCATGAGCAATGGAGGACTACAGAACATCGGGCACCCCGCTGTACCCCTTGGCCCACCCCACGGTCCTCCCCATGGACCACCACACCCATCATCCCATGGTGCACCTGGGCCTTCCGCAGCCGGGCTGAATGACTTCAACCGTATGCTGGCACATCAACAAGCTACCGGTAATCATATCAAACACAATCTGTATATTGCCATAAACAAAACAAAAATCCAGTTATTCTTATGGACGAATACTAGGGCTGGTACTAAAGACCGGGTACCCGGTGCCCACCCGAGAACCTCGGTCCTGGATTAAAAGATTAGATACCAATTTTCCAAAGCTAGATGACAATGACAATGAAAAATATGTCGCTTGACGTTTTTTAGCTTTCAAATAAATCAACAAATGCATACCTTGGCTCAGATCAGTGTATTCTCCCATTTGACATTATTTTCATCCATGTTTGGCAATGTTTTTATCATGCCTCTAAAGGTCAAAATCTGGTGTAAAAGTAGAAAGAGAACATGTGAGCCGCCATTTTGATTCATGAAAGATACCTCAAAATTCCCAGCCCCAATGAATACAACAACAACAACAAAGAAAATATTAGTCATATTCATTTCTTTTACCTATTACATAATGAAATTGTCCATGAAGCAATCTTCAAACCTATTGTAGTGCACTCTACATTATACAAGACTGCACAATCGCCCTTCCTAATTGTATTTTTCATACTGTAAGTGTGGCTCGACACTGATTTTTTCCTGGTAGTCTGGATTACAATTAGAAGAGCTTGTATGCTGGTATATGTATGGTCTGTATGCATGGACCTCCTGTTACAATTTGAAATTTGGGGTCCAGAGTTAAAATTTGGGGGCCCATGTGCAATGAAGGCCTGTAAATGTTAAATCCATTATAATGTTTGTGATGAAGGTTAAGCCTAAAAAAAAAGATCTTGGCGCTATATAAATCTTGTGTATTATTATTATCTTGAAATCTATGGTCGGTTTTTAATTCATTATTTTTTTAAAACCGTATTTTAGAGAGAAAAGAATATTGAATCATTAAAAACTGAGAAAGAATCAGCCCAAAAAGGGAGATAAAAAAGAAAAAGTTAAAAAAGGAAAAAATAATTCCAACCGACCGACCCATGTTTTGGCACCTTAAGGGCAATACAACACATTTTTTTGTTAGGCCTCGTAATAGTGCATTTATTTCCAGTGAAGGCCTATTAATGTTAAATCCATTATAATGTTTGTAATGAAGGTTGTAATAGTGCACTTATTTCTAGTGATCAGCAGATCGAAAATTGTATCTTCATATTTTGACTTTCTACCCAATTTGTTTTGACAGGTCAAGTTCCTCCGCCCGTCTCCATGCCCCCACATTCCATGGGTATGCCTTCCATTCCCTTACCAGCCCATCAGCAGCCGCCCCCCTTCTCTGCTCCCGGTCCCTCTCAAGTCCTCTCTTCACCCCCAGCTCCTGCTCCGCCGGCCCTCTCTGCTCCCCCTCCGGCCCAGCCTCCTCCTGTCATGCACACCAGTCATCCATCTGTTGTTCCACAAGGTAAGATTTATGCTCTTTGATTGTCATGTTTATTTTCTCTTCATCTGAAGCCTTATCAATTTCTCTTTGTTTAAAGCCCCACTGTCCTACTTGTAGCTACTTGCTCCCTCTATATAGAAAACTTCCCCAATCGGTGCCTGTTGGTCCCCATGATCCTCTTTTTCTTATGTTAGTTGAGAGCTGAGTTAATGAGATAGCCACCTGTCAGTGACCTTGCTGTGTGGTCTATTCCCTTCTGGCCCAGTAGTGTTGACGGTCTTTAAAGGGATTGGGTATCTTTCCCTCAGATTCTAAACAAAACCCTGGATTTAGTTCATGCTGCAATCATAATTATAAACCTTTAGGTCAGTCAGGAATCCCATAACTTTTACAAGCCGATAGCCTGTCTGGTTATCAAGATATTTATGATTGGTAATCAAAATTTCATTTGGGGTTTTTCCTAACGTATTTTTATAACACTACAGTCTATTGGGGTAAATGAGTATGGTAAAACCAGTCACTCAAAGATTTTAACTATTTTGAGGCACTTCAGCTAATACCGGTAGTACAATTACTACAAAGAATAAAGGGTCACAGATTTAATGGGTAAATCTTATACTCACACCGGGCATGCTAACAAGATGCTCAAACATCAATTTTTGATTTTCTTTTTTTTAGAATTTCACACCACAAGATTTTCAATGAAGATACTCCTACTTGTATCCCAACATTATTTTGAACTTTGTGTATTTGATCAGGTGCTCCTCTGGCTCCAGGTCCTAGTTCATCCGGTGGTCCAGGTCCGTCAGGAGGTCCCCCGCCTCCATCTCAACAAGCCCCCAGTCAAGGAGGACCACCATCAGCACCTCCCATGCAGCAACAGACCTCTCAGGGTCCCACATCACCTGTACCAAACATGACCTCTTCATCCTTCCAAAGAAGTGAGCGAACAAAACAAGATTGAATTTTGAAATGAATTGATTTTAAATAAATGTTGTGTATATATATTTGTATAGGGTACTTGTAAATGCCTGGCTTTGGTCAAGACTTCTCTTTGTAGATTCTTTGGTCAGAATTCACAAAGGGGATGTACCTTAACCCATGGTTTAAACAACCATGGGCATATTATTAAGTTGGCCCCCGTCTTATAAAGAGTTGCGATCGATCCAAATCAATCGCAAGTCCTCTAATCCAAGTTTGCTGTCTCTTATCTGTTATGTTCATAGTTGCAATTGATATCAATCGCAAATAAGTTGAGATTAATCCCAACTGTTATAAGATGGGGCCTTGGTACTCAAGTGAACCGGGAACACAGACTTAGAAACTGTGACTATTTTGGGGGAGCAGGGAAGTTTGAACCACGGCTAGATGTGGTTGTAACCTAGATCAGTCAATGTGGAATGTTGCCCTTAGAACCAGTGTGAAGGATTTAAGATGTAAACTCTTTAACATGTATCTTTTTAACTCATCGAAAATGAGGGAACATATAGAAAAGTAATAACTGCTTGTAGCGTTGATATATGATAAGTAAATTAAGAAACATGTTTTTTTTTGTCTTTTTTGCGCTGCTGTTATTTGTCAACTCTTTTATGGTTGGAAGTTTGACTCTCCATCCCATTACATTAACAATTGTGATTAATATCCTTGATAATGTATCCTTCCCAATGTCTGGTTCACTACCTGTCTATAATTATAGAATTTCTTAATTGTATGCTACTCAGGTAATTCAGAATTGTGGGAAGGAACATATCATTTATTCATGTCATTAAAAAAAATGTGTATATTTTTCAGGTAATTCAGAGTCGTGGGGAGGTGCAGGTTCCAGCGGGAGTACCCTCAACTACCGTCAAGGTGTCAATCCTCAAGGCGTGAGCGGACAGAATCAGTTTCATGGTTACCAGATGCCCAAGGACAATGCAGTGGAACCACCCCTATCAACTCAACCAGGTAGGTTCTTAGAACTACAATCACCTTATCGGAGGGTCATGTGTGACTTTAATACTTCTTTGTGTAGAATATGTTTGTTTTCCTTAGCTTTTCAGGAAGGAATGCAAAGTTTCCTGTCCTGGTAAGATGGTTAAAGGGATCCGGTAACTTTGTCTCAGATTCTGAAACAAAATCCTGGATTTAGTTCATGCTGCAATGATAATTTTAAACCTTTAGGTCAGTCAGGAATCCCATGACTTTTACAAGCCGATTGCCTGTCTGATTGTCAAGATATTTATGATTGGAAATCGAAGCCAAATTTTGTGTTTTCCTAACAGTTTTCATAACACTACAGTCTATTGGGGAAAAGGAGTATGGTAAAACCAGTCACTCAAAGATTTTTACTTTTTTGAGGTACTTCTTGATCATTTTGAAGCGCAATTTTTTCAGGGCTTCAATATTACACCATACCACAGACAATGATAACGCGTAGGGCCATGCATTTCAGATTTAACATTGTTAAACAATGCATTTGTTTGATACTTGTCTATAAATTAAAGCCTGTCAATGTCTAGTTATGTTTTATTTCACTTTATGAAAAGTGAATTATCAATTTATTTTGATGAAACACTCCGAGACGTGTATGATATTGTTTATAAACATGCAGTATGAAGGTATTTCCATCTGCATTAGAGATAAACATCTCATTATTGCTTCCTTATAAGGCTTAAATTTTTGTGCATGATTTGTTTTACCTAGGTCACTGATATTTAGTTACCATGTCTCAACAATAGTCAACTGATATCCACAAATTCATATGATTTTCTGATCTCTGAAGTTTGAAATTTGAGATTCACCTATTGAGTAAGTGTTCCATTCTACGAACTACTTCTTTTTTATTTAGATATGATATTGTGCTTACAGTAATCTTGGTGATACTCAATGGTGTAAGATATGCTTTTGAGTAATAGTCATGTTCTTTTGTTTGTTTACATTTAGCTCCAGAGTATTGGTGTTCAATAGCCTACTTTGAGCTTGACACGCAAGTCGGTGAGATCTTCAAGATTCAGTCCTCGTGTCCCACAGTGAAGGTGGATGGCTATGTGGATCCCTCTAGGATGGACAGGTTTTGCTTAGGACAATTATCCAATGTACATAGAACAGAGAGCAGTGAGAAAGCAAGGTATTTTATCAGATCCTGTTTCATATTTTCAAACTAGCATGCTTTTAGTTAAATTATATATTTGTAGTATGGCAATATTCTTCCCTTACCATGTAGATTTAGGATATTTCAATGTAGGACTTCCAAATCACACAATTCTGTGACAACATACCTCTTTGGAGGAATGATTTAGCTATTTGAACTTTGATTCCAAGAAATCTTTTAGTGAAAATGAAAATAACAAGATACTGTATGGTAATCTGGTCTTCTTATACTCTCTTCTTATCCTAAATTCAAATTTTCAGTTTTGTGTAGGTGGCAGCACCAATTAGGAATTTCCTATCTAGCTGTGTCATCGTTCTCATAAATACTCACTTTTCTCTTTTTTTGTCCAGATCACCTTTGTAATGTATATGATATTGTACAATTATCTTTTGTAATGTATGTTTATTTTGACTATATATCTTTGTGATTTTGTATGTTATTGTATCTAAATGTTTTTTATGATGAATGGAATAAATTTTATTATCTATCTATCTAAGAAGGGCATTAACTTATATACCTTTAACACAGACTTTAAGCTATGCAGGCTCTCAGCAGCTGTCTGTTGGGTTAATAGATTTTGTTCCTCAGACTATTTGGTTCAACTTCGAATCATTCTGTTGTATCATTGGCTGCAACTTGCATACCACAATAAGTATGAAAACCTTTTCTAAACGTTGTAGAGATCCCACTTTTTCCGAAATGAAATTATTTTATATTAATTTACTTTATAATTTCCACTCTTGGTACTTGGTTGGGTAATCCCTTTGGCAGCTCACTCAGGAAACTACAAGGAGTGTCATAAGATATGAATGAAGAAACCATTATATCTCTCTCTCTCTTTCACAGACTTCATATCGGTAAGGGTGTCCAGCTAGAGCTTAAAGGAGAAGGGGATGTCTGGGTAAGATGTCTAAGTGACCATGCTGTCTTCGTTCAGAGCTACTACTTAGACAGGGAAGCCGGCAGAGCACCGGGTGATGCTGTCCATAAGATATATCCTACAGCATATATAAAGGTAATCATTGAAGTGACTCTGTAACATTTCCTCAGATTCTGAAATGAAATCCTGGATTTAGCTCATGCTGAAATCATAATTATAAACCTTTAGGTCAGTCAGGAATCCCATGACTTTTACAAGCTGATTGCCTGTGTGATTATCAAGATATTAATGATTGGAAATCGAAATCAAATTTTGTGTTTCCCTAACAATTTTTATAACACTACAGTCTATTGGAGAAAATGAGTATGGTAAAACTGGTCGCTCAAAGATTTAGGGCTTCAATATTACACCATATCACAGACACTGATAACACCTAGGGCCATGCATCTCAGATTAAACATTGTCAAATGATGCCTTTAAGAGAGTGACCAGGGTTCCAAAGCTTAATCTTAATAGTCCCTGTATAAGATATGAAGGAGGAAATCCAAGCATGGGGTGATCATATGCTGTTCATAAGATATATCCTACAGCATATATCAAGGTAATCACGGCGAGTGTGACCACAGGTCTCAAACTTAGCCATTTGATTAGGTGTGGGTCTTTATGTCTATTCCATTGCCTGGCTTTTGCCTGTCATAATGCTCATCTCACGTTTTAGCAATTTCTTACCAAGTATATCCATTCATAAAGAATTGTTTGATCCTCGATTAGTACTTCATTTTTTTGTTATGATTAGTACTTAATTTGTGTTGTAATGGTCGTACATTGCTTTTAATTCTTGATATACCAGTGATCAAATCCTATCACCAAATTCATATCAATGTGAATTTAGATTAAGAGGTCCATATGGAAAGTATTGCAACTGCACATATAAACAAGGTCATTAACAAATATGTTATAGCGGGACTACACTACTTGTAGCTACTTGCGCCCTCTATATAACAAACAATGCCTAAGCGGTTCCTGTTGGTATCCCATGATCCCCTTTTCTTTATGTTAATTGAGAGCTGATTTGATGAGATAACCACCTGTCAGTTACCACATAGGGAAGTCTAGTCCCTCCTAGCCAAAGTAGTGCAGACAGGCCTTGACACATCATTACCCAAGAAAACTTGAAATTGTTTTAAAAATTTGGATTGGGTAGTTTGTTGTAGAAAATTTCTGATTTGTTTACTTTTTGTGTGTAGGTATTTGATCTGAAGCAGTGTTATGCTCAGATGAAATCCCAAGCAGCCACAGCCCAGGCAGCAGCAGCAGCTCAGGCAGCGGCTGTAGCAGGACACGTTCCTGGCCCATCATCGGTAGGAGGAATAGCACCTGCAGTCCGTAAGTATACCTGCTGAGAATCTTTATTGCCATGCAAGTCAAAAGAGATACCAATGGCTATCTTAAAGCCCTACTGTACTACTTGTAGCTACTTGCTCCCTCAATATAAAAAACAATGCCTAATCGGTGACCATTTGTCCCCCATGATCCTCCTTTCCTTATGTTAATTGAGAGCTGAGTTGATGAGATAGCCACCTGTCAGTGACCACACTGGGTGGTCTAATCCCCCTTGCCAAACTAGTACAGACCGGCTTTAATAGCTGTTTTTACAACCAACTATGGGGAGAAACAGGCATGTTGTGTTTTGCTAGTGTCTTTTTGATAGAGAGTGTCTAGGGCATCAATTCTGTGTTGAGGATTACAAAAGTTCAAATGATATAATGCCATTCAGATTCTCAGCAGATGATTTATACATTCAAATAAGTTATGGTTAAAACATTAAACATTTGTGAAATTTCACCTAGTCATCCCTATTATTAACGTTTGTAGCATGTCCAGTACAAAGTTGCATGATATCATATCAAACGGACTAGGAGTTTGAGGATGTCGTCTGCTAGACACATGTACTAATGTGCCTTGAACTATCCGTTATGCAGATGTGTGTTGTATCAATTGAGCTAATACAGTCAAACCTGTCTATAGCAACCGCCCAAGGGAAACACAAAAAGTGGTCTTTGTAGACAGGTTCCTTCAATGCATGTTTCAATGATAAACCATTTTCAAGGAAACAAGAAATGTGGTCTTTGTAGACAGGTGGTCACTAAAGCAGGTTTGACTGTATTGCATTGAAGGTATAAATGTTCCATTTAACCTCGGGTAGAGAGTAATATTACTTATTTGATGTCTTGACCCTGTGTAGGTTACTCGGCTGCAGCAGGCATTGGAGTGGATGACCTGAGACGTCTGTGTATCTTACGTATGAGCTTTGTGAAGGGATGGGGACCGGACTACCCCCGACAGAGCATCAAGGAGACGCCATGTTGGATCGAGATTCATCTTCATAGAGCGCTTCAACTCCTGGATGAGGTTCTGCACACGATGCCCCTCATGGAACCGCATCCCCTTGACTGAGCCATCTCATTGCCTACCATGGCAACAAGCTTTATATTGGACTTGTATAGTGAGGAGGATGATTTACACGGGCGGTACATAAGACTAGACGAAAAGAGGCTGGAATTATTTACAGTATCACTTGTGCCATTCACTGCAGTCGAAGGAAAGACATGGACTCTTCAGGAGGCTATGAAAGAAGCTTTACGAAGGAGCTCCTTTGGAATGTCTGGAGCTGTAGCATGTTTCATCAGACCATATTATAGTTTGGAGGTTCAGATGATAACATTATTTGACTGTGGAACCTTTTGGAACGTCGCGAGAAACACTAGGTCTGTATTGAACCTAGTCAATGAAACCAAAGGAGCAATGGTGCTATATCTGCTGGAAGTTCATGAGGCTCTCTGTTTGAGCTTATGGAAGAGATCAAACAGAAATGCATCTGGTCGAGCATCAATGAATAGTGAAATGCATGAAATTATCTTATTTAACTCATTTATCATACCAATCAGATATTAGAAGTGAGTTATGGAGAATGAGGGAGGAAAAAACCCCAAAACATTTAGACTCATTTTCATAAACAGTGGAGAGACAAACAGAGACAGAGAGAGTGTGTGTGAGTGAGAGAGAGAGACCGATTGGGAAAGACAGGGAGAGAGCAGTCAGGTAGATTGTAATTGCACATCAAAAAAGGAGAGAGAGAGAGAGAGAGAGTGAGACAAAGAGAGGGAGAGAGAGGAGAGGGGGTGCGGTGGTAGAAAGACACACACACAGACAGACATTATGAGAGAGCTGGGTATGAGAGAAAACAGAGGCAGTACAACATTTCATAAATAAGAAGGCCATATTAAATAAATCTGGTTTTTGTGAGCATATCATCATACCGTGTGTCATATATTGTTTGGAAAATGAAGAAAATAAACAAATTGATTGTGTGCTTTACTTATTGATGATTACAGGTATGATAATTTGCACATCTCACCACCAGAGCCAAAGATGCCAAAACCTGGCCTTGAACAATTTTACAACGGTTATTTCCTCTTGTGAGGTGCAATATAAACATAGAGGGTTACATTGTAACTTAATTAGCAATAAATACAATTAAGATGAACTAAACTGGTGTGATCAAAACTGTAAATTCTTTCTTTTTTTCTACTCTGGTCTAGTCGTTTGGCATGTTGAACAAAAAAAACCTAGGCCTGAAAAACAGAACCTTGCCTCCTTTCTATCTTTGGAAGCACTCTTGTGGTCAGCTATCAATGAAATGCATCCCTGAACATTTGTACTTATATGGAAATAATTGTGAATATTGTATTATATGGATATTTTTTAGTTGCTATCATATTTGTTTTTTTCTGGTCATATTTTGTTTCTTTTTACAGACTGTTGAATTTTGAGTAGTACTATTACTGAAAATACCCTTCAAGCTTTCTGTTGATGTAAATACATGTACTTTGTTTTGTCTATGTCTTCCATGAACATCATGCTATTGAATGATCAGGTGATTTCATGGGGAGACATCGTCTTCTGAAAAAAACTGCTTCAAAAAGTCTTGGGGGATGTAAATATTATAAATCTCCTTCATAATGAGTTTTACTTGTAAATAACCTTGTTTACATTTATCGTGATTTAGCAGAAATATTGTATGAACACTGTCTTCGATCTAAATTGGCACTTTTCTGCGATCACTTCCGATTTTGACAAGTGTTGATTTAAAGATGGCTTCCCGGTTAATGCTGCCTATACACTTGCATCGTTACGAGATGTCAGATGTGTATGCAAGAATGGAATTTTGTGTAATGGAATGCGAATCTATCATTATTGTATCAACACCATTGAATTTACGCCAGATTTTGAAATGTTTATATATTCCAGTTTCTACAAGGGTCAGGATTATGAAGGGCATGAATTGTTCATAATTCAATGAAAACGAAAATATGGTAGGAAGTCAAGTAAGGATAATATTGCTTGTCATTTTTGATTACCTATCAATGGCTATCATGTAACCTGTTTGATAATATATATTTTTTTGACCAATACATGAAAGTTTGTGTTGGCTTTTTTAGAGTTTGGTATATTTGAGTGATACCAGTTTGAATCATGTAACATTTTCTTCAAAAAAAGTTGTGAGCAAATAATACAGTTATATTAAGTATTTGAACAAAATACAATGTGCTTGTGCGTGTCTAGAACATCATGTAATTTCCATAATTAACACTCTTATCTGAAATATGTAAGAAATTGATTTTTTTTTCTTCAAATGAATAATGAAGTATTTCTGTTTGTGCTTTCTTAAGTGCATCCTATGAATTCCTTCAGCTTTAGTGTTTGTGAAGTTCAAGAAGAGTTCTATGTTTTAAACTAATTATCTGCAACTTTTTTCTTTTGTATGAGTTATTGAAAGAAGAAGTCACACACAATGTGAGTGTGTTGCCTATCTACATTATATGCTGATCATTTGTAGAGCAATGTTTAAAATACAAGAACAAATATCATGTATTCAAATAATTTGTGTTACCGTGAGATTTTGTTCACAATGACTTGTTATACTTTCCAGATTCAACAGAATTTGTATGCATGCAAAGATTATGGAGAAAAAAAACAAAAGGAAGAGGGAACTGTATTGATTTTTTAATCAATTTCAAGTTTATGCATACTGATTTACACCCGAACCCATTCATTGCTAGAGGGATATATAACAGCAGTGGAATTTTCAGCAAATTACACAATGAATTTGTATTGAAGGCACTTTACTTTCGCCTCTCTTACATGTGTATGTTAAAAACTCAAATATTAAACTGATGACGACGATAATGATGATGTAGGACACGGTTTAGTCCTTCTGAGATCTGACTTTCATGCACAACTCAATCTCTTCTCTTATAAACATCCATTCTCCCTCTTTTTTTTTAATTTGTTCTATTTAAAGGTCAAAGAATTTTCATTGAAACTGAAAGTGCACAATGTAAGTGCAAGAATGTGAATGATTGTCTTTTTCTTCTTCAATTCACAGTTGCTTGTCAGCTGTAGGCATGTTCCTTACGATTTTCATTGCCATTTTCTCATGAAGTTAAAAGGGCATTGAACTTTTATTGAATCTTTTAATTGCGAGAGAGAATTAAATCTGATTATACTTGATCTGATAGAAGTCTAATCATAAGGCATATTTAATAGATAGAATGCAAGGCCAAATGTTTGGACAAAACAACCCAGAATATATGGAGCTTTCTAAAAAAAAAAATGGTTGTTCTTGGGTGAATCATTGGGAACAGTATTATGAGTAGCTTGTTTAAAAGTACATAAAAGTAAAACATTGGTGGGGTTGTACACAAATATTTTGAGAAATGTTGCCCTTTTGCAAAGTGTCGTGGAAACACAGTGTATGTATCCATATAATATGGGAGTTCTGTATTCCAATATTATCACTTGCCATAAGTTAAATACTCATAAAGCCACATCAGATGAGGAAAAGAGGAGCAGGAAATTGTAAAATTTTCCATATTGCACATAAATATGTACAGCCTGACCATTTTGATCATGACCACATTGTTAAGGCCATCGTTGATTGATGACGTTTTCTTTTATGTAATGCCATGAATTTGTTAGGTAACTTATTGTACACACGTAATGTCTCACTTGTATCATGTAAAGTGGTGTGTAAGTGTATCGTTTGATCAGTGCATAATAAATTCATGAGTTGCTATTGAATCATAAGAAAAGAAACTGTTTGAAGATTTGTTTGCGTGTGTGAGAGCCTTGCCCAACCTGTATTTTGTGTACATTTTCAACTGATCATGACTAGCCATGTCAGTTCAAATTCTGTAAATATTGTATGTACCGGGTATGTAAATACTATATGTATATATTTACCATGTATTTATTTTCTGGTGAATTTCTGTAAGAGAATGATTGGTTCTCCAAGCTTATCAAACAAAATTATCAGGTTGGACCTAGTTTTAGAAACTAATATCCTTCCACAAATGTTCGAATGGCTAATCTGTCGATGTATATACATGTACATCTATACATCCATAACGAAAGCAAATGCAAAGTTTCACTTGAGTTAAAATATGAAGTAAACATAAAGGTAGAATTTATTAACATAATCCAAGTATCATAGATTGTGAAATGAAGAAAAAAGAAAACAAATCTGAAATACACACGTAAACATATACAACTGAAAACTAATTGACAGATGTGTACAACTAACTGGAATTAACACAAACTGAGGCCTGTTACAGTACTCCTCTGACAGAATGATCATGTCGTAAACCTCAAACCTTGCAGTTGACATGATTTTGACCTACATGTACTACAGAAAGTGCATATTTTGCTATCTGATTTACCTACACATCATGTATGTATCTTTCAGATATTGAAGAGAAAGTTCCTGAAAACTGGAAAACTCATTTCATAACAAGTTCCAATGGAGTTTTCTTTTCAAACCGATGCTTTCAACAGACGTGCCCTTTTCCAAGTACAGTATACATGCCTTGTACATGTAAAGTACTTTTAATTTAATAATGAGACTAAAATTAACAATAACTTCCTTGCTGCAGCATTGGAATGTTTGTAACTTTGAACTGAAGACAATGACACATGAAAGTATTCTATAATTCTAAAGTGAGCGAGGATACAGATCAAGAAACTATACATTTGATACTGCTTTGTCAAAATACACATAACTGTATTTATTATACCTGTACATTGCTGTACTTGCATATGCCACATGCAAACAAAATACTGAAGTAGAACCAAACATAATCATCAAGGTTTAAACATAACATAATCATCAAACATAACCTGCCTACGTAAATATAACTTTCTTTGGAATTAAAAAAAAAGGGAAGTACAATGCATTTATATATCAATATATTCTAGCACATATTCCACCTTGTGAAAATTTGACATTCAATAAATCAGATAAATTAATGTCCCTTTTCTATAAAACAAACCTTGAAAGCCTTCCATTATTTGTCAAATATATTGCAACATTAAGATTTTAAACTTCATTAACTTATAAAACCCCAATATTTGGACGAAAAGCCTCTCTACCAATATGGGAGCAGGGGCATAATGAGAAGGAAAAGAGTAATAGATAAACTTTACTTCACCGTACATCCCTAATCACATTGCTTTATTCCCAAACAGACAAATAAAAACAAATAAAATATACTAACATCTTTTTCATTAGTAGACCTTAATAAAGTATCTGGAAATTTATTGAATGAAAGTAATGGAGAAATAAAACAAAGTACAAGATTTTTTAAAAGTGGCATGCAAGGCCAGACAAAAGATCAGTTAAAATGATAATGCTGAATAAATTAAAATTAATAAAATATTAATACTGCATTTCAAGCCCAAAAAGGCTTGTATGAATCTCCTGCCTTCATCAAATTATATTATTTTTTTACTTTTATTTTAATAGCACAATGAAGAACAGTTACCCAACAAAACAAAACAGAAAGAACGAATGACTTTTCAAAAAAAATTGCTTTCTAAAACAAGAGCTCAAGTCTCTGACCTCAAACCTCCAGTTTCAATGTTCAATGTCAGCAAGAAATAATTACATATCATTAAAAGCAACAATAATGATACTTATACTGTTAGTAGATCATTAACAATACACAAAAGAACAGTAATATCATAAATCATAATAATACTCATGATTACCATCATAATCAACATTCAAGAAGAATATTCTAAAATGACAACAAGCCATCAGCATAAAAAAGGCATTTTTCAAATGAGATGTGGGAAAAAGGTAGGATTTCTACATTAAAAGCAATCTTTGACAGAAGTACTTCAAATATATTTTAAGGAAGAGTTGTGCCATATGTATGCAATGGAAGTTTTTTTGAGATGTAACTTATTTCACAAATTTATCAAGAATGTATGTATTCAGATCAAATAATCAAATTATGCCTTAATACATAGTTTAAAAATAAAATATTTCTATGGAGACAATCATAACCTTGCAATTTATACTTTCTACAAAGCACCAACATTATACATATTTTATTTCTGCATAAACAGTTTGTAGATTTTTTTTGTTTTACATTCAACCACTCTTCACTTTGTAAAATTTCGGAAATGTCAAGGCCTTGCAGTTATAATAAATTCTGAAAAGAACACTTTTGATAAATGACAAAATAGCACGTCATCTCAAATGACCCTTTATCCGATAGCTTCCTATAAAATTTGTCGCAAAAAACAAAGAAAGAAAAAGGGAATCGACAATTCAGACAGCCATTACAAACTACCAATGCAATGAAAGTTTCATTGCTACTCATTTATAAGCACCGTTTTTTATTATTATTATGAGTTGTGTCTGGTTTGGTTAGAATTCCAGGTAAAAATAGCAGCAAAGGATGCATACATCCTACAAATGTTTTTTGGAGCGCTTTACATAGCCCCAAATAATCTGTAATCTTCCAATGTATCAATCATTAATGGTTTTGCCAGAAATTTGAAATGCGTTTTGTGCTGTTTTTATTTCATTATTCAAGACTTCAAATTCAAGCATACGAGAATTCCAACAATTCATAGCTACATGCACCTCTCTTCCAACTGCAAAATCGTGACTCTATATAGGTTTAAAGTCTTTACCCTTTTAGTATTTAACATTGTGATACAAAACATAACCTGGGCTACGTTTCATCAAACTTATGATCATTAATCATTTATTTTCATTATGTAAGCTGCTGAAATCATTGCATCGATTGGCTATGAGCACACTGTGACATTGATCTGTGGCAGTTGTTTAATGAAACAGAGCCGAGAAGTCCGCTAACTATTATTAAATTCATATTTACAAATAACCTTGTCCATTGCTGTGGATGCATATAAACGATGTGAGCTTGAGGGGAGAAAACAAATGAATCAACAGAAATTTTCCATTCAAATCATGAAACACGAAAGAAAGGTTAAAGACATTTGCATGAAACCTTTATGCCAACGAGTATCTTTTACTGTTGCAGTGGATAAAAACTTCTAGCTAAATTTGGAGTATGAGTAAAGCTCTGGAACATCAGAAAAAATTGAGAAAGTAAAATTTTTCACCTTTGACAATTTCCTTTAGGCAAGAATATGAATACTGACCCGTAACAGAACTCACTCTTTTTTCATTTTTACTGTTCATTTTTACAACAAAAAATAATGTCCAAATTTAAGCTAAACAAAGAAACATAAAATAATAAACAAATGTCCTGATAAAAAATGAGTTTCCCATGAATAATGCTGTTTTTTAAAACTCTTTTTCTTGGATTAGTAGAACTTCTTTGCTGCTGCTTCTTGTTTACTCCTGTCGGAAAGAGAAAAGAAAGATACATTGGAAAGAATTATCATCAATAAAAAAAGAAACAAAGAAATTTGTTACATATATTTCAAAGGATGACACTATAGAAAATGGAATAAAATATAACAAGAACAATGAACATGGCTTTTAGCAGTCAGTGATTACAAGCTCTGCTTAATACAAGATCAAATGTATAAAGTTTTCTGCTGAAATACCCTGAATCTACCAGTCTAACATCACAGCCTAACAGAAATGGCTCTTGACTTAATGAATAACAATGATTTACAACTTTTATTTAGAGAACAAGTATGAAATTTGTCGATGTTTATAATATTTGGAAAAAGGCTAAAAACCAATTTTTATTTGTGTTACAAAACACAATCGTAACAATACATATATCTACTCACCTATATACTGTGTAGAGAAAGATCACAAAAATTTGAATGAACGCGAAAACAAAGAATAATGTTGGCGTGAGGCAGGAAGGCATATCAGGCGCTGGTGGACATATTGCTTGTTGTGTCTGTTGAGAAAAAATTGTAAAAAGCACTTTTATTTTACTGCCACTTGGATGAAAATGAACATGTATATTTAAAACTTACACACATTTGTTTTTTAGAAAAAGAACTGAATAAATCATTAAAAAATATAGAAATATCTAATACTTTGTGCAATGACCACTGGAGCACTTAACATGAATTTCACCAGTACTTTTTTGTTTTATTCTGATTCACAGAATTGTAATAACAGTGATTGCAAACTAATTCTCAGTATTTTATGAGAAAAATAAATATGATATTTCTTCCTTCCATAGAAACATGCACTACATCTTCAGACCCCGCTTTTGGGCTGTTGAAATATCATTGCCATAATTTTTGTGTCATAAATAACTTTTGAGGGTTAAAATTGTTTAAAATGTAGAAACCGTTAAAGGTACAATGTCCCATTTGCAGGCTGAAAAAATGAAAGGTTAAATTCCAATGGCATTTGAAAGATAATACTGATTTAGAACTTCCTTCAAAAGAAAGGGCTGGAAAATAGCGACGATTAGTTGTCGAAGCGACATAAGTGATGGCAATTACTTAAGTAAATAGTCTGATTTTCAGATCCTTGTATTGAATGGTCGTATGTTTTATGCCGCGCAAAGATTCAATCAATTTAATTTTGGCCATTATAAGAAGTGGGTTATTAATGTAGACAAATGCTGCATGTACCTGTTACAGCTCATTTTATGTATTTTATTACCAAAGAAAAAAACTGGTTTCCTTGTATAATTTTAATACTAGGATGTTGTAAACGTTTAAATTTCACAGATAGGACATACATGACATATTCATGATTCCTGCAATGTTCTACAAAATTTGATGTCGGCTACAAAAGGGACATAGTATTTAACAGGAGGAAATATATACCTACTAAATCTATAACCATCACTCTTCACTCTATTTCATCGGGGGGAAAAAGAGAATACATTGTGAAATGAAGCATGTAACTTACCTCAGGCCTATGTGTTAGCTTGAGTACACTGTCTTGTATAGAGTTGATTTTATCTAACATCTCATGATCTGCAAGGGGATTCCCCTGGTTCATCTGAGCACCCTGATTGGTCGGCTGGCGATTATATATCAGACCTGCTTTATTCTGAACATCACCTACTACATTTCTGGTAGGAACAAATGTGAAGAAAGGACAAAACACATTCATTACAAGGTTGGGTACATGTCAAGCATGTGTGACTTTGAAGTGACATCTTAAACGTTGTTCACATATGGCGTTATTCAGCAGCGGTTTACCTATGGGTTTATTATAGTTAACTGTCCTTCATATAAGGAATAAGTAAGCATTTCATCCCCACTTACCAATTTGTCATTCATTTTTAGTAAACAAAAGAAAATCAACAGTTTAAAACAGTATATGGGCAATTCCACGGTAACGGAAGGACACTCAGACAAGATTTTTGAACTTCAGGTTCATACTAAAAGAAATGTTTTATTAGTATGTATTAAACTATGGGGAACAAAATGTGTTTCAGTCAAGTGGAAAGCTTCATCAACTTCACAAAGTTTGGATAAACACTAATTAACTGGAAAAACCATGTCCATTTTTATGTCCTTCCGTTACCGAGATAATTAATATGCACATTCTTACACTACTTAACTATAATGACAATTTTTTGGGGGAGAATTAAAGGCACTTATATAGGTATTATATCTGTACTGTTTCACATCTTATACTAATAAAACAGTTCTTTTAGTATGAACCTGAAGTTCAAAAATCTTGTCGTGAGTGTCCTTCCGTTACCGTGGAATTGCCCATATGTGAAGTTGTTTGCTGGTGAAGCTATTGATAAAATTCAGATTATATCTACCAAAAAAAAATGTGTGAAAGGATCCCTTTTGCAACCTACCTAGTTGTTTCCATAACTAAATGATAAGGAATCGCTGCTGCATTATCTTTAGCCTTCTCCTATTCATTGTCTCTAACATGCATGTTTAAATGGTGAGAATTTTTTCCCCATAACATGACTGTGTATACATGATTCATACTCTTATCTACTAAGTGTAGTCAAAATAAATGACATTGTGCCTCCCAGTACTGCTCTGCCATTTTTTTTCTTCCCAGAACTGGTTATACAACCAGGATGGGTCGCTAGTGTTTGTTTTCAGAAGTCAAACACACAAAGAATAGAATCTTGGTTTTGTTTTTCCTTCAAATTCTTGATGCATCTGAATGTTCATGTCTATTCAAATATCCATTTTTAAAATAAAGGGCTCTTCTTTGATATCAAATTATATATTTCTTGAATAATTCTTTTATCTTATCGCTTTGTTTTCATAAAAGTAAAAATATTGATAGATGGATGTCTCATTTTATTTGCTTTAGCCAATCAGGTGTCATGACTTCCTGAAAAACCGACACAAATGTTCACATAAGTGCTTTTAAATAGCATGATGAAGAAAGTGTTCCACAATTCAGCGGTCATACACTTAAACAAAATGTATCCTTTAACTCATAATATGAACTATATGAATATCAAATTTTGAATTCTCTTCTTTTTCTAGAAATAACAGGATCAAACAAATCTTCGACATTGATATAACAGGGGCTCCACACTACATTTTATGTTTGCTGATAAAGCCATTTTGTATTTTACAGAAAGTCCTGCTGTGTCTTTTAATGAACTACCCCGCAGTCATTCAAATTTGATAGTTTAAAATGGTTATTAGCCCTAGCCTTGGGAATTTCAATAGATGAACTTAATACATAGCCTACAGGAACAGGGTGGTTTGTGTACAAAATCTATGGGGAATGAAACAATCAGTACTCAACAGGCTAATAGTTACTCTTACCTTATATCTCTAACTGATTGCTGTAATTCTCTTTGAGTGTTTAGAAGCGAGTCTACCTCGTGTCTCTGCATAACAGACCCCGCCCCACCGGTGTGCTGTACGGGAGGTGCCCCGCCCCCTCCTACTGATGCTGCCGATGCAGCTTGAACCGATGACATCAAGGAGAGGGTTCTTTCTTGTCGACCGACTATCTCATCCAATTTACTCCCTAGCATTCTGGTATCACATGGGAAAGAGAGACAAATATGAAGAGCTTAATGCCAAAAGAAGGTAAATTCTGTTTTGATGAAAATTGAGTTATAGATATCAGAACATTGTTCACTTAAGTACCTGTCTTTCAACAAAATTATTTACCTAAATTTGGGGAGCAATTATGAAAAAAATTCACCTTCTAATATCACTTTTCCATAGACGCCTGTACAAAATCTGGTGAACAATTTCTATTTTTTCTGAAGTTACAAAAATGGATTTAGCACCTTTTGGAATTAATAGTGATTAATAGTGATTACAATTTTAAAACAATACTAGTGTACAAAGTATATAACTATAATTCAACTTTTAAGCAACTGCCTTCAAAGTTTAGGATCAATGACATATCCTCTATGATTTGTAAACATTATGGTAAAACTCCTTTCAGCTACCTACTTTACTGTAAAGTTGGTCATGTACATATTTAAACTCCCAAGATAAAGTGATTATTGTAAAGCCATAGGTTTAGGGTTGATTTCAGATATGGTACTTTTTCATTATAAAAAACTCATAGTTTCTCGCATTGCATAATTACATCAACATATATATATATATATATATATATATATATATATATATATACACCCAGCAGCCTCAGGTTCAATGAGGAAACTTAGAAGTAAGTTAACAAATTAAGACTTACTTTATTTTATCAAAAAGATTGGAAAATCAAAGTTTAATATCGTAACATACCTTTAATATTTGTGTCACTTTGGAGCTAATGAATACAAAGTCAATCAAATTAAAAAAAGAGAATATCCAGCATTGGAACTCACTTGATCTGTTGCATAACACCATTCTGTGTAGTCAAAATGAGCTTCAGTTCTCTGGTGAAATCATCTTCAAACTGAAAAAGAAGAGGAGGAATATTTCATATTAAAAAGGGAACACCAAAGAATAAGAGACCTCAAAATATCGGTAAGCATGAATGTACAGCCAAACCTGCTTTAGTGACCACCTGTCTACAAAGACAATGTTTTTTTGTTTCCCTTGGAAATGGTTTCTCATTGAAACGTGTACCAGTACTAAAGGAACCTGTCTACAAAGACCACTTTCTGTGTTTCCCTTAGGCAGTTGCTATAGACAGGTTTGATTGTAATACAAAAATGATTGTAGAGGCTCGTTTAATTGAACTCATGGTAATTGGCTACAATGATTGCACCCATGATTATTATCAATTCATAAGCAGGAATCTAGAATTGAATAAGTGAATAAATTTCTACATAATAGATCTCTCCTTTTCTTATCAGCTGTGACGACATACTTTATCTGCACCCCAATTTACTGATAACTATGAGGTGCAATACAAGTGCATAATATTGCACAACTCATGACTTTCATCCTTGGTATCTCATGCATCTTTACTTGAAATCAACACCTATGCTGTTTCGTGTCATTCTGTCCACAGAGACAACATAAGTTTTTTTATGATAAGAAACACATATGATTATCTATCTATTCATCAATTCCACTGTCATTTTACTTCCAATCATCATACTTACAAATGAATCAGTATCATCGTAATCATCTCTGATCTTATCTGGATGTTGCTGGCGAAAGCTGAATTGGGAGGAACAGAAAAATCACATATAGATACTGTATGATCATGGTATGTTTCTTATTTTCTTAATACAGTGTGTACAATGTCTGTACAGAGAATCTGTTATGAACATTCACAAGAACTTTTAAAAAAGGTAGACAAATATGCATACAATTTCTTCACAAAGCACATCTTCAAATATTAGAGTTTACCGTTGTTAATGAGCCCCACCACATCACACTCAAACATACATTTATAAAGTTCCAGCTACCTTCTTTAATACTTCTTTGACTTTTACCCAACTACACTGTGATTTTTTAAAAGACCCTTTAGTTACTGTATAATATGGATGGCAGAGGTGCATTAAAATACTCACTCTTCTTTCTGCTGCTGTAATTTTCCTTGGAAGTCATCAAATTCATCTTTAAACTTTTTGGCCTCCTCATCAGTGATGAATCCGTCTTTATCAATCTAAATCAGGAAAAAAAGAAATAGTATCTTCAAAACATACTCACACTGTAAACTAAAAGAGGTTATTATCATACCCCTAGTAATCTCAGCTTATCTTGCTATATACACACATTTTTTAAAAAAACACACATTTACAATGCCAGATATTTGTGACATCACAGTTATTTTCTTTCAACAAACGGCCAGTTAAATTATTATTATTCTTACTGTCTGATTTTGATATACTTGTTGTACAGAGCCTCACTGGTGCAATGCAGAAGTGCATTCAATTATATTCTTGTATAATATGTTAAAGGAATCGTTTAACAATGTTAAATCTGAGATGCACGGCCCTATGTGTTATCAGTGTCTGTGATATGGTGTTATATTGAAGCCTTAACAAAATTGCGCTTCAAAATGATCAAGAAGTGCCTAAATTTTAAGTGACCGGTTTTACCATACTCGTTTTCCCCTCTAGTCTGTAGTGTTATGAAAACTGTTTGGCAAACGCAAAATTTGATTTTGATTTTCAATCATAAATATCTTGATAATCAGGCTTCTAAAAGTCATGGGGTTCCTGACTGACCTGAAGGTTTATAATTATCATTGCAGCATGAGCTAAATCAAAGATTTTTTTGAAGGATCTACGACAAAGTTACCGGATTCCTTTAATTACATATGAATGAATCTACATGAAGAAATTTTGAAACTAACTACAAATGTTAGTTTGTCTACATGCTACTTACTTTAGATTCCGGTGTTGCCAAGCTATGGGTCAGGAACTTCATAACATCATGATCATCTAAGAAAAGGTAACATATTAATGATATACTGATGAAGACAAGTCTTAAGTGACACAAAACCACAAAATAGTATGGACCTGTACTGTTTTTAAAATCAGTTGAGATATTGAAAAGGAATACTTATGTAATTGGATTAGGTTTGGAGTTAAGATTCCAAATTTCATTCGCTTCAACCCAAATGCAGGATATCATGTTGACCACTTTAAAAAATAATACTTGTCTACTACGAAAATATGAAATTATCAAAAATATACCACATGACAAAAGTGTCAATAAGATGTCATTCAGAACTTTCTGTACTACCAATATTTCTAAACCATTCTTCAATGTGTGGCTGCTCTGCATTAACAAACTGGTCATAAAATAACTATTTTTCTTATACATCATATATCATCAAAGAAAAAGGAAAAGAAAAAAGAAAAGAGAAAAAAAGAACACTCCTAAACCGACCAATCATACTCAGTGATGTTTACCTGCTAGACCACCAGTCGCTGCGGACACACCAAAGTATCCTTTCTGAGGAAGATAGACATTCTCAGCCCTCATGCACAGCTCATAGTCATGATCGTTAGCACTTAATCCTTGGTGGAAGTACACCTGAAATCAAAGTTAACAGTAGAGATTCACCGACATTTCACAGAAAATCTGGAGTTTTGATCATGACAAACAAAACATGCCTAGAAAGATCAAATAAATGATATCTGCCATACAACTTTGCATTATGCATCAAGTCTTATGTCTTCTTTGTGCATGGCTGATCGTCAACGAAACAGAGTTAAGTCTTTTGTCAACTCTGTTTGTTGCTATGGCAGGCAGCCAGTGAAAACGAATTAGTTTAATCAAATTACGGAAATGCAAGCATTACTTTAAACAAACAGACCTTTGTTATTCCTGGCTCATTTTTCCTGAATGAGGTGTCATACGAAAGGGCAGAAAATGAACTTTCTAGAAATGTGATCTTCTCTTTGAAATTCAGATACCGCCCGCCAAATGACTTTTTGGTACCCTCTCTTCAAATTGTTTTTAATCCTCATGCATGGAATATGCATCATATGAGTTGCATCAAATGAAAGAGGATGATGTAAGCTTTACAAATATGTGTCATTTATTAATTACAATTGTGATGAAATTATGATAAAACATTAATAATTCTTGGTTTCTTCTTTTCTGGGAGGCACTGTATATATGAATAGTAATCATCAAAAATTCTTATGGATAAAATGTTACCATATATTCCCATGAAAACTACTCACTGTCAAGACATTCTTGTAATATTCTACTTTTGCTCTGACTGGGAATGGTTTGTTTCTGAAGTCTCTCATGCATCCGCCGAGCTGCTGCATCAACCCGTCGTTATGATGATCATACTGCTTGGTACCGTCGTTGGTCACCACTAGAATGTAAGGATTATTTCTCTGGTTATCGTTGTCGAAGGAGTCAAAGAAGAGACCCATTCCGTTCCATTTGTCCGAGCTTCCGTACACGCCCCCTTCTTCTCCTCTGGTTTGGGTGAACCAGATACCCTGTACACAAAATCATCAAAGAAAAACAAATTTGTATTCACTTATATTGGTCAGGGCACATGCTCTTGATAACTCAACTTTTTAGCTGTCTGACGGTCATAAGTATGAAGGCCTATGATGTTATCACTACAAGTCTCTATTGGCGGATATTTGGTTATAACTTATACCAGGGTATAATTACATATTATACCGGTAGATGCAAATATTCATATGAACAAAGAATAGAATCTCAAGACATCACAGACATTTCCACACAGTGAAATATTCATCATCTATGATTTTCAAATAGCGAATCAACCAACAATTTTCAAACAGGGTAACACGCCATGTGATACAGCAGCTTGTGTGCCCATCTCAATTATACACAAGCCTACAAGGGCTTGAAGTATTTACATTGTAGTAAGTACCCTTAATCTTTTGAAGCATGAAGTATGATTGATAGATATTTGCGTAATCACAATTGTGTTGTGAATAATATTATGACCACCTTTAATCTACTCAAAATGAACTTCCAAGTTCCAAGTTCCAAGTAAACCACGGATGAATGAATATAAATGAAAATAAATTTGTCTCCCACAGATTGACAGAGTACCAAATGTATTTGTTAATGATCTCCTTTACATTACCAGGTCATTAAGACATTGCAATAACATGATTAGCAAGTATCAAATTTAGGAGAGAGAGAGAGAGAGAGAGCTACCTTGGGATATATTTAACATTTAATAAGTACTTACGTAAATTCACTACAGCTGCACATTTTTTGTTAATAAATACAAACAAGATCATTTCTCATCAATCAACTACCAAAACTACCCTGATTAAAAGATCATCTTTGAGTTGATCGACTTACCAATCCATCAGCTCCTACTCGACCACGTCCTGTGACCTTGAAGATGACCTCTATCTCCCACCAATCAAAACTGGTTTCCATCTTGGACCAGATGTAACCTTTGGATAAATCAAACACATGTATTTGCAATTTTTGCATACCATACATTGAAAGTACATTGTCAGAGGCAAGAGCATTTTCATATTACAGGTAATATATACGGCAACTTGGCCATAACCTAAGAAGGAGGTTTAATTTACCCATGGTCTAAAATCATAGTCTAAACGTCCGCTACAGATTTAATCAGTTTAATTTTGGCCATTACAAGAAGTGGGTAATTGATGTATAGAGAAATGCTCATGTACCCTTTACAGCTCATTTTATGTATGTTATTACCAAAGAACAAAAAGAAGTCACTCAAAAGTGTCTGACAGTGAAGTCTAGAAAGTAAAATGGGTTTCCTTGCATAATTTGAACATTAGGACACTGCTAACGTTTAAATTTCACAGATAAGACATACTTCACATATATTCCTGCAAATTTTGACAGAATTTGATGTTGGCTGCAAATGGGACCTAGTAACTTTAAGACCCCAAAACAATACTCTTTACAATGCTAATACATAATGTCCTGTGATGATGATACATTTATAAAGAAATGTTTGAACCACATATGAAAATTCAAGGAAACTCAGTATGCAGCATATGGAAAATCATATGTTCATTGATACACAATAAGCAGAATGCATACTTGTACATGTGTTGATATGCCCTTTGAATTATTCAAGGTGTCTAGTAGGCGTAATACATCAGTGAGAGTAATTTTAGCCTTGTCGTAGCAGACATAAATGCTCTTTGCCATATTTTCCCCATACATGTATCTTCAATCCCTTTGTCCCAACAGCAGTCACCTTCAACAGATTGAGTGAAGATGATTGAAAGGATTTAGAGTATTTTAAAAGTCTCCTTGCTAAATAGCCTTCTGAACTTGACTTTACTGTTTTTAAAAGGCTCTACTCAAGAAATCTTGTCAAGATTAAAGCCGTCAAGTTTTTGGCTCAGACTGAAAGATCTTCTTTGATATATCATAATTTTTTGGGGGGTTATATACATGTATAAAGGATCAACAGTCGTACTTCATGAAAATCAGCCAGTGGGACTCTCAAAAATGGGGTGTGATTACATTTTCTTGGAGGGGTGTGATTACATTTTCTTGGAGAAAAAAAAGGATTACTATTTTCCTTGACACCAATTCATGAAGAAATTAAACAAAATATTATGCATAAGGAGAAAATTCTTCACATGACACCATATAAACTGTATTCAGCATAACCCTTCTTTATATTACTGCCTAGATACACACATGTATACATACATGTATGCATTTAAGAATGAACAAATGGAAATATTATATCATATAAATCTCTCAGCTTCCTTGCTCATTCAAACCGTAAAGCTACCAGCAAGATATATATAAGGCTAAATCTGTCCCTAATCTTCAGACAACCCACGTGTGCTATTTCTGGTTGGGAACAAAGCATATGGATCAAATAATGATATCTGATAGCGACTACTGAATCCTGAAACAAACACACAATGTACTTAGTATCAATACAAGTGTTAACCTAAATGTCCGCCCCACAGTGTTAATAGTATACTATTTCCCCAGTACAAACAAGCTAGGTATAGGCCAGTAGGGACTACATTTTAGTTCTCTAGAATAATAATAAATTATATTTTGAACATGAAATTTAACAAATTTGGAGTAGAATGAGTCTACATTGTAGAATCAACAGCTCCCTTAATAAAAACAATATAAATAAATTACTTAAATTTATAAAAATGAGTTAGATTCTATTATAACCAACATATTATATGTACCGGTATATAATATACCGGTACTGCCTAAAATAACAGTATATGTTGCAGCCTTCTTAGTAAGCTATGATTGCAAATTCATATAATGTTCTTGAATAAAATTCATTCCGATTGTTCATATTCACTCATACATGGTTTAATTAGTTATTACACCAATACACATCTGACTTTGTTATTTCAGATTTTTGTTCCCCGCTTTCTAATCAATATTCCTCTCAATCCAATCCAATGACGAGCTGAAGAGTTTCACAAATTACTCTTTGATCCTTACATTGCACTGATATGACAATACATGTACTGTATTGTATAAATGCATCATTTTAAAAAGTGCATTTGTTCCCCTTGAGTTGCAAACTTGCCATTCATACTATTGATTTCAGCTTTCTGTTCATTCATGTATTTTAGTCTGAGCAAGACTAAAAGCTTTAGTATGACCATGGAGTAACTCCATGGTATGACCGTCTAAAAAGCTTTTCTCTGATGTATTTATGTAATATATTACCTCTTCTGCTTCTCAGTGATGGGGTTACCCGAACTTTGTCTTCACTGGCCAGAGCACCTGGTAGAAAAGAATGAAGAAAACAAATGATAGATGAAATTAATCCACTTATACAGGTACGAAGTTCAATACATTAAGCTATCCATACTTTTAAGGCAAATGCAACTTACACTTGGTCAAAGCCAATAAATTGATGGTTTTTCACAATAAATAACTGTTGCACTGATAATGTTGGTAATTGTGCCTAATTGGTGATTTCTTTAGCAAATAAATATGAAAGGATTTTCAAATGCAGAAAAAAATACTCCATGCTTGCAAAACTTGTTGTATGTATAGTTAAACATGTGGCTTATATAATTAACATTCCATAAATGAAAGGCTTACTGTTGCACTGATAATGTCAGTAATTGGTAATTGCCTAATTGGTGATTTCTTTGGCAAAATGGCAAATAAATATAAAATGATTATTAAATGCAGAACTAAATATTGCATGAATGCAAAACTTTTTGTATGTATAGTTAAATATTTCATTATTATTGAAATGATAAAACTTCTAAAATCTAGTGGAGACCAGGAATCCTGGTACATAAGAACTTTGATCCTGGCTAACCACAATATCAGTACCAGTAGTATTACAATGGATTAGATACTGCACACAACACATAAGGATAAGCAAAGCCTGTAGAAATTTGGTCTTTAAGTTTTACCTATATTCTAAAAACATGTTTTGTGCGGTACATGTAGTTTATCATTGGATATTACAAATTTAGTAACATTACCAATGCCTGTAAAAACCGAAAGATATATTTTATCTAATGTAAACAAACTCTGAGTTTATATTGAGACAATTGAGAATTGAATCACTATTACAAAACTTGTTTCAAAGCAACTCAATTTACATCAATTCATGAAAATATAAATGTAGTTTATCATTGGATATTACACATTTAGTAACATTACCAATGCCTGTAAAAACCGAAAGATATATTTTATCTAATGTAAACAAACTCTGAGTTTATATTGAGACAATTGAGAATTGAATCATTAATACAAAACTTGTTTCAAAGCAACTCAATTTACATCAATTCATGAAAATATAAAACAAAGAACAAATTTGACTCAAGCTGCACTGATTACTCACTGGATTTAGACTAATTTGAATTTGGTATATAAATGTACAGTGCGTCCCAGAAAAACGAAACTGAGAGTTATCGATGTTTTATCATAACTTAATCACAATCATAATTAATAATCTACACATATTTGTAAAGCTTAGATCCTCCTCTTTCATTTGATGCAACTCATATGATGCATATTTCATGTATGAGTGATTAAAAACAATTTGAAGAGAGGGTACCAAAAAGTCATTTGGCGGGCAGTATCTGAATTTCAAAGAGAAAATCACATTTCTAGAAAGTTTATTTTTTGCCGTTTTCATTACACCTCAATCAGGAGAAATGAGCCAGGAATAACAAAGTTCTGTTTGTTTAAAGTAATGCTGGTATTTCCATACTTTGATTAAACAAATTCGTTTTCACTGGCTGCCTGCCGTAGCAACAAACAGAGTTGACAAAAGACTTAACTCTGTTTCGTTGACGATCAGCCATGCACAAAGAAGACGAAAGACTTGATGCATGGCTGATCGTCAATTACATAACACACTGACATGTCATGCTTTAAACAGGGGACGCACTTCACTGTCACACATAACTGACGCACACATGGCAGGGCAAACATATAAAATAAAAAACTCAACAAACATTTTAGAATACCGTATATTTTCCAGTTTGTACCTTAAATACAATTTTTCAAACTTAAAAAAAAGTTATGTCAGACTTAAACTTAAGTGAAATATTAAACCTTTTATTTCTTGCTGAAAAAATTGTAACAAATAGATATAGGCTAGAGGGTTTGACTGAAAAAGCAGAAAATCGGAAGCTTTCTCCTCGCACCAATATCTTATAACATTGAGCGAATGGCTGGCAGCCAGCGATAGCCAATAAGAAGGGCCCTTGAAGGCACAATTTAGGAAAATGAGGCTGCATGCAATTTACCGATATCGATATCGGATGAACGTTACATGTAGACTCTATGCGATAGACCTAAATGTATACGATATTGGAATTTGGATGAACGTTATGCGCATGCGCTAAATGTAAAGTTATACGTGGATCTCGACACATTAAAAATGTAATATTTATAATTTAATAAATAAATGTTAATTATAAAAACAGGCTTGCTCAGGTTCCAGCTGTCATTGACATGACTATTTATTATACACATTGCTGTATCGACTCAATTCAACTAGCCAAGACGGGCCGGATGCTCGTCCATCCGATCCCTGCACCTAAAGGCTAAACCACGTCGTCAAGCAGCTAGCAGCGGACAGCTACAGCGCTAGCGAGCTAGGAGCGCAGCGAGGACAACGAACAGAAAAATGAAGTTTACTTACTTCCTCCGTACTGCCAAAATGGAACCGTTTCATCCTTCTGTATCAAGTGTGGACCTTTGAAACTGTATTTGTACTCAAATTTTTTGAAAGGAGGTTGTGCAGAACAGTACAGAACTGCCAGAAAAAGAAGAAACACGGTGACAGAAAGAGTGTTGAAACCCGCCATATTGTACAGATACTAGGCACATATGATTTTAACTTTATGCAAATAAGATAAGTTTCATTTGCATATGTATCGTAAACAGGGTGATTAAACGATAAATTCACATGGTTTAGAGGTTGATACAAAATTTCCCTATATCCTTTGATCAAGCTTTGTATATATTTTATTTTTATTCATATTGAATTGATGTTTCGTACTCGAAATATTTACACAAAACAATCGTTCCTCAAAGGTTAGAATGAATGTATGACAACTTGGCTTTATTTGATTGGTTGTTGAAGACTTTCGGGGTAAAAGGTTTATGCATATATTCAATTTCAACACATGTGCATGCCCCACCCCCTCTTCAGCAGTCCTGTATTAACGCAGAGCATATGTAACGATTTATAGCCAGAATATAGAATGTATTGTCGTTTTATCCAAAATACCCATACTTATTAATATATTGATGTTGAAAAAGAACCATCAACATTTTTCAGGTCCTGCCCACTCAGTAGCTTAGATATATCTTTATTTAAGAACCCTCCTCCTCCCCGCCTCTCACTCTCTCTCTCTTTTTCTCTCCTAAATGGTGTATTTTTCATTTTTCATTCGGTGTTATTGTTAATTTGTTTGTTTTAATAATTTTCTTCCAAGCTATCCTAATTTTCAATGTGCCCCTTTCTTAAATGTGTGCTACTAAAACTTCTAAAATATCCATCTTCATATTCCTATGATGCATATGCACCTCCAAAATCATTATCAATTTGTTTTCCCCTTCAGATTGTTCAGTAGCTATAGAATCCTTATAGTATTCAGAATAGAGCCCCCAAATTCTGTGATGGCCGTAAGGAAAGACAAATTCAACAGCCTGAAAAAACCTTGTGGTACATGGATGTATAAAAATTTCATTTATTCACAAAGTTTATTGCAGTTCAACATTGTTGAATAGGATATGATTTTTTCATTAGTAACAATTATATTTACATCTTTCATTTCATACATGTAAATCATATTCATGTATACATGTACTACATATTCTTCTCAGCATTTGATGCATGTGTGTTTTGGGCCTTACACATAATAATACAAACATTTAGATCAGCTTACCTCAAATTTTCCCTTTTTTTATAACATGTGTGATTCCAATTTCTTCATTAATTAATAGTTATTAATAGTTCAAGCTTATTTGTATCCTCACTGTTGATGAAACACAATCAATCAACCTCAAAGAACCATACAGAAACAAAATAAAAGTTGGGATTTACATGAACACAATTTAACTACCTGTGGCAGGCCCAGAATTTACATTCTACAGGATGTAAGGGGGACATACATGTGTCTCAAATATTTATGTTTGGCAAATTTAGTTGGCACCCCACATGTAACCCCCAGAGCTGCCACAAACTAGTTTTACATATTTTAACATAACATATAAACATAACAAATTATATTTTTTAATATAACTTTGACATTATTAAATAACAATTAGTACTTCTGATGGCATATCAATACAGCTAGAATGATATGTTACTATAATAGTGTATATTATTTTTTACTTTGAACCCTTTAGTACCGATTGATTACTTTTACTCATAGCAACTTTGTTACTTTTTGTACCAAATAGATTGATCTCTCTTTCAAAGATAATTCAGGATCTGGTAGTGCAACAGTTACAGCATTTCCAGACAAAAAGGTCTGAAATTCATTCTGAATTCTGCATTATGTGCTAATGAAATTGTTTAGCCTTGCAAAATATAAACCAACATGAAAAACTAGCTGATAACATTTGCAATTAAAAGCACCATGATCAACACATGAATTCCTACATATGGTAATCATGTGTTAATTCAGTCGATGGATCTGATAAAACTTTTTTTTTTTTTTTTTTTAATTTGGGGGGGGGGGGGGACTCATTATTCAGCTATCATCTATTTCTTTCAAGTTTATTTGGCAGATATTATTCATGTTTCTTGCACATGCAGTGTAATTTCTTTTTAATGAATCAATCCTATCATAATCTCACTGTTACCCCTTACTATTACTCATAAATAAATCTTAAATAAACATTCATAATGTTTGTTTACATTTACATCATCGTATATATTTTTCATCATACACATTGGAAGACAATTGGATTACATATTTAAATTACCCCTTAAAAAAAAATCATGGATGGAGTATATTTAGCAAAATTCATCTATGGGTGAATTGGTAATCTACTCTGGAAATATAAAATAACTGACTCATTACTGTTATAGCTGTTAGTATTATTTCAAAAGTGTGCAAACAAAGTCTGTATATTCGTCTGAGAAACTTAGAAGTAGCAACTTGAACTCTTGTGGTATATTTCCAAAGATCATGAAATCACATTGAGATCATTTTCTTTCACACAATGATGTCACTCTCTTTTGTATACTTTCTTTTAGAATAAAAATCTGGAAAAAATACACTGTCAAAATTGGAAATTGAAATTTGGAAACAAGAATATTTACAATACACTATTGAGATAATTCAGATTATCATACTATTATCAATGAGTTTTGTTGTTACATATAAATACAAGTCGTAGAGTAAAATTTTGACTGGTTACAGTACTTCATGAGTAATTTTCTCTTTTTAAACTTATAAATGAATGATTTTATGTTTTCACAATGCACAGAAAGATATTATAATCATGTATATGAACATCAAATAAATCTTGTGTATTCAGGTCAATAAGAAAAGCAGTAGATGCTATACAGGTACCCCTGACAAAATGTTATTTTTCTTTTTTACAATTTTATTATTTATTTCCTGTTTGCCAATTTTTGAATAAACAATAAATATTACACATTTCTGTCCATTTTTAATGGAATGATTTATAAACAACAGGAAAATGGCATATGATATTCAAACCCTCTTGTTTAGCAGCTGGCCACAGGGTTGTCATAAAAGTGTGGGTATATTTGAAAACTTCAAAAAACCTATCAGATAAAATGCTACAAGTTGGCATTTAAAAAAAATAGCCTTCAAAATCAGAAGAAAAAAAAAATTCCTTAAGCGTCAATGTCCCTCTCCCTCATCTTTCTCAGAGCACCAATTCTGATTACCGTAGCTACAAGAAGCTCCTTGCATGATTCCTAGGTACTGACGATCAGTACTGTTCAAACACTTCACCAATACTGCCTGGAATGCTTCAATCTCATAATTTGCATCAAAAAAATTGTGCATTCAATACATCAATAGTCACCCATCAATATTTGTTAAAACAGTCTTTGATGAAAAACCGATGTAAATTAATACAAACTCTCCTATATATATATCTAGTATTTTGCACTTATTGGTTGGTGTTTCTATTTATATTTCTATGTCTTAATTGTTGGCTACCTATGTGGAGCTGTCTTCTTTGATGAAGAAGCGTTTGGTCTTTTTGCAGTGAGCTTTCTGTCCTCTTCAATCTCTCTTTCTCTCTGTTGTTCCTTCTCCAGATTCTCTTTCATTTTCTGCTGTTGCAGCTTCAAAGCTTTTTTCTGAAGAGGGAAACAAACATTCAATTCTAGTTACTAAATGACTTTCACGATTGAATTCACTGTTGTTTTACGGTTGAAGTTTAATGTATACCGGTAGTTTGTTTTTAAAGATAAAATGTAAATGGTAATAGCAATTCAGTCATTTAGAGATACATATAGAGTTGATATATTCTGTCAAGGAAAACAATATAGCATGGTATGAATGAATTAAAATCACCTGAAATATAATTTGTGTATAGCTGGAATGTATAAAATCAACCTAAAAAACCTTTAGCCCGTATTCTATTGGTAACCGGTTAAGTAGTATGAAGAAAATAAGGGATTATATGAAACCCCACACAGAGCCTAAGTCGGACATGCCTGCATTAAGTGCGTACATGTACGCCCTATTCTATGCAAGTGTGTAGGCGTTGTTAACTAGTCTACTGAACAAGTTGTTCCACTGTTCACTAAAGAATGTACCGGTATTCAAATTTGCAATATCTCTTTGAGTCTTTGTAGAAGTCATATTTGAAGCTCATATTTTGAATACAGTATAGCCACATGAAGCCCCTTACATCAAGAGCAAAACATGTTTTGGTCAATTTGGTGATTGATGAACTTAATGGTATTCTTTATCAGACATTTTAAAATGTCACGGAACATATAGATGAATGCCTTTTTATTTTTTATTTTTTATTTTTTATATGTATCTTTTTTTTGTTATGTACCAATCATTTTTGATGACCTGTAAATATTGTGATATTAGTTTTTATTTAATAAAACATACAAAAAACAACAAAAAAACATATAGATAAATGCATTTTTATTTGAAAATACTCAAGAATTTATAAATACATGTACATACTTTTAGTTTGCTAGACTTTTCATGTAATGATGTCATCTCCTTTTTAATGGCCGTCAATTTGCCCTGGTACACCTTGGCTTCAAGCATCTGTAAATTATAGATCGTAATCAAATGGTTAGTTTTCAGTTTCATAGATAAAAATACAAACATATTAGGTGAGATCATGTTAAACTTTCGTTATAATCAACACCTACGACTTATAAATTGATCAACAAGTCAAACACGACCCTGTAATAATAGTGCCTCTGTTTGAATACATCATCATAACAATTCAACGTTTCCCAAAACTTGGCCGATTTAAATTGAGTTTTTACTTTTGAGCTTTATGAGAAAAAAAATTCAATAAAATTCAAAGTGTATTAATCTCCCACCCCACCCCTCAGCCATTTAATAACCCGTAGAATGCCAAGGAGAGTTTTTAGATTTGATTTTATACATTCTAGTTTGAAACAATTTTTTTTTGTGATTGGTACCCTTAAAAATATGTAAAAGAGCACTATTTTACTTATAAATACTTACAATATTAAAGATCATGGAGCATGGATTACTTACCATCTTGGTAAGATCCTCAACTATCTTGTTCTCTGCAAATTTTGTGTTTTCTTGCTGGAGAGTTTCAATCAATAGAACTTGGTTTCTCCTGTTCAATAAATACAAAACAAAAACGTGTTTACGACAAATCAATAAATGTTTTGTTTCTCTGATAAACACTCGGATGTGTACTTTTCTATGGTAAAGTTCTGGCTGATCGAATTGATAAGATATCATTGAGTTTGGACATGAATGGCTTCATTAGATGCATCCTGTGGAGAGTGGCTTTGAACAGTGAGACAAATCCCATTTCGTAAATTACATAATCTTCATCATAGAAAAATCAATTAATCATCATATCTGTAGAAAATAACCAAGACAGAATAACTCCTACAAAAGCATACTTTGTAAGAACCTCCTCAGCAGTTCTTTCCTCCCGTTTATAGATTTGTTTATCATTGATAAATAATGATAGAGGCTGTTCACACCGGCAGAGATAGTGTGCGCTAGACTGCGCTATCTCTGCGGTTTGGAAGGTACAACGTCATTTCAGTCCGCCCAACAGCGAGCCACGGCGTGCCACTGGAGCACCTCTTGGGGGTGGTCCACGAGAGATAGCGCGGTCTAGCGCGCGCTAGAAAAAAGGGGGTGCTACGATAGACCGCGCTATCTCATTGCGGTGTGAACAGCCTCATAGAGAAGTTACTTACGTAAGCTCTGTAAGTGATTTATCATGTTTCTGGAAGTGAGGAAGTATAGCATCTAGCAATCCTTGAGTGAGATGATCTATACATGTGTCTGGGATGGGAAGAATCTCTGCCTCTGTGCTACCGTCCTTCTCAACACCTGAACCATACAGATATAAAATACAAGGTTGCACTACAAATAATACATGGTAAGATATTAAAAACTCGATGTTAAGTAATAGTGTTTCAATTTTCAGTAAAGTGCACACATTGTATGGATTATCTAGAGCCTAGAGGGGGGGGGGGGAGATCAACAGTAAATTTGATTCCCTGGACGATTGGCTGGCTCGAGCATATCATGTACAGCCTGAGGAGTGGTAGTATATATGAATAAATTAAGAAACTGTCCAAATCCATCCACCAAGCCACTTAATAAGTGATAACTAGGCAGACAGCTGTGTTACACATGTCCGCATATTCAAAGCATGACATCAGTTACATATTACAGAGTAAATTCTATGACTGTTTTAAAGTTTCATTTGTTTTTTTTACCTTCTTCATCATATGTGTCACTGAAAGTGCCTTTTCGATATCCTCTGTACAGAAAGCAGTCAAATGAAAAATGTTACATGCATGGACAAATAACAGTAAGAATAATATACCTTTAGAATCCACCTTAGCAACAGGCTCCTCCTGCCTTCCCTTGCTTTCTTCTGATTTCTCTTGGACGTCTAAGGAAGGATCTTCTGACGCCTGAGGAGGATCTTCTGATGCCTGAGGAACATCTTCTTTCTTGTAATTAGAGGTTGCCATAGTTCAACTCTGAAGGAAAAAAATATATATACATGGGTAATGGAGTATTTGGGGTATTAAAAGAGTAATTTACCTTCATTGCATTTCTTTCATGAATTTACACATATATAACAGTCGAGATTATTATGCTAACATAAAACTCAACAAATTTCATTTTTTTAACATTTCATCATACTTTTTTTTCTTCTTGATGTCTTGGATATCTCATCATATCCTCCAAATTCATTAATCAATTACCTAAGCACAAACAAGTTCAGAGGTCTAATCAATAAAAGGAAATTTAACTGGAAAAGTTTTGTTTCCCATGCTTAAAATAAATCTTAGGACAAACTACTTTTAGTCAATAGCGATGCCCATTAACAACTTTGGAAAGCTTGACAAACAAAGTTACCAGGTCCATAAGTTCAGGGGTATTCTATCAATTAAAGGGTGGCGTTACTACTTCAGCAAGAAGGGATTAGACCACCCAGTAAGCCATCGAGGTCACTGTGACAGGTGGCTATCTGATTAACTCAGCTCTCATTTAACATAAGAAAAAAAGGATCATGGGGGACCAACAGGCACCGATTTGGGAAGTTTTCGATATAGAGGGAGCAAGTAGCTACAAGTGAGACAGTGTGCCTTTAAGTTATGCTGTAGATCAACTACAGCCTAGCGAACGACCTTGTGCAATGACGAATCTCAAAAGGTGAAAACTCTTACCACAATATAAAGCCTGAATTCTGAATCAAATCATTTAAAATATATCTTTTTATATAAAATCAACAATGCCCTGGAGTAGAATGGTATTTATACCCTCTTCTCTCCTTACGTCCACCTTTCGTTCCTATCTTTCTCTCTCTCTCCCTCTATCTCTCTATCTCTCTATCTCTCCCCTCCCTCTCTGTCTCTTTCCCCCTCTCCCCTCTCTCTCTTATTACTATTTTTGCTCCTCAGTCTCCTTACAACTTTTTTCTCACTTCTCAATCTTTGAATGTCGACTTCTTTCTTAAGTTTTCCCTATTACTATGTAATTTATACTTATGTGTTTTGTTAATGTCATGATCTCGTGTGAATTTATGTACATTATGTGACATATCAATTATTTTGTAACTACTTTGTATTATGTTTATGTGCTGCCAGTGGAGGCCAATTTTCTATGTTTTTTAATATGGACCAATAAATTATCTATCTATCTATCTATGCAGACCAATCCTATCCCTATGTAGATCTGGAATCTAGATCTAGACTCTACTTTGTTATCTTTTAATTAAGGTAAAACAATATTAAATTGTTAATTGTCATAACAAATCAAAATTAGCTTAAGGCTTAAGTCATTGGTTAAAGGTATTACAAAGTTTTGGGAAATATTGAAAAATGGGTGGATAGTGATTCTTTACAATTTTGATATATTTGGATGCCCCTGTGGATGTATTAAAACACCAGAAATTTAAGCCCCTAAAACATTTCTGCTTTCGTGAAAAATTGAATATAAAGATTTACCGGTGCTCCCGGTAAATTTTGATAAATTTCAAATAGGTCCTACGGCCGTACAATGGTAGCTGCGACCATGCAAATCACAGAGTATGTAGTTGTGGTATATAATTTCGGAACGAGAATAGCTAATCGGTCGATTTTAGTCAATAGACATTGTTTTATAGCTTAATTAATATCTTGACCTTGAGAGGGAGCTATTCAACATGAAGTGTTTATTATTTACAATTTCATAACTTTAGAGTCGATTTCGACCGCGACAACGATCACTGAATATTGTAGGATCGTATATGCTTCCAATATGTTCATTTGAACCAAATTCATGACCCCATACCAAAACTTTGTATTACTGGCCATGTTCGCATCAATTGAGAACTCAGCTGTGCAACTTGCACAGTACATGCATAAATGGTAATTACCCAACGTCGGTACAGTATCGTGCAGCAGTTTGCTTTGAATCCCGTGAGAAGGTGTATATTAAAGTCTTTGTTTTTAGGAAAAATACTCCAAGAATGATAAGAAAATTGACACGAAACCGGTAAGAAAAATATAACAACTTTTAAATCATGATCATATTATTTGAAGATCTCCACACCTGAGTTACGGGTCAAAGTACGGATATGATTCTGAAATAGTGCCGAAATCTGCACTGTAAGTTGTTTCTAGTATAGTCGTACTGCTACTGAACTAGTCATGCTAGTAGACCTTACTGTACACTGTCCCTCCCTGTCACTTTATCGTATCACTAGTATCAGTTCACTAGCACTGCCTCGACCATCACATGATCACACCCCCGACAAGACGGGGGGCTCGGAGCCTTGTGATCCGCTAAAATATTCTTTTTATGACGGACGATATTCTAGGAGAAAATATGATTTTATGATTACATGCAATACTCTAGAAGTAAATTCTTTATCTTCTCCAATTAGTAGGATTCTTACCTGGTAATTTACTGTCTATTCTTCAGCCATGTCACTCTGTTTTTACAAATTTCCAAACGAACTTGACACTCAACAACGGATGGATGAAACTGTAAGGTCATGAATATGCATTCGATTAACCCATATCACGCGCGCGGTGTCGATGTCAAGCGCATATAATTACAAAGTGACCCTTTTGAGTAGTTTGGGCTGTAAGAATTACACATTTGTTCTTTAATGTAAAAAGAGCAAATCAAATGATTGACATCTTATTTTCAGATTTTAAAAAAGGACATATTTGTTGAATTCCATGCTCCCCCCTTTCTTTCTGTCTCAGTCTGTCTGAAGTTCCCTGTTTCTCTTCAACTCAATATGCCCCCAAACGTTAAAGGCCCTAAACAAAAAATATCAAAGAAAATTTGCTGTGGGTAAACAGTACATAAATAGGCTTCCAATTCCTATGGGAGCTAGGTCATTCCGTGCTACATCATCCCTCCCCCTCATCTGCTTCCTCTCTATCACACCATCCCATTTCCTCTCTATCTATCTCTCTAGCTCTCAACCCCTCTCTCTTTTTCTTGATCCCTCCCCTCTTATCTCCTCTCTCTCTCTCTCTCTCTTTCTCTCTCTCTCCCTTCTCTTTTTTCTCTCACTCTCTCTATCCTACCATAAATTGTCATATATAATTGTTTATCCATCAAGGTTAAAAAACAGGGCGACTAAAGAAAAATACAAGCATTTCATCATCAAATGATTTATTAGTAAGTACAAACTATTGCATAACTGCACATGCATTCAGCAAAGTCTACAAATATTATTGTTGCAAAAATATGAAAGCATAAATTGCAAGATAGTTATGAAAGACAATGATAATAATCTATGATAGTAGAAAATATGACAGACCATGATTGTAAACTCTTTCTTATATGCCACAAAAGATATAATATTATTGCAAATTGCCAACTGCATTGCAGTTCCAAGAGAAATTTGACCTCAGATAATAGAAATATATCTACATACATATATATATATATATATATATATATATATATATATATGTATATATATACATTTGCATAACTTTCTTTCCATGTCCATATTCAGGTTTATTTTATGAGCCCATGTTTGCATTAACATTTGCATATAACGATATCAATTAGACAGCATTATCGAAAAATCTAAAATCAGACATTACACCCCTTTCCCCCCCCCCCCCCAAAAAAAAAGAAGAACTCTAACTGCAACATTATATTAATCAATTCAAGTCAGGGTATTCTACCGACGCTGCTTCAGCTTTACATATTCTTCCATCTATCACTCACAATGCCCCACTAAGTATGCATCACCAACTGCATAATGTGAATGTGATGATGTTTGGGTACAGGAACCAGAAATCGCTCTTGCAATGTACACCTTCACCGAACGATGGCGTAATTGATTGAAAGTACATTATAGCAGTAGTAGCAATGTCGTTAATATACCCTGTCTTTAAATCGTTGGACACAAAAATAAGAATAAACTCAACAGGAAGTATAAAATGATATTTCATGCTATAGAGACAAGATTTCAGAGGTAGTGACATCATCCACTTTAAATTTGATGGATTTACAGCTAAAAGAAAATATTCGCTGTGACATAATTGGGTGCAACAATATACTATGTGGAAAAGCCTTATTGCATACTTAATCAAATGTTATCAATAATACTTACAATATTAATGTACATGTATCATAATTTCATCTTGAAAGCAAGTGTTTGGTAGTTGAGAAAAGATGAGGTAAAAGTTGTTAGTTGTAACACTTATTCACACAACAAATGTAAAAAATGGAATTCCCAATTTCCTATACAAAAATTTAAGTACATGACATACTTTATACACATAAATGCAGCTGAAAGACACATCAGCATAAACATAAACAATATCAACACAACTATATTGTACATAATTTAATAACATATCCTTGCAATCATAATTGCACTTCTTGAAAATAGGGAAAAGGGAGATTTCATACCATTGCTTGCGTGGGCTATATATATAATAACCATACATTAAATTTTCACCATAGAATAACAAAGATGGAGAATTGTTCTCTGTCTGGACAGTAGTTTGGTCCCTCTGTTTTTTGTTTCTTTGGTACCACTGGAAGACTTAATCAAGATTTGGCATGATTAACAATTGCTTTGGAAAACTCCTTATGATTAGTTTGGTGATGTTGACCAAAACTAATGTGTGTAGTTTTAAACCCTATCAAAAGGAAATAAATATGTCAACAGAATTTTCAATAAGGGGTGCATACCTTGCATAAAGAATGTATAAGGCTTCGAAACTCAATAAGATCATCTGCAATACTGGGAATGTATAAGAGGTTTATTACAAGACAACTCGGTCATTATCTCTGTGATACATATATTGAAAGAAAACTCTATGATTATCACAGATTCACAGCCAAATCAAATTTAACCTAATACCATGGTAGATGACTAGTCGTTTGCTATATTGAAAACAGTTCTCTTAAACTGCATCCATGTGAAACTTCTATACACAGCAGCCTACATATGTTTTCCCGAAACATTTAGCAGGAAAAAAAAGGCTAATTGTATTGCTTATTGCTATTAAAAACAGCTCAAAAAAAGGCAGTAACTTGAACTTGGAGTCTGTTTTTGTATGATGGCATACAGGGGGCCGTTTCTCGAAACCGTCATAAGTCTAACTTCTTAGAAATCCTATTGAAACGTGTGTTATAGAATTAACACACATTTCTATGGGATGTCCACGAACTTAGACTTATGACAGTTTCGAGAAACTGGCCTCAGCTCAATATGTTTTGATGACTATCTGTCACATTCCATCTATGTAATGTTCTCGGCAGAAAATATGTTTGTGAAAGGATGGAATAGTAAGTGAGTCAGCATCCCTAGGGGTAGGGTCTGGTAAGGACCAATACTGAAACAATTCACCAACATATTTATTATCCTTACTGGCACTCCTGTCACAAGTTTATCCTTTGGACTTCTCTTCCTGGTGTCCTCAACACTTGGTATATATGATAAACTAATTTGTTATGTACTGGGGAAACCCTGTCTACATACAAGAATGGACTCTTTTATTCTTGACTGTCCTGTACATGTGCACATATTTGAAAAACATCTATTAGTCCCGACTTGGAATGTCAAATGCATTTGAAATTTTACCTCTGAAAGAACATGGCTGTTATATTGCAATGGCAGTAGGCACTAACTGGCAGTGTTGTAACTCCTTGATCAGCTCTCACAAAAATATATGAACCAGGAGTTATTCATTAAGCTTACACCAGTATAAAGTCATTGCATAATCATGATTACATACAAAATTACTCTTATAACTTTATAAATACATTATAAATATATTATATAAGCTGTGTGATAAAAGTCAACATATCTTGTCAAAATGATTTACCGGTAATCCAAAACACCCTGTGATAAATTTGGCAGTACTGATAAATATAAGCATGCATTTATTCAGCCCACGAGGAAAGCACACACACAGACACACTCATAATTTATTCACATATTTAGTATGATTACAAACATGTTACAATAGGTTTACAATAACATGCAAACCTATGACACCAAAGTAATATCTTATCTCAAAAACTGCAAATTTGTGCTGAATCAGTGTGTTCTCAACAATTGATTCTACAATTTTCAAGGCCTCTTTTCCCAACGCCTTTTGACTAGTTACAGGTAATTTTGAGTTCTGGTAAAGACAAAATTTATTCTTAAAGGATTAAAGACTAAAGATAAGTTATACCTGAAAAAAGTTTAATTATGGCAAAGAAAGAAAAGGAAATCATAGTAGAAGTCACAACCACATGACTTACAAAAAGTCTCACCTGTGCAGGTGTGATTTGTGCATTCCAGAGAAATGTGATGTCTAGCACATTTTAATTAGTCAGTTGCTGGTTCCAACAACACTACAGCATGATGGACGATTCAGGATAACTTTAGGCCAGTTTCTCAGAACTCAAAATAAACTTTAACAATCAAGTTATGAATGATGGTAACAAAATATTTGGAGGTGCATGACAAATTTAAGCCTTTATTTTCATTCAGAACTCAACTGCTTACAGTACGGCACATGTCATGGACTTCTGCCTCTTCAACGCTTGCTTTTTCCGATCCTTGATTTCCATGGCAACCACTTGACCGATCTGTGTGGTTCCAATCAGAGCGCCCTCTATAGCTGCAAGACAGGACATGTTGGAGTAGATGTAGATCTCAAGGAGCTGGTTCCCGTTGCTACGTCGCCACAGGAAGACTTTCTGTATTGAATGAAAAGAATGATAAAATGAGGTAAAGAGGTCAGATTTGTCAACTCTCAACTCCTATAATTCATTTACATCTAGAATATTACAAGCTCTTAAATGGAGCACAGGCAGGTAGGTTTGTGATTGGGAATTAAAGAATGGAATCACTGTGAATAAAAGGGGGAAAAAATGACATAAAAAATTATGGGACAAATGATCCATCAGAGAAAATGTACTGATGCCAAGTTTTCCTCAAAATGTTGTCAATGTTTCCTTACAAATGACATGCCAAATGCAAGCAAGGTCTCATTGTCCTCAGTCTCCAGTCAACATTGATTCTAAAACAATGCATAAGTCATTAAATTTACATTGATTGGGATGCAAATGGCTTTGAGGGTGTTTCCTGATTTTATACAACAACTGGTTTAAGTTCAGGAACTTCGGTATTTGTCTTCCTCACCTCATAACCAAAGCTACATGCATCAGGAGAAGAGACCACACACTCAAGATCTCTGTTCCTGAGGCAACAATAGACTCCTACAAGTACTCATTTTACCCCCGGACTATTCGCATCTGGAATCAATTACCAGCAAACTGCAGTTGCTGCTTTCCATATGACAGCCTTCCCTGTCATCAGAAGGTTGGAACCTCCTGTAGGTTCCAGAATGCTGTAAACCATATAGCAGCATTCATTTTTTACTTGCATGTCACTGTTTTACTGTATATAGAAATTGTACACCTTTTTGTTGTCTGCACCTTCACCTGCTGTCACAACACATCCCATCCCAGTATAGCTTGGAAAAGATGCTTCAGGGATTACCTCATCAAGTATTCATATGAGACATTTAGATTTACCCACCTTGTCATTTGAAGTCGTTGCCAGATATTCATTGTCCTTGGTGAAGCAAAGGTGCTGGACAGACTTGGCCTAAAATTGGGGAAAGTGAGAGAACAAACATCACCAAATAAATTAAAATCAATTAAAAATGCATACTCACAAAGATGCTCAAGATGATTTGAAGATTTCAGAGTATCAGAGTCACGCCACAGTAGATTTTTCAAATTTGTGATTCTATCCATGATACTCAACTAGATTTAGGTGGCATCTTCTCTTAAAAACATGAGTACTATAATATTTTGAGAAAAAAATGTACCAAGCCCACTTATATTTTCTTTCAATAGCTAAATGTTATAAAATCATTAGGACAAGGACAGTTCCTCTCTGTTAAAAAGAAAGAGTTACAATTGGTTAGTTCATGATTGGGTGAAAGTTAATTAAGAAAAAAATTACAGGTAAGAGATATTTTTGAATTATATACCCTGATCTGCAAATCTACTCTGGTCATCTGAAGGTCCCAGACTAACGCATTGGCACCTTCCATTCCACAGGCCACATGGTGTTCATCAGGACTTACTCCTAGACAATTAATAGGACTCTGATTCCCTTCCAGCTTCACAAGATCACTGGACGAAGACAGCTTCACGTACACCAGCCCTGCATCACTCGCCACCACCAGAATGTCCATCAGGGTGAGGCAGAGATTGGAGATGTTGCCTTTGACATCAAGGTTGAACTGCCGCTGAGTCTTAAGAGATTGAATGTTTATAACGCAGACTGTATTGTTTGCATATGCAACTGCTATGTATCGTTCATCTTGGCGGACTGCTATGGCAGCAACAGCATTCTTGTCACCTGGAAGGACATTCAAGACCTTCTTCAGGCTCAGATCGGCGATGACTACACGTCCATCTGAGCATCCTACAATGGCAGTTCGGGCAATGTCAGTTGCTGTAAAGCAAGTGATTCTGCTGCTTTCATCTTCCCCTGTCTTCACATGCACGCTTTTCTTGGCATCACTCTCCCAGATGCTGATCAAGGGTTTCTCTGGGAACTGCTGGTGGACAACATACCGGAGATCTTTGGTTATTGCTGCCATATCTTTCTTGTCGACAAACTTGTGGTGGTGCTGTGACAAGTATTGAGGGGAGATGTCCCACAGTTTGATGTATGGGGTGCTGAAGGAGGCAGATGCAAGTTGATTCTTGTGCCGTCTGAGGAGGGAGATGTCACTCTGTTGACCATCCAAGACTCGAACCTCGGTCCCACTGATCAAGTCCCACACTATGATGATGTCATCATAACCTCCAGATACAAGAAGACTGCCATCAGTAGCTACCTCAATGCTCTCCACACACTCTTCATGACCTGAAACATGTACATGGTAGGATAAAGGTATGAGAGATGTATATCTGGATAATCTGGCAAACCTGAATTTCGTAGAGTCCAGGATTTAAGAAGTTCAGATGCAACAGAGCAACCCACCCCCCCCCCCAAACAAAATAATACACACACACAATATTTAAATGTAAAGCACAATGTAAATACAAGTCAATTCATAGCTTGGATGAACATTCAAATGTGTCTCCTTTTAGGTGTGTGTAACTTTGGTTCATACAGATGTATATCAAATCAGATATGATTATTTTTTGTCTGCTGACCGACCTTTAATGTCCTAAAAAGACTTCGAATCAGGGTCTGCTGATTCAGTTTGTAGGCAAACACAGAGACCTGACCATACCACATACATTACGAACATACTTGTCAGTATTTTGTTACTAGTATAATTCATTTGCTCTATTATATATTGTATTATTGTACGGTTTATATATGTCATTTCATTCGTGGATATTTGAGTGGAAAATAAATCAAATCACATCAAATCAAATCAAATCAAATCAAATCAAATCAAATCAAATCAAATCAAACAACTCCCTTGTTGGCTTGATGATCTCATTAGAGGCAAACTTTGGATACCTACAGAACTTCCAACCATGCATATACCTTGAAACAACATTATAACTAATATAACAAGTCCTGTTTCTTTTACAATAAATAGTAAGCAATAACATTTAAAAAGTTTGACTTAAGAAAAAGGATGAACTAAAGGTACTATGTCCCATTTGCAGGCCAAAAAAATGAAAAAGGTAAATTCCAACTGCATTTGAAAGATAATCCTAATTTAGAACTTCCCTAAAAAGGGTGGGGCTTGAAAATGTCTTCAAGTGGGAAAATAACAACTATTAGTTGTCAAATCGACTTTAGGGCTATAGAGCCCAAAAGTAATAGTCTTGATTTTCAGACAATTCAGTACCGAATGGTCATACGTTTTATGCTGCGCAAAGATTCAATCAGTTTAATCTTGGCCATCACAAGAAGTGGGTTATTGATGTAGACAAATGCTCATGTACCCTCTTCAAATCTTTTCATGTATGTTATTACCAAAGAAGAAAAAATGCCAGTCAGTCACTCAATAGTGTCTGACAGTGAAGTCTAGCAAGTAAACGGGTTTCCTTGCATAATTTGAATATGAGGACACTGCTAACGTTTAAATTTCACAGATAGGACATACATGACATATTCATAATTCCTGCAAAGTTCTACAGAATTTGAGGTTGGCTGCAAAAGGGACATAGTACCTTTAAAGAGATATCCTATCTGATATAGAAATTTATTTTGCTTTGAAAGTACTCATAATCCATTTAGGTCCATACTGCATCAAATGTAATAATTTTGGCTTTAGACCATGAAGAATGAATGGATTTGTTTGAATATATAATGTTAAGTCTACCTTGTAACGTGCTCTGCAAGCACTTCTTCACATAGTCCCAGACATAGATGTTCTTGTCAGCTGCTACTATCAACAGGTTCAGGTCTTCTTTGATGCACACACAAGCTATTGACTTTTGTTCTGAAACATTTTCTGTCAATGCTACAGTCCCCTTGCTGTTCTTGTTCTCATCTGGCTGAATTAAGCACTACAAAGAAATGATCATAAATCCAATGAACAGAAATATTTGAATAAAATAATTGGAAGCATAGAACACATTATCACATTGTCTGTACTTTAAACATGAAATTCAGGATACATATACATTTTTTACCTCTGTAGAATATAAACAGGACTTCTTAAAATGTGGTTCATTTGTAAAATTCCTTTATAACTTTCATGTTAGTGTACCGGTAATAATAATAATAATCCACTTTTATATAGCGCTTAACACAATGTCTCTTAGTGCTTTACAGATATACTATTACCCCGGTCATTGGATTCAGTGCTTGCCGGCACACACTGTGTACTTTTGTTAACAAAGATTAGTGAATAAATTTATGATTTTTATTGTTCCAGCTATCTTTTAGTGAACTTCTGCAAGCATCATTTTCTCTAGAAAACATCAACTGCCCTCTCAATAACTTCCTTTTGAAATCCAAAGCATTACAAAAGAATATTTAAGCGAACAGAATAATCATAACCAAGATATAGGATGCAAGCAGGTACAGCTTGGGGATAATAAGACCACAGGAGAAACTTACAAATGTGCCATCTGCGTATCCCATTCCTACACTTCCAGACTCTGTGTTGGTAAAACAGTTCACTTGACCTTCATGAGGGCAGAGGTCATAGAGCAGGTCAAAGGTTGTCATGCTATGAGTGATGAAGTGACCATTCTGTGTTATGATGTGTAGGTACTGGTCATTCGAGGACAAACAAAGTCCCTTGATCTCACCACTGGTTACATTGATAGTGCGCTGCAAGGCACCAGACTGGATATGGTATATCTGAAAATAATGGATAAAAGGAAAACGGTTAATACCTAAATACTGAATAACAAAGCCGATAAACAGCATACAAACTGAAGTGCTAAAAGCCCCCAAATTGCCTCCAAATCATACTAGTTTATCTCCCCATGCTAAGGAATATTAGTACTGTGTTAGAAATTCTTTTTAGAAATGGTGTTATAACTATAAAGACAATTGTGCAAAATGCTTACACGCATCTACCTAAAGTGATAAAATGATAATAATATGGATATTTATATAGCGCCGGTTTCCGCCAGGCTCTGACGCTCACAGCGCTTTATACACATATTACCCTGGTTGTAGCCAAGCTGCCAAAGTAGCTAGCGCTCAAGCATATCAGGTACCCATTTACACCTGGTGGTGAGTGGCAGATATGTAGATACATCTTGCCAAAGGGCATTAGTGCCATGGCAGGACTTGAACCTGTACCTTGTGATCTGCAGTCGAGTGACTTATCCACTAGACCACAACACCTCTATATATTTAAACCAAGTCTCACATTCATCCCACTTTACATTTTTTGAAATATCATGATAATAATATAAAGTCGACAGACAGACAACTCTGAAATACAGGAAGAAGCAAAGGAATCATCAATTGTTTTTTTTTTAAGATTACCTTCACTTCCTTTGCAGTACCAAACACCACGGTCTCAGAACTCTTGGGCACAATGATGCAAGCCTGGTGATCATCTCCTCTCTTGTCCAGATCCGCAGTCTCATTGACAGTCACAATCCTTGAGGCAGGATCACCACTCTGCATGTTCCAGACCTGAATGACTCCAGACTCCTTGATGTATCCCACAAACAAGCGATTGTCATGTGAGAAGGTTACATGAGTGACAGGATTGCCTAATACATAAAAAAGAAACATTTACAATAAAAATTAGCATTGGTTGCCGATCTCGCCTTTGTTTCGATGGCCCATTCCGGGAGCATTCCAGAATACCCATATCGACACCATTCTGGAAGCAGGGAGCTTTAAGTACCACATTTTAGCTTGCAGCCGAAATGGGGATTAACAGAACAATGGATTCTGGCGGCATTCTGAATGCCAGTTGAATAAATCTCTGGCGCAAAAGCAGCAAATAGAATCTTTTTTGGTGTGTGTATGTCATCCATAGTATCACAACCATACTCAAATCTTGATGAATTGATGCATATTTATTGGTGACATAATGTCTTTCCAATCAAAGACCACCATTCTTTTCTCCCTTAATAAATAATAATGGCGGTTGTAACAAACACCCATAATTTTCCTATTTAAAGGGATGCTCAAGTTGCCTACAAAACTACTTATATGACCCTGGATTTAGCTAAGCATCCCTATAACACTCACAGCATTCAATCATTCAGACCAGGTGACAAAATGTTGATTAAATTCATAAAACAATGTCCAATGATGACAAATATCCTGAAAATGTTTGCCTTTGACAATACACATCACATCACTAAATTACCAGAGAGAATCAATGCTTTCTAGCCAACTGGGGTACATCTAAAGAAGTGAATACCAACCATCTTGAGGATCTCTCATAAAGAAGAGCAACTCATCTAAGCCTAGCTCCCAGATGTAAACAGCCCCCTCTGTGTCTGATGTTGCAAGGTAGCTGCCATCGTTGCTTATTGACAGATCACAGATGTTACCTAGAAAAAAGGAAGAAAAATAGTACTTAGAGCAAACAAAAAGCAGGTAATTCTATGTTTGAAACACTGAAAATGTATTACATCAAAATAGGATATTAAACTTCATACAGACCCCAAAATCTTGAAATCTACGGTCGGCTTTTTTCTTTCAAAAATATGCCATTCCATCTATGGTCCAGCTCATATTGGAAAATAGAATAGCTTGCATTTGTCTTTGTGTATGGGTTGAAATTTAGGAACAGTGAAACCTTTACATTAACAGCATTCCTGGGAGACAACAAGCAGTCTTTAAAAGCAGGAGGTCATTATGTAAATGCTGTTTTTCTTATAGTTATCAAGGAGGAAAAGAATGTGGTCTTTACTGACAGGGAGTTTGCCTATGCCGGTGGTTGCTATTAAAAGCAAGAATAAAATAAAAACAATATCCTACCTAGATGTCCGATGAGAGTAGTGCGCATTGGGCCTCCAGGGGTTGGGAAGAAGCTCATCTGAGGGATGAGAAGTAACCGATTTGTATCCTGACACCACGTCTTGCATCCCGCTATCACTCGACCAATCACATCGGGATACTGCTCCTCGAAGTAGCTCAATCGCCCCAGAAGCTCAATGGCTACGGGTTGGGTGTTGTTCTTGAACTCAAGGGTAGGCTTGGCCAGTCTGGAGGGAATCAATAGCAGGATCAGTACAAGTTTATATAAATTGATTTCTCAAACATAATTTCAGTAGTGAATACACAAGTACTACATCTGTACTTTACACTTCAACCTTCAAATGGCTCTTTGAATGTTTTGATGAATAGTTAATTCGTCAGAGATATAGGGTTCGGTTTCCTGTTAGGGTGGGGTTAGGTATAGTGTTCGGTCCAGGGCTGAAGTTGGGAATTTGGTAAAAGTTAGAACAATCGTTGCAAAAATTAATGTCATAGACCCAATGTACATGTAACACAAATAAATTTGTCAACACTTTGACTTCAAACATGCATAAAATAAGTTTTAAATCCTGTCCTACATGTTTGTAGGGCTTGATATTAAAGCCCCACTGTACTACTTGTAGCTACTTGTTCCCTCTATATAGAAAACAATGCCTAATAGGTGACCATTGGTCCCCCATGATCCTCTTTTTCTTATGTTAATTGAGAGCTGAGTTGATGAAATAGCCACCTGTCAGTGACCAACCTGGGTGGTCTAATCCCTCCTGGCCAAACTAGTACAAATAGGCTTCAAGATATCTCACCGTAGTGTGTCTTGTAGAAGTCCAAGCTGAGTGCACATCTCAGGTCCAAGGATGTCAGGATAGGTGAGGGCCCATGACAACTCCTCAATCAGATACTGAGTTGAGTTGGCTAGCATGGATGTCAGGATGAACTCGTAGTTACCAAGTGTGCTCTGGAATCGGACAAAGAAACAAGCAACATCTTTAATAGCTAATCACTGGACAATGCGAGGAAATAAAGAAGAGTCTCTAGCCTTGCCAAAAAAAGTCTTAAGTAGAGTTTTTATGTTTTACACATATTAATACTTCTATACAAACACTCAACCAATACAGTTTACTAGAACAGGGGTAGATGACCACATTTACAATAATGAAATTGGTGATAAATGAAATGATATGCATTTTCAATTTGGAAACTGAACAAATCTATTAGTCCATCCTATGTGCACCATCAATCTCATTCTCTCCGACTCAATGTGGAACTTGAAGCCTTGAACAATGTATGAATTTCCTGGGTACCTCAACGAATCTGGGGATGTCTTCTGCAAAGAGCAGACTGTAGGGGAGCTCACTGATCTTCCTCTGATTAAACTCCTTGTCGAATCTGAGAGGCTGAGAGGCCACTTTACGATACGCCTGCAGGGTCTCCTTCCTCTGAGTTAACACCAGGGTCTACAGTAAAGAAAATAAGATATAACATATTTGATCTTCAAGATTGATGCACCATACTCTGCATGTAATTTATTTAAAGCAATAAAATGTAACATGGAATTGAATTTCTACTTCATTTTTATCGTATTTATTTACTGCATATTTATGGCTTATATAAAGAATGGGTGTGTTCCTCAATAAATAAAAGTTCATGTTTCCACATTTTTCTAAAATTCTTTAATCCTTTGTTCAAAATAATTAATATTTTTATGAGACATCAATTTTTCTCCAACATTTCAAAATTAATATAGGAATAAATAAATTGGTCGTCTTTTTTTTTATAGAAGCCTAACGAAACATTAGTATGTTAGATTGAAAAATACCAAAGCAAAGGGAAACTATATACACCATCTTTACTACTACTAGAGTATTAACGGCTCATCTGCTTACCTTTGGTTTGTCACTCCACCGAGCCTCGAAGAAATCGGCCAAAACCTGGTAGTGTTGTCGTGCTACCTTGGGATCGTTCAGGTATCTGGCAAGGGCTGCTTCCTTGAATTGTCTGGTATGAAGAAAAAAAGTAAAGATGCAGTTATTTTCATAATCTCATTCAACTATAACACGATGTCTGCACCTCTATTTATCCTCATTCATAGTCTTCTGATGTTATTACACAAATCATGGCTATTGGTGTTCATTATGGCAGAATTTGCTCTTGAGAGATTATCAACAGAACCTGGTTATGTTTAGTGTGAATTGCAGAGATGCCAACCTTCTTCAACAAAAAAAAGTATTCTTAAGAGCAAAAAACAGTATTTTTGGACAAAAAACAGTATTTTTGAAAAAATCTCTCAACTTAACATATCGCCCAATCGAGCAGCTTAAAAAACCTGGCAGTACCACGTATACCTACCCGGATTGGAGCGCAACGTGCATACATTACACGTGGGTTGTTCGCAATGTGCGCAGTTTGGGGCCCGTATCACCATCCTGCGTGCATCGTTTGAAGATGTAGGTGCATAATACACTTACGACACAAAGCCCATGATCAGAAATTAAGAAAAACATCACTAAAAAAATTTTTAAAAAAAATGAAAAAATAAATAAATAAATAAATAAAAATAAAAAAATAAAAATTTTAAAAATTAAAAAAACGTAACAAAACATACAAAAAACGTACTGCCGTATTCATAGCGAAAAAACGGAACAGTTGGCATCTCTGGAATTGATAACAATGGCAAATGTGTGATCGATTCACCCTAAAGTTGCCTATAACGGGTGATATTTTATAACCTTATGTCGTCCTGTACAAGAATCTAAGACAGGCCAATCTCTCATGTTCAACATTGTGTGATGATTTTCAATGACTCTAACACTGAAATCACACCCTTCGATAATATAGACTGTAATGCAGGCCAATTCACAATATAAGTTTGTGCAAATCTGGGGGGCGTTTCACAAAACTTGTCATCAGTGACAAATGACAGATTTTGTTATAAGCTACTGAAATCCTTGCTTCTGATTGGTTATCAGCAGATTTGTCATTGCAAAAAGGCTTTGTGAAACGGGCCCCTGTTCTGTGGAGAAGAGGAATTAGACCTACCTGTGATAGAGGACCATAACAACCCTTCCATCAGCCTGTCTCTCAACAAGGTATTCCTCAAGCTCGTATTTAAGACGAGTCCAGAGCAGTGATGGAATCCGTACTGTGGTAGGATCCACCGGGGACCAGTACTGGTATATCTCATCCAACACTTCATCGTCGATAGAGAGAATGTCTTCAAGCTCAGCATGCGATAATCCACTCCTACAAAATTTTAAAAGAATGCAAGAAAAGGTATGAAATTCATTAGTGGATGAAAAAGAAGAAAAAGGTCTCCTCAGCAGACTCAGCTACAATATGGTAACAAGGATATAACCATCTTTGAGCATGATGCAAAGATAATAAGACTGATTTGTTTTGACTAACTTCTACATACAATATATCTATGATGCTGCATAATTTTCTTTCAGTGTTAGGAAAATCTGATTATTACCATATTCTGTACAATCTTATAATTTCAATTATAGTACAGAAATATAAAATATGGACAAAGATCATATCTAAATTATTTTTCCAATCAGTGTTCGTTATATTCGTGCCTTGTTCCTTTTAGTTTTCGTTTATATTGATCGATTTCAGCTTTCTGTTTCATTCTTGCGTTTTACTCTGATGAGTGCAAGTCGAAAAGCTTTAGTTATGGCTCTTTTCAACGCTATTCTCCGATTTCATAGTACCAATCATCTTTTCAGTTTTCTATTTATGTGAATTATAAATTACAAATCTGGCATCAAATTATGGGATTGTGGTAAATATGCTAAAATGTTTTTAAAAAAAATGAAATCAGGATCTTTCTATACACTCACCTAGCAGCAGTTATATAGCCAAGAGCATGGGAAACCAGCTTATATCCAAACTGCCTCTCCAGCCTCTCAAAGAGTTTCCAGATGGCCGCCCTGACAGTGACAGCCAAGTCCTCCTCCCTGACCTTGGTATAAGACTTCCAGCGACGTGCTTCCTCAAACAGGAGCTTCAGGAACAGGGGCTGAGGGCACTTCAGGAAAGCTGGAGAGGGAAAGACAAAGATTCTTTGAGAACACCATGTTTAAAATAGATTCTGAATTGTAAATATTGTGTGCTGAGTGCCAGAACAGTGTAAACTCATATCATTCTAAGATAGCTAGCACCCTTCTGATTGTCAGTTGACAGTATTACAGAGGTTTCGTGGTCAAGTGGATATGTCACCGGACTGTGGATCACAAGGTCTGCGGTTCGAGTCCTGCCGCAGAACTAATGTCCTTTGGCAAGACATTAATCTACATTTGCCACACTCGACCCAGGTGATGTAAATGGGTATCTGGCAGGAATAATTGCGGAGCGCCATGAGTGTCAAGTCTGACAGATATGAGCGCTATACAAGAACCCATTATTATCATTATTCCAATCCTTTATAAATATACAGAAGATCTGAAAATAAATCTCTTTACAAACATGTTATGATCTGGAAGAATAAAGAGAGAAAAGACACTTGCTTCAAAGCAAGAAGACTAGCACACATCATTTATCGCATCAAGGAAACAGAAATTCACCTTTCTTGAGGATATTCTTCTGTTCCTCTGTCACAGCTCGTCCAGTGCTCTGCATCCACGTATGCATGATCTCATCACCAGTCCCTTCTGAGAGAGCTTCCACAGACAGGAAACATTCTTCATTGCCAAGCAACTGCCTCAGCTTGGGGAGAATGCCATACATGTCAGGGAGAGTGGACACAACTACACTGACTTTCGGAGGTAGGTTTCTCGGTAGCCACAAACATCTGAAACAAGAAAAACCAGGAAAATTATTAAAACAATTGACAAAATAGTGTCAAGGAGAGAAAAGATTTGGTCTATGTAACCAACAAATTTAAATGAAACTTCTCTTAAAGCAGATCTTTTGAATTAATGTGGCAGAGAGCTTGGATCTTATATTGGTTGCAAAAAGGTTGGTTGTAGGTTTGTAGGAGGTTGTAGGTTTGTAGGAGGTTGTATTTCTTTAACCTCTGAATTCATATAAAAACTTATACACATGTAGTATATGTTGTCAAGTATAGGCACAACATATTATACTTTGTCAATTAATAGCTTTGCCTTTACCTGCCTACATCTGAGTATTTATGAATGGCGTTTGCTAAAGTGATGCTATACTCAATACATTCATCAATAATGATACCAAAAAAAAGTTTGCTAAGGTATTAGAATATGAAAAGACTAGACAGGAAAACATTTACCTATGAGCACTATGAGCACTCTCAAGCTGATCCAGAGAATCAAGCATGATGATCAGATGTCGATCAGAGGTAGATGATACTTTTTCCAGGAGGGAATGAAAGTAGGGAAACAATTCCTTCGGCCTCCTCTCGATAAGCTCACTGTTGTCATGGATTTGAAAAGCAGCACAGATCTGCTGCGCTATGGAGAGGATCACGTTGATGATGGTTGAGCTTTGAGACGTGGTACCAAGAAACCTGGATACCACCACACAAGGACGACCAAGGTGCATCTGAGCATTCTCCTGTACCATGGCCATGATGGACGTCTTCCCGCTTCCAGATGGACCGTGGATCGCGATCGGCTTCCTGAACATCTCATCTTTGATTTTCGCAAAGATGGAATGAATGATGTCCTCGCAACCGTGAAAGTTGATGCACTTAGAATGGCAGAACTCAGCATGATGACAGACTTCCAGGAAGAGATCGTCTTTACTGAGTGCATAGTGGGTGTACTTGGTCTCGGCACGCTTGATGAGATTGATCGTACTGTTAGTTACAGCATTTGAGAATTGATCGAGGTAGGTTCGGTGCTCTGAACGAGAGGGGTCAATCCCCTTGGAAGACCATTTGACATTGAACTGGTGAATGTTCTGCTCTTTCAAGCATTTTGTTGTATATTTCTCTTTGAGATCTTCAAGAAGTGCCTTTCCATCCTCCTGTACCTTGTTGTTGCTATCCAAATCACAGAATCTTTGAAAAGAAAATTCAAAACATCAACCCATCAGAATTGAAATATAACATCAACTGCCTTGTCAAGGTTAATATTAGTGCTGTGGTCAAACGTTTAACCGTCTGGTATCCGACCGTCCATGGCGCCATCCTTTTTCAATTGGACGGTCTCATTTTCCCCCTTTTTTTATTTTTGTTATTTACAAATCAAAAGATATCACATTATCAACAAATAATATACATAATGAGAAAAAAAAATCACTGAACAAAAACGGAGACTTTACTGTCAGGCATGCATTGGAATAATGACTGGGTTTCACTTTGTTTATGAAGCTAATAAATCAAGTTTTGTTGACATTATAGTCATCATAAATAAGTCAGCCCCGACTGTTGAATGTTGAATTGCAGTACAACAATATACACGATAACAATCAGTTGCAAGATTTTGCATACTAGATTCATGAGCTTCATAAACAAAGTGAAACCCAGTCAGTTTCAAAGCATGCTTGACAGTAAAGTCTCTTTTTTGTATCTAATTATGTAAATCATTTGTAAATATTGTGATTTCTTTTATTTAATTTTCAAATTAAAACACAAATTAAAAAAATAAAATAAAATAAAATTATTAAAATTAAATTATTTAACCCCAAAAAGCGTCCGTTTGTGACTAGCGGTTAAAGGTAAAGACCAGTATTGGAAACGCCCCAATTTAAAAAAAATGAGATGGAAGCTCTTATTACCAATCATGTGAAAGAATATGTTTCGACTAATACATGATGATAAAAATTTTGCCGGGAAACCGCCTACTAATTGATATATTTGGTAAATCAGTTTATCTATTGGCCTGTGAGAGATAAACGCATGTGTCGCGCACGTGTGCGTAGTCCCATATACATCTTTCTGTGTCACTGCTTGTAACTTTACGAAGACTGGGCCAAATTTCTTATCATTTTGAGGATACCCGAACCTTGCAGTACACACCGATACTTATATGCTAGATGATTAACCTTTTCTGATCGATTCCACAACGTTTCTTTCACAATACAATCACATGACCATAACTGGTCTTTATCTTTGAAAGGAGTTAAATATCTGTGATGTTACAACACTAGTTAATAAAGGGAATTATTATGCTCAACCTCATAGCACTGCCATATTTATAAGATGCACATCTCAAGCTCTATTTTTAAAAATTTTAATACAAAAAGACTCCTTCCTATTCAGGGTATGATACATAAACTCTACTACTTACTTGCTGGCATTGGCTTGTCTAAGATTCTGTTCTAGATCCGTGATTGTTCTTAAGACCCCTACACAGTGGTCATCTGGATTCTTGGAATCAAGTGCCTCTCTCACTTCTTGTTCAGTCACTGAAAATGAAGAGATGAGCATTCTGTTATCATTGTTCTAATGTTTACATTTTGTTAACATAGGACACTACTAGACAAATGCCATAATGAAAAGGCGCTGTATGAATCCAATTATCATTATTGTTGTTGTTGTTATTATTATTATCATCCAAATAATTATTATTATTTTATTCTTTTAATCAATATCATTACTCTTCTTCTTCTTCTTCTTCTTCTCATCTCCCCACAAGGTATCTGGTCCAACTACAATATATATTTAAATAGTGAACAAAATGCAGGAGAAAGAGTCTTTGTACTTATTTTCTTTTAATTATTGGTGAGATATCATTAGTAATATATAATTGCCTCAACTTTTTTGAAAAGCAAGATTAGGTCAGAAAGCAATTATGTCACTTCAAGCATCATGACAAATTCACTTTAATACCTTACCTGACATAAAAAATGTGTGTTTTTCAGCAGGAGTAATCAGTCCGGCGTTCTCAGCCCCAGATGCCGCTTTCCGGAGTATATCTATGAGCTGCTCAGAGATGGCTGACCATTGTTTCCTTACGTTCTCCATGATTGGTTGTAGAACGTAGACAGGAGGTACTGTGTTATCATCCCTTAGATACCACGACGACAGAAGCTTGATGTCATCCGCGTCAGTGACGTGTTCATGGAGAATGCCATACATGCTAGCAGGGATAGTGGCTGGGATGGGACGATAGCCATATCGCTGACCCAGAATGAACTACGTACAATTACAAAGGACAGATGAAAACAATGGAAATTATCAATACATTCAATTCAATCACATACTAGATTTAATGACAATCAACTCCCACACATAATAACTTTACAATTACCTATGACTATCATATTCAAATGTTATCCTTAACATATCTGCATATTTCAAAAAAGGCATAGAAATAAAGATAGATTACAGGAGAACTATCCTTTGATAGATGACCTCACACTTATCCTAATCAATACACCATACAACCCTCACACAACTAACCTTATGACATCTACATAAAGAACCTGCATATGAGCAATACCCTTAATGGACAATTACCCCTTGCTTGAACAACTGCTCTTTAGTAGGGTGGAGTTTCAATATGAGAGAAACTGTGATAATTGTTCTACAACAGTCGTTGCCTGTAGGTTAGCTATATCAGGGGGGGGGGGGGGCTAATTATACTATGTCCTAGGTCCTAGGTACATGAGGTCATCCACGTGGGGGGGGGGGGGTAGTAAGTGAGGTACTTATGTCATGACACAATAGAATATGAGATATGAAGAGAAGATTCTCACCAGAAAGTTTGGCCCCATAGACACATTCTGACACTTCTGTATCTCCCTCAGACAGATCTGGGTGGTGGTATGGTCAGTTGAGGCTTCGTCCCGTACACCCCACCGCATATCAACCAGCTGGAAGTCAAGATCATGATTCTTACACCACCACCACACGGTGGGGTACACTTCATTCAGCAGCACATTCCTTTCTGCTTCAGCATCTGAGTATTGAGGAAAGTAGAAAAGGCATTTAGTCTTTGAGTAAAGGTGTCCTACAGACATATATACGTAACATAGAAACTGTAGCTGTCAAGGAATATTTCTACAACTTGCCAGTGATACAACACCCTAGAAATTGTCCTTTTTTTAACACTTCTACCAGTATTCTGTAATTTCATACCATAAACTGAGCTACCACATATTTGCTTGATTTGCGTGCAATGAAAAAAAAAGAAGGAATGGGCGCAAACCTGTAAGAGTGATTTGGGCCTTTGCCGGCAAAAAACCCCTCTGAAATTTAGAATAACCTCCAATTTTTTTACAAAGCTACAAAATCACTGCACTGAGAAATTCTGCTGCCTTGATATCAACTTTGTTTACATCAAAGCAGAGAGATGAGAGAAACTGGTCAGTGAAAGATTGAGGGAGTATGATAAACAAACAAAAGTATAATTATATCTTCTTACCAACAAATGTTGAGCTGACAAATAACCTGACCACCTTAGGAGGGAGTTCAGGTATTAATGTGGAGCCAGAGTAGATGGACTGCTTTATCTTTAACTCTTCTTCCTCATCGGCCATGTTTGGCTTGATCACCACCTGATAAAATACAAGACATAGTTTTTTAAATAATATATAATTTGGCATTTATAACCTTGTAATTTTATATTCACACAACTGTCATAAATGATCTTTTACTTTTATATATCCACATTGCATAATCACTGACACACCCTTATATTCAGTAAAACAATATGAAAAATATATACGACCAAAGTGACGACAGACAGCGAATGTTGCAATGGCTCATATTCGGCTTGATAATGATCTTGTGAAAAATCGAGGGAAATAGAAACAACATAATAATAGGATAACAAAGTGCAACTGCTGAAGCCTAAATAAGAGGTGACTTTGATATTTGAAATGAAATAAAAGATTAACACACAACACACATCTCTATTTGTTGCTCTAGTGAGTTACAGCCCGGTGAGTTACAATCTTCACAAGATCGTAAATACATAGTATCAGAAACACTTACAAGACAGGTATATCATAAACTGAAGAGCAAGATTGTTTATATTGCACAGATGTGTAGTTATACACACGCTATACACACAATGAACAAGGTATGCTAAAGAACAGGAAGTATGAGGCAGAGCCGGTTTGTCTAGTCTCGAGCTATTGCCAATCCTACACACTTCACAACCAGGAAACACTACATGAACATAACTTGCAATATACAAAATGATTGAATAGGAAAAATGCTGTTTGAAATAGCTTCCACAAAGAGTCAACAAAATAAAGGTAACATAATGCTTACCTTCAAGACAATTCAGTCCAATAAATGATTGGCTCCACGGTACATGTACACCAATAGGTAGACTAATAGTGTACAAACATAATTGACAGCTCAGGATATTGCACAACTTCCTTTAAAACACTTGACAATAATGTAGCCAATAAACAAAAACAGGACATTCTAAATTATACGCCAGAAAAGGAATTAGAGGTCATTTCCCAGTCAAGTATCCCAATGATTAAGTTGAAGAAGTAAAAATATCAGACTAATTGGCACAATTCTTGGAAAAACTTTGCAAATATATTTCTATGTAACTTTAGTTAGTAGGCCCTACCAGCTAAAGTTGTATATGTATCATGCACCAAGCTTTAGTTGGATATACTTTTAAATTGATAACAAAACCTTTAACTTTTCAATGAGGAAAAAAATCATAATTGGGAAGATAGAAATTATATTTGGTGAAAAATATATAACAGAGAAACAATTGTAACTAATTCATTCTAAATAGCAGTTGACAAATCTATTTCATTTATGAGAAACCTTCATCCCAAAAGAGCACCAACAAATATATGCAATTTGCGTTCTGACAATTGTAGTACGAAGGATAATAGCAGGTAAATGTAATGCCAAACATCACCAAACATCACCAAAACATGCCTGATAAGGCCGAAGGAAGCATCCATAAATTTGAATACATTTACGGTACTTGATAAACGACTTCACATACAGTAGTACGTCACATTAGGCCTACAAAAAAAAATGTTTAGGTGCCAAAAAATGGGTCAGTCGGTTGATTTTATTTTTTTTTTACCATTTTTTTTCTTCCCTTTTTTTTTCTTCCCCCTCTTTGGGCTGATATTTTTCATTTTTTTGCTTTAATACCTTTTTTTCTCTAAAAAAAGTAACATTTTTTTTTTTTTTTAAAGCCGACCATAGATTTCAAGATTTATGGGTCGGTCGGAAAGGGCAATAGTAATAGATCTACAACATCTTTTTTTTAGGCCGTATCAAGTAAATGGCGATGCCAATGTCATGCTAAGAAACAGTACATTATTTTTGCTTTATACCTCTCTAGTACACTTAAACTTTGGTGGGGAATCTTGTAGTTTAATGGGCAAGAATATAATAAATCTCTCATATTAAATGAGTAAAGTTATTTCTTGGAAGTTGGGGGTGCGGTTTCCTTTAAATATCAATAGATGCACAAACTTTTGTCTTTGCCTTTGTAAGTTTGCAACGTCATTGATCTCATTTCTGCCATACACCAAATGCCTGGGTCTAGAATCTCTAAAGTAGAGCAATTGTGAGCAAGCTGGCCAACTCTTTGTGGTCAAGTCAAACTTGAGCCGAGTTGAGTGGGCTGCGCTGACAGCTGACATGATGACAGGCGAGTCAATGCGCAGTCGATGGGGGTCGATGGAGGCTTCAAGCGAGGCGTTCCACCATATATCCCGACCCCAGCAGCTTGGGCGAAACAAACACCGGAAAAAGGGGTATCGCCACCGGTACAGCGGGGCGTCCGACTCCTAGCAACGCCAACGAACCACGACTCGTTAGAACACAGAACACGCATTGATTGCGATGTATTATCACAAAACTTTCATTATTTCAACTCCAAACAAAAAGTGAAATCAGGCTATATTAATACTCACCTTTTCAAAGTTACATGATCACTCTATCAGCAAGCAGTAGTCTATAGGTACACAGTTACTTCTCGGAGTTCAAGTTCTCGTGTCTATGTCTCGACTGCAGATCTATGTGTCGAATGATAGGGTCTGGAGTTGAAACTAACTTAGGGAGGGGGTAGGGGTACCGTAACGTACCGGTGAGTACGGTGGGGTAGGGGTGGGGGAGGTGCAGGGAGATGAGGGAGATGTGACTTCTTGCCGGGAGGTGGCCGGCCGTGGGGGCTTAGCTCAGGAGGTGCGTCTGGGTATATACGGCCTTACGGTGGGGTTGCATGGGGTGCATGGGTTGGGGAGGTGGGGAGGTGGGGGCTTAGCCCATGATTTCCCATGTAAAATAAAAAGATTATATATTTATAAAGCTGCATAGAAAAACAGAGAAAGGCCAGAAAGATTGAATAGATTAAGAGTACGTATAGTGTTGTTGCAAATTTTGCAATATCTACTGAGTGTGAATTGATTTATCACATTCTACTAATTCAGAATAGGGGAGGGGTGGGAGATCAAAGTGGGCCGACAATGAAATTCTTCATATGTAGCAAACACTGTACCATATGTGCCTGTACTAAGAATCAGTGTTACAGTGTATTTTTGTTGTTGAAATTTAGGTTAAAATTTCGACCAAAATTCTACTACTTTAACATATATATCCAGCACTCGGTTTTGGCTAATCATCAGCTAGTAGGAATGATGATTTTAGCATTAAAAAAAGAAAGATTTTACCTCTTCTGGCCACGATTGGCCCATGCACACCTAATTAGCACTAAAAATAAAAGGGGGTGTAGGCTCATTTTTTCATGAGAAATAAAAGGAGGGTGTATTCTTATTTTGTCATTTTGTATCGTGAACTCGATCGTAGTACATGTATAACTATGATGAAGGTAAGTAAATTGAGAGGCTACAATATTAATAATTATTTTTAAAGTTACAAAAGTGAAACGGTCTTCCGTTTTGATTCGTGTCCCCATGCATTCTTCCCCAAAAATGTTGATGCATGATGAGAATAGTTTTACATACTGAGTTTTACATGATGATGGCTAGATGCGGATCCATTATAGGCAAGGCCTAGTAAATATACTGAATTAGCAGACGAAGGGAAAGAAAAGAAAGGAGAGGAGAAAATGCGAGCGAGAGAGAGAGGGAGAGAGATCGAGACAGAGACAATGAAAGAGAGACAGACAGACAGACAGACACAGAGACTAGACAGAGACATAGAGAGAGAGAGAGAGAGAGAGAGAGAGAGAGAGAGAGAGAGAGAGAGAGATAGAAGAGAAAAGAGAGAGAGGAAAGGAAGGAGGGGACTCATATAGAACAAAGATGGAGAGCGTGAAAGAGAAAGAGGGGGCAATAGGATGCGATAGAGAGGAGATGGAGATATTATAGAGAGATATCGTATCCCTTATCGTATATAGATATATTTGAAAGGGCAGAGAGAGAGAGAGAGAACCGGGAGAGACCTTCCACCCTCCACCAACTCGAGTAAAAACTCGAAATGAATACAACTGTAACCAACCAAGATCCAAGAGGGAGAGAAAGTTAGGATATTTCCAGCCGTTTTATCACGATCTACATGTGACCGCTGCCATTAACAATACACACTAACAATTAATACCGGTGTCAGCTACTATAAAAGCCTGTTCCTAAGCCTAGTAATAATGCTTTATTTTTTTGTTTTTTATATTTTTACTTTCATTTGTCCTTTAATAGAAAATAATTCATCGAATGAATATTTATTTTCATCTGGAATGAAATGTATGATTAATCTTAATTTTATGTTAATATACCTAGAGGGTAAAATAGATTTTTGGACGAATAAAACATCCCGAAACAGCGGTGGTAGCTGATTGACCTGTACAGAGTATATTAGTATGCCACTCTAGCTGAATTGACCTGCAACTGATCATCAACGAACGACGCGAGAAGTATCACAGATCGAGAAAAGAACGGATTCCGGGAAGAAATATATACGTGATGGAAGCACTAATACCCGTTATAAATAGACTTCAAGATGTTTTTAATACTGTTGGAACGGATGTGATCCAGTTACCCCAGATTGTAGTCGTCGGAAATCAGGTAATTTAGACCGACGGATAATGGTGCAAGCCAGCCAAGCCCAAGTAAGCCAGTGTGCTGTGCCTCGGCCTAGCCTGTGCATAGTCATTGGTGTGGGTGGGTTGTGTCCGACTCGTACTCGACTACTCACTTCATGTATTTGCCGCTCCCTGCATTGTACTGACTCTGTTTAAGTGATCGAGCCGACTAGTGTAGAGTGTAGTTACATTTCCTATTTAGTATTTGTATATTTTGTGTAAAAGAATGTCTGAAATATGTTTCTTTCAATTATTATTATGCAGGTACTACCCGACGCCCGGCAGGTCTAGTATTATGGTCAATACTCAATACTCAATATGAATGATGGGGGGTTGTCGATGTGTGTCTGGATGCAGAAAAGAATAAAACCACCACTTTTAACTACAGATTTAATGAAATGGTTGCATCAAAAAGCACTAACCTTCATAAATATTTATCCTGTATAATAATAATATTCCCTCACTTTAAGTCATACAAGATTTAGAATCTAGGAGATTTATCAAATATTGCGTGTAAATTTCAGATTTCTGGACGCACAACTACTTCTGCCATACAAAATATAAGGACTAGTCTGTCCATTTTCTTGAAGCTACTCTGTTCGATGAGATTAGCAATCACACACAAACTGTAGATCTACTTCGTATTAATATGTATGAAAAAAAAACTGTTTTCTTGATGTCAATTTGATACTTGGTATAGGGTCTACTTTACTATACAAAAATAATGATTAGTTTTAAAAGGCACGCACAGGGAATTTGATGAAATATGAATCTGATAATGTGATAACTTGAGCAGGTATTTTCTTAAGAAAACCAAGAAAGCTAGAATTGAAATCTTGGTCAACTTGTATTAGTTGTCTCAGCATTTTTAATTTAAAAGCATGCTCAATGAGTAACCTGAAACTTATTATTATTGATTTACAGAGCAGTGGCAAGAGTTCTGTTCTAGAGGGTCTCGTAGGAAAGGATTTCTTGCCAAGGGGTAAGTATCTACTTAAAAGTTGAAATTCAACCGACAGAAAAGCAGAAAATGAGATAAGTAGACTGAGCAGTGACAGTTTGGGGAACATCCTATAAGTATAATATAAGAGTTAAGATTTTATGAAGTCTTATGACTTTCATTCAATTGATCAAACTTAAATATTCGACTCTGTATTTTCCTTTTTAAGCAACTCTCCCTTTTTTGTACACAATGTTGTAAAAACACTGCAATCATACTGTGCTGTTGGCATATTGTGGGACATTAACCCCATTTTGTACATCCATTCCTCCTTATGAAATTATAAATTATATATGTTTTTCAGAACAAACTTATAGAGATCTACTCTCAAGGGAAGAAATACAGTTGCCAATTTGTGTTTCAAGTATTTATAATTTCAAAACTTTGCAAATTTCTTATTTGTTGTATTAAAAAACAAACTCTCCCCTTAAGAGTTTTCTGCTTTTAACAAACTAACCTGTTCACAAGACTACTTCTCGGGTCCGTTACTCAAAACGGTCATAAAGGTCTAACTTCTTGGACATCCCATTGAAACGTGTGTTATAGAATACACTTGCGTTTCTATAGAATGTTCACAAACTTAGACTTAAAATGGTTTAGAAAACCTGGCTCCAGGATGCTTTCACCAATCCTTAACATTGCGAAAATTGGCAGACTTATCCTCATGTCAGACTATCTGGATACTTTGGTGCTGAGCAAAATTTTACTGGAGGAATGTCCAAAATAAAATGAACACATAATGAAATTGCTTGTACAGTACATGTATTCATTTTTAAAGGTAAAGACCAGTATTGGTAACGCCCCAATTTCAAAAAATGAAATGGAAGCTCTCATTACCAATCATGTGAAAGAATATGTTTTGACTAATACATGATGATAAAAAATTTGCCGGGAAACCGCCTACTAATTCATATATTTGGTAAATTTATCTCTCTCATGGTCGTGTGAGAGAGATAGGGTAGTCCCATATACATCTTTCTGTGTATAGTGCTTGTAACTTTACGAAGAATGGGCCAAATTTCTTATCATTTTGATGATTCCAGAACCTTGCAGATGCTAGATGCTAGATGATCAACCTTTTCTGATCGATTCCACAACGTTTCTTTCACAATGCAATCGCATGACCATTACTGGTCTTTACCTTTAAGCAACCATATCAGATTATATGAATGGATTACTCTGTGTATAGCTCCCTTACACAACCAATCTAAACTTTAGGTTTACACATAATGGATATTTAATCACATTAAGTATATTGCTATGCTATACATGTATGTGAAATCATTTAGCGAGAATTAATGAGAATAAAAATAGAAATGTTAAGTTATAGTCATAGTCTACTCTCTTAATCACTTAATTGCATTGGATTGAAACTAAAATGTGAGCACCAACCAACATGTTAGCTTCATTTCAGGCACAGTGTATTTCAATTCCATTGAGGTATAGGACCCAAATACAGGTACATGTACCAGTATTTCACCATTGACTGGGTATTGGGAATGGAAAAGCAATTTGAGGTGAATCTGTCGTGTGATGTTTAGTCATGACATGTGCACATATTTTGACTGAAATAATGTAACCATTTTAAATTTCAATACCCATGTACATGTAAGTGGTGATAAACCACATACATGTATGATCCAAATTGTATTATTTAGGAATCCGTCTTGGAATCCTCTGGGGTTTTTAAATGCTAACTAAAGTTTGAACTTCGAGGTAAATCTTTCACCAAGGGAGAGAAACTGATTTTCGTATTTACTCTTTAGCCAAAGCTAATTGAAGTATACACTGAAAATTTCTCTCATGAGTGAGTGAAAATTATCAGAATCCTCATATAGTTAATTACCCATTTCCACTGTCCTTTAAAAGGTAGTTTACTTCTTAAATTCTTTGTAATGAAAATGAATGTGATGTCATGAATACATTGGTATTTAATTGACTTATTTACAAAAATATGTGTCAAGTTTTGCTGAATGATTGAGAAGTGCTTTAATAGCTTTTTCTTAATCTTGTACTAGGGCAAGGCCTCTTTATTGAACCATTTTCAAGGAAAGAATGCAATTAGAGAAAACAAACTTTGTTAACTCATCACCAAATATCAGTCATCTGCCAATATTCTTAAGGTTTTCTTTCTCGCTTTTCTAGTTACTCAACCCTTGTTTTATTTTTTGGTGAAGTTTGTATGGTACATAACATTTATTTAGTTTTGCTCAAAATATAACTGAAATACAATATCACGAACATGTAACTTTTTTGCAGAAAATGCATACCATATTACCATGGAATAATGAAGTAAAATAGCATACGTTTTTGTAATTTTTGTAGATACCACTGAATAATCATATGGATTAAATGCTTTCAACCGTTCTTTGAATGAGTCGTTGCTCCATTATCCTTACTAAATCTCTTACTAATGTGTTTTCTCTGAAACAGGAAATGGGATAGTGACTCGACGGCCTCTGGTCCTGCAGATGGTCCATGTTGATCCTGAGGATAAGCGAGGAGCAAGCGGAGAAGGCGAAGGTATGTATAGTAGGATGTGGTCTGAATAAACGCTACCTGTGTAGTGGCTGGGTACATCGCATGCTCTCACGTCAAAATTTATAACAATACTCTTATTCCAATTATTTTATTCATGATATGGCAACAAAATGAACTCCCATGTTCTCATTACAAATTACAAATCATTTGAAATATCAATTTGAAATTTTGAATGTAAATTCTCTCAATTATTTTCAATGACACTCAATCCTTGTAAGAAAGAGTAAGTTTAGTGTGTGTATGTGTAAGTCTCTCTCTCTATAGAGTTTTGAGAATATAACATATGTGTATCATGTATGTGTATTTTTTTAAAGTTTAGTAGTCAAATTTGGTATTTAGAATCAGTATGTGTCATTCATGTACATTCATTGTGATGCGTGTTTCTATTTGGACTAAGCTATGCATTATTTTCATGAGACTCAAGATCAGTAAAAAAAAAATGTTCATGTCAGGGCATGTCCTCAATGAATTGGTGCTTTAGGGTTTTTGTAACTTACACCTGTGTTTATTTCAACCCTGTGTCCTTTGTGGGCAGTGACAGGAAGAGCTAATGAGGGTGAGTGAACAAAGGCAAATGTCGTTGAATGAGGACTTGCACATTGTAGCATGAATGCTTGATTTAAGCCACATGTGTGCAGCAGTAAATGGCACTTAATTTTTGTACTTTTGTCATGTTGATTGCATATATTAAATCCTGATCCACATTCCAATGATCATGCAGTATATTCTTTGCTGGCTCATCAATGTTTTTTTTTCATTAATTTGGATTGATTTTTCATTGATTTAGAAAAAAAGAAGGAACATTGTGTTTTCGTTATATCGATTTTTCATCATTTATATTTTTGATGCAGCTTTGGTATGAGTTTCATTGTTTGAGAGTGTGTAGGAAAATTGATTCAACCAGCAATGTTAAATTTACTCTGTTTTACAGATAACATTAATGATCTAAGCATCTGAAATATTGTGGAAAGTCAGGCTCAAACAGTCTATTACACTCAGAATAAAAGAGAAGGTTATGAGCTACAGTATTCAGAAAATATATTTCCCTCAAGTTGTGTAAAGTATGTTATCAAGAAGTTTTGCTCGGGTGAATTTTGTATGTACGCCATGTGTCTATATTTTAGTGTTAAGTTTACTTATGTTGGATACTACCGCAGTTATTTTCTACCTCTTTGAGTCTCATCCATATTTTTTTTGAAAAATACATCTATTCATTATTGGTATTAATTTCTGTAACATGAAATTGTAAGATAGCCCTAAGAATTCCATGTTTATCAATTTCCTTCCTATTTTTCTTTTGAAATATTACTAGACATAACCAGAATATGAACATGTTTACCACAGTGAAATTACATTTAAGTGATTTTGTTTCACTATATCCTGTAGAAGAGATCACAGCCGATGAATGGGGAAAGTTTCTGCACACCAAGAACAAGGTCTACACTGACTTTGAGGAGATTCGAGAAGAAATTCAAAATGAGACTGATAGAATGGCAGGGACCAACAAGGTAATCATCTTATACTTTTTATACTCCCAGGGAGTGGAGAATGTGCATACATTGTGTGCGGGTAAGCCTGAATCCAATGACCGGGGTAATGTAGAGCGCTTAGACACATTGTTGTACATATCGATGTATTGGGCGCTATATAAAAGCGGAATATTATTATTATTATTCTTTTAAATCATTGAGTTGTTACTTTTGCAATAAAGTCAGGAGATTCTGCATGGTTGAAAACACAACCATAGAAATCGGCATTCATAATACAAATGTGTAAAGAATACATTTTTTCTTTTAAGCAATCATGAGGAATTTTCAAAATACTGTATTTTAAATTGATTGTTTCTTTTAGATTTCAATTTCAACAATTTGAATCTGGAATTGTTATTATTTACCTCACTCTTTCTCTTTACAGGGAATTGTCCATGATGCAATTCACCTTAGAATCTACTCACCCAAGGTTCTTAACTTGACTTTGGTTGATCTGCCAGGACTAACAAAGGTGAGTATAGCTTTATGCATTTATCTAAATCCTTTTAATATTATTGGTTTTCAATTATGACTGATTATACCTTGAAGGTATTGTGGTTGTCATAAACAGAAGATGTGTCTGAAAGTTAGCCCCCCCCCCCCCCCCAACAAACAAAAATAAGAGTTTTGTTGTCCGACTTTTTAGTCACCACTTTCACCATGAAGACTAGGCTTTGAGAATGCCCAAGTTTTCAATGTCACCACAGGTACTGCTAGATTTTTGTAGGGAAGTGTTTCCATTGATTATGAAATTGTTCATGATATGTTGAGTTGATTTAAAAGCTTTGTTGATTTATTCTCCAATGTGTCATAGTGATTTTATATTCATTCTCGTTCTCTGCAACATTGTAATGCTGATGACTACATGTTGTGTGACATTGAAATTCGGATCAGTGAGATGGTTATCAAATACATCGGCAATCCCAATTCCACCATCCTGGCCGTCACGTCTGCCAATACAGACATGGCTACCTCAGAATCTCTCATTACAATTAAACCATGTCTTTTGTTCCTTATAGGTTCCTGTTGGTGACCAACCGGAAGACATTGAAAGTCAGATCAGAGAGATGCTCGTCAAGTACATCGGCAATCCCAATTCCATCATCCTAGCCGTCACGTCTGCCAATACAGACATGGCTACCTCAGAATCTCTCAAGTTAGCCAAGGAGATAGACCCCGACGGCAGGAGGACCTTGGCGGTCATCACCAAGCTTGATCTCATGGATGCTGGCACCGATGCCGTGGATGTACTGTGTGGTAGAGGTAAGAAGGCAGCCATCTAGCTTCTTCCTCCATGCCTACATCATGTCTTGTCATCTGATTTTTCCTGTCTGTTCTACACCCACTCCCCCTTTTTCCTACCCCCTCTCTCTCTCTCTGTCTCTCTCTCTGTCTCTCCCCTCTCTCTCTCTCTCTGTTTCTGTCTCTCTCTCTCTCTGTGTATCTCTCTGTCTCTCCCTGTCTCTCTCTCTCTCTCTCAGTTTGTATCTCTCTCTCTCTCTCTCAATTACCTTCCAAAGTACTTGCACCATGTGCACCTGGTTAGATATCTTGGATATGCAGTTCATCAAACAAAGCAATTTAAGCAGTTTAATATGTGCCCTTTTGGCTGGGCTGGACTACATACATGTTTATGCCTGCTGTACTACCCTTCTATTAGATTTGATTACCTGGTTGTCTCCTTGTATGTGAAAGTGAAAACATAATGATGAATTGATAAACTTATATTAGTCTATAAGACCTTTAGGATAAATGATCTAAGACCATGTACAATGTCTAAGAATCGTCATGTTTGATGGAGAATGCTTTTGTTTCTTTTAACAGTAATTCCAGTCAAACTCGGAATCATTGGAGTAGTCAATAGGAGTCAAATGGACATCAATAACAAAAAGGTGAGTAAAACTTGATTTGAGAAGTCCTATGATTTAGAAATTGGGTGAAATACAAGGTGTATATTATAAGATGGTGCAGATCTGGATGAAAATCTCCTAGGGCAAAAATGTCTTCAATTGTGTACATTGTGTGATTTCATAAACCTAATTGTGCCCAAGACAGCTTCTTTTGTTCTGGCATTTATTACAGCATTATGATAGAAAATGGTTGTTGTACTACTTTTGCACTTGTTTACATTTGTTTGAATTATTCAAAATTCATGTAGGCAATTGAAATCCCATGTTGCCATTTCTTAGTAGGTCATTGAAGATTTGAAATTATCATTAGGATATTTTTATTAAGTGATGCCCATGTTTGTTGTAACTTTCCATAAGTAAGTCTTGGAAAATGTTTTTTTCAACCATGTTTTGAGCATCTTCTCTGATTGTTTGATTAACAGGTCATTGATGATGCTGTGAAGGATGAATCAGCTTTTCTACAGCGGAAGTATCCAGCTCTTGCCAGCAGAAATGGTACTGCTTACCTAGCCAGAACACTCAACAGGGTATGTATCTCAAATATCAGATTTTAATGGACACTAACAAAATTCAGCTAATATGAAATGCTGAGAGAATGTTTGTCATTGCCATGAAGAGAATGTTTGTCATTGCCATGATGTTGTTGACGAGGAGGATACTATAATGACTTCAAATTTTGGCGATATGATTATGATATCTTTGCTGAAAGCGAAATTTGGAAATATTTGAATTCATCAAGCATATGAAGAATTTATTTCCAAACGGAGCTAAATCTACTTTTGAAGAAAAGTGAGTTATTGATTGTTCACTAAAGTACCCCTCTTTCAACAAAAGTATTTACCTTAATTTTGGGAGCAAATATGAAAAAATGCATCTTCTAATATCACTTTTCCATAAATGCCTGTACAAAATGTGGTATACAAATCCATTTTTCTCTGAAGTTACAAAAATGAATTCAGCTCCTTTTTTATTCAAACTCTTCATATTCAGTATCGTATTATCCTTTCATAAATTATTGACACCAAGGATGTTTCTAAATACAAATGCATCTTTCCTTGTAGCTACTGATGCACCATATCAGAGACTGTCTACCAGAGTTGAAGACCAGGGTCAACGTGATGACCTCACAGTTTCAGCAGCTCATGGCTTCGTTTGGTGAACCAGTGGAAGACAAGAGCCAGACCCTGCTACAGATCATCACCAAGTTTGCTTCGGAATACTGCGCAACCATTGAAGGAACCTCAAGGAACATAGAGACATCGGAACTGTAAGTCATTCTCTTTGCTTCTCCCTTTGTATGTAAGTTACGATGATTATATGCTAAAAAACAATACTTCAACCATCTCTTCCATCATATTTTAAAGCAGGACTGCACTAATTGTAGCTATTTGCGCCCTCTATGTAGCCAATAATGCCTATAAAGCGGTACCTGTTGATCCCCCATAGTCCCCTATTTCTTAATTTAATTGAGAGCTGATTTGGTGAGATAACCACCTGCTAAGTGACTAGCAGAGAGGTCTAATCCCTCCTGGTTAAACTAGTGCAGATAGGCTTTAATGATTTCAAATGATTATTTCTTTCTTTTGTTTTGTTTTTAATAATTAAAAAAAAAAAAAAAAAACTTTAACCATTCCATACATACTCCATGAAAACAGTGTAATTTTTGTTTTTTTAGCGTTTAAAATCTTAAGATTTCCTGGTTATATCATGATAATTATTTCTACCATTATCCTAACACTTAAGTTGCAATGTAGAATTTGGTTGAATTTTAGAGTGAGGTAGACAAAATTATAACTAAACTTATAATGGATTTTGTTGTTGTTGTTGTTGTCTTGTCTCTAATTAGATGCGGAGGAGCAAGAATCTGCTACATTTTCCACGAGACATTTGGAAGGACGTTAGACAGTATAGATCCACTCGGAGGACTTAGAACGATAGACATCTTAACTGCCATTCGCAATGCTACGGTAAGTGTATAGAGACATATCATTCCTGTTTGAACTGATGAATCAAATAGTTATGTACTAAATAAAACGGTGTCTCATTTATCTTGCCCTTTCAATTAATATACAGAAGTTGAATTGAGTGAATTCTTTGAAAAAAGGACGACAACAGCTCATAAACATTCACGTTAGCAGTCAAATGACTTGGTTGCTGAGAATAACATATACACTTTACGATATACATAAAAAGGTGACATTATGAATAAAACCTACCTTTATTTCACATTTTTTACAAAAAAACATCATGCAATGGAAAGATTGAGAACACTGCCTTTTAATCTAAATTCAATAAGTGACGGATATGTATATGATAAGTTACCTATCAATTAAATTAAATGCCATAGTGCTAGAGTTATATTGAAGTAAACTGTGTCATGCAGAAACCAGAAACCTCAATGTTGCTGGTTTTTCATATCTGACTATTTCTAATGATTTTGTTCTGAACTTTTACAGGGTCCTAGACCAGCTCTATTTGTTCCTGAAGTATCTTTTGAGCTGCTGTCGAAGAGGCAGATCAGACGACTAGAGGAACCCAGCATGCGTTGCATCGAGCTGGTACATGAAGAGATGCAGCGTATCATAGCACACTGTGGAACGCAAGATCTCTTACGATTCCCAAGGCTCCATGATCGCATTGTAGAAGTTGTAACCACACTGCTCAGGAAGAGACTACCAGCCACAAATGCCATGGTATGAAATAGTTCGTGAAAATGTAGAAAATACTACATACAGGTCTGTGTTTTGGAATGGTCCCAAAATAGATAGTTGTTTTTTAACTTCAATTGTTGTTATGAATTAAGTGATGTTCTAGTATATTGTGCACTACTTTGGCAAACTGTCACCATCATATAATGTTAAAAATATTCTATACAACTTCATGGTAATCTTTCTTTCTCGAGTGTGTGTATTCCTGAGAAGGACTGTTGGTAATCTTTCTTGAGCTTATAGTTCTTAAGAGAACTATAGCGTCGGTAGGAGAGGGGGGGGGGGGGGGGGGCTCTTATAAGCAGTATCTTTAGAATATTTGTTGAAGAAACAAAAATCAATTGTTTACAAACTCTTTGCGAAACAGTGATATAAGGGACAATATGGAAACAATCAGATACATTTTTATTGTTACATCATTTACCCATTTTCTTCTGTGAATGCAGGTTGAAAACATTGTTGGCATAGAGCTGGCGTACATCAACACCAAGCATCCTGACTTTGCTGATGCTAGTCTGGTCAATGTACTTGTAGAGCAGAACGATAGAGAGAACAGCAGGAAATCTACAAGACTTGCAGAATCGGTACCTGAGAATAGAGAGAAGAACGACAAGCAGCCAAAGGTAATTCTTTCCCGCTATCTTTCGCTTTTATGTTATTCTCTTCCTCATTTTCCCTATTCTAATAGGCTCAAGTCACCTTTTTGTAATCTTAAGTACAAGAACAAGTATGCACTGAGTAATTCAGCCATGGTACCCGGTAGTCACTTATATCTCTTTATACAATAATAGGGAAGTTACAGAAATGACACGCTACTTTTGATTTTAACTGAACAAAGAAGATCCATTTTATTCTCTTAACATTTCATCTTCAGTTGCATCTTATACATATTCTGTGTTAAGGATTACTTTAATGACTCACCTGTTGATATATTGGTGAATCAATTAATATTTTTTTTGCAGGATAGTTAAATGATGTACATGCATTTCAAATTTGTGTTTTCCAGATTATCAAATTTATTTATTTCAAGCATAAATCAGGTCAATTTTTTGTATTCATTGTTGGATTGAATAATATCCAAGTTGTCTTTCATCGCTACTTTTGGAACTATATTTAGTGTTGTCGCCAATTTGAGCTATTCTTAATTTGCACAGTTACAGACACCTCAAACCACACCACTCGACGGGGCTCCTCCTAGGTTGGATGGTAAGGAGAGTTCATGGGTTCCTTCATGGGTGAGAGGAAGTGCACCTAACTTGAAGTCTGCCAGCTCAGATAACCTGTCTGCTACCAGTACCCCACCACAGATGAGCAGTCCTAAAGTGGAACGGAAGAGACCAGGCATCAACCTGCTACCTGATGTTGTAAGTAACTTCATCATACTAGTTGGGGCAGGGTGATATGTACCAGAATTCGACCTGATTTATGCTGGAATGCATAATAATAATAATAATAAAAACATTGCTTAAAAAGCACTTACCACCAAAGTCTCTAAGCGCTATAACACAAAAAATAGACTGATAAAAAATTACATATTAAACAAAACAAAACCGTGCAAATAAACCTACAAATTACAATACATATGACATAAACATCAATGTGAACAGGGCAAGTTAATCATCACAAGCAATTTTGAATAAATGTGTCTTAAGACAAATTTTGAATTTGTTAATAGTTTGACAGTTTTTGACATTTAAAGGTAGTTTGTTCCACAGTTCAGCAGAAGTTTTGGAGGCAGTAATGCTACCATATCTGGTTCCATCAGTTTTAGTTGTCTTGTGAAGATGGCTTCAAACGGGAGGGTGTTGTATAAGTTTGACATCTTTCATCATGAAATAGATTCCCATTTAGATATATATGTGACCTTTTCATGAACCAGATCCTTTGTGTATTGATTTTGTAGTGTTGGTATAAGAGGAAATGAAGTTGTACCACATAATCTAGTATTTAGTATTAGTATTTTTGGAGGAAACTGTAATATTACTGTAAAGTTTAGTCTTTAGTGACAGTACTCAATCCTTTGGCAAGAGGCCATTGATACATGTTAGCTGTTGTAGCCATAGCCTTGCTCTACAAACGGATGACTAGCTCTTGGAAATACTTGGCTTGTGGTCCAGCAATCAATACAAGTGGTTAATGTAATTAGTTCAATAATAGAGAAGGACACTTCTTTCCATAGAGTCTGCACTTTGGCATTGGTCATTGGATTTGCTATTCTTTGTGTTCGAGATTTGTAATAACATTCAAGCACATTAATATATGAAGAACAGAAACTTTCACAGCTGAACAGAAGCTACCTTACATTTTTATAGCAATTTTACATTTATCATATTGAATATTTTTGCCAGAGGAAAAAAAAAGTTACTATTGTCATCTGAAATTATATGTATTTTGATGTTTAAGATATGCTTGACATGTTTTCTGTTTGTTTATTTATGTATCCTTCAGCCTGATGTACCAGTTTCTAGGAAACTTTCTTCAAGGGAACAGAGGGATGTGGATGTTATAAGTAAGTGGTAGATGTATAAGCAGTACTCTCTTTTTCTTCTGTAGAAAAAATAAGAAGGCAAGACCATCGTACCTGCATATCCTGGAATAATTAAACAAATATGAATTAATGAAAATGTGGAATATCTCATCTTCTGCATATGATCGTCACATTGCACTTTGTTTTGCTTTTAAGCCACAACAAGTGCAAGAACCATGAGTTGAATTTTCTATGTCTATCCATTAGTCTATATATCCTTGTACATAAATGAGTATGACCATGCAGAGATGAATAGATATTTAGAGGATAAGAACAAGGTCCTTTTTTCTTCTTTGAAACTTGAAGAAAAAGAAGTATCTCAGAAGTAACCAAAACCTCTTTCAGAGATAGGATGGACTTTATTTACCAATAGGTGGTGATTTATGTAAATTTAAAGTTACAAATTAAAATAGCACATGGAATCCTGGAAGTGTAATCGCATGCTACATTGAAAATTACATCCAATAGCTGAGAGATATTGATACAGGAAGTAAAAATGAGTTGGTGTTAATTATTATGTGAAAACAAATAACATTGATATTTGAAATGAACCAAAAACTATGTCAGGGGTCAAATCATATTGATAATGACAATTGGTCTGTGGCCAGAATGTGGATATATAATAAGGAGTCATCATAAATATTTCATCCTGATCTTTCAAGTTCTGACATAAATATTGGTTGAACATAGGAAGATATTAATCTACATTTGCCACTCTCCACCCTGGTGTTAATAGGTACTGGTAGGAAGGAATTCCTTGAATGCTGTGAGCGCCGAAATCGGCTGCCTAGTAGAGCCGGTGTAAAAGTTGGAGTGCCTTGAGCACCATGTATGGTGGATACGTGTGCTATATAAATATCAAATATTATTATTATTATTAATGATTTATCGTCATCTTTCTGATATTTTATTTCAGAGCGACTGATCCAGAGTTACTTCCTGATCGTGCGTAAAAACATCCAGGACAGCGTCCCCAAGTCCATCATGCATTTCTTGGTGAACCACGTACAAGATAACCTTCAGAGTGAGCTGGTTGGACAGCTGTACCGCCAGAAAGAGATTGATACATTGCTCAATGAATCAGAACATATGGCACAGCGAAGGAAAGATGCTCAAGAAATGTTACAAGTAAGTACTTTCCCTCCTGTAAAGTTGATAAGTTAAGCCAACCTATGCCAACTTAGTGTACTCTTTGTATCTCTCGTACTCTCATCAATATTTTGCCAGATAACCTGGCCTCTTTAGGGGTAAGAAACACATCTACACATACTAGTCAATACAGTGTCTAAAAAAGGTTAATTTATTCTCTACATTTATGAGAAGCTGCTGTGTTTCATAGTGAGCGTGTGATACTTATTCTACAACCATCTTTATTCATTTCTCTCCACAGGCTCTTCAGAAGGCAGGTCAAATCATCAGTGAGATCAGAGAAACACACCTGTGGTAGTAGACCTCACCCACAAAGACAACGCAACCACTCATGTAGCCCTATCAATACAAATTATGTAGAAACTGAGAAATGATTATTCAACAAATATGTGAGTTTTCAAATATTCTACTATTATTTATGTTTTCACCGACCTTGATCTCATGCTAACTATATATTCATACCGAGTCAGTACAAAGTATTTCACAAACTTCTGTTACTTCAGAGTGTTTGTTTTTGACATGTCAATCTCAAGTGTGTTATATACATATACTATAGTGAAGATTTTGTCAGGAAAGGTTGATCCTTTGTAAATTTTCATGAGATAAAGGCAGTAGGGTATTAAGAATAACAGTTGGTGTATAGTTCTATCTACTTTATACTAGTTCGGGAACTCATTTATGGTTGCTCTGTCGGTATATTTGATACGTCTGAGCATGTATCACTAATGATATTGGCCATGAGATTTATTATTTGTGAGTGTTGTTAAATGCAGGACACGTGAAATACACTTGGTAATGGCACTTCCCAAGCTTACTCTTCCATGATGCAGAACAACGCTCACACCCCTGTCCCCTGAAAGTGGCGATATGTTTAAACTTAAAACCTCATATCGTTCGGTTTGGGCTGATATGTGATATTATGACAACAGAAACTAATTATTTTGGTCCCATTTTGGGCATTTTGCTAACATTTGAGAAAATTGGGTTTCAGTCACAGTGCATGAGTAATCGCTCTATCTTTAGACATGCAAAAATGAAATGTACAATCTGTTGTAAGACTGTTATTTTGCTAAATTTAGGCAATATGGTGTAGTTGAGTCAACTTAGGGTCATTTATTGGAAACGGGTTGCCACAGTATGAAAGTCATCTTCTAAAGTCATCCAAATAAGTCACTTTATTGTCCCAAACAACAATTTTGAAGATAATTCAAATAGACATTAACCTGCACGGTTGGTATTTCAAAACATTGTTTTTATGTAACTTGAATCTGAAAGTCATGCCAGTGAATCATAGCAGCATTTTGTTGACTACAAATGAATTTCTCCAATGTGGACTACAAAGTTTTATATAATATTTATTTTATACTTCAGAAATGCATATGTGGTCAAGTAGAGACTGCAGTAATGCAGTTGCTTGCCATGCCCTGTTAGTGTATATGGTTTGGCTATATTAAAAAAGGTTTTTCTTTATCCTTATCATTTTGTGATATTTTTTGCAGTTTCAAATGATGAAAGAAGATTATCTATATCATATAATTCTTTTCCATCATACAACTACACTCTCATAGTGAATATCCTGTTGCTCTCTATAAACTCCCGTTGTATTTCTTATACATTTATTTTAATTGTAATTGTTGAAATACTAAGTACTTCATATGATAGTACTGCTGTGTAATAATCCAATTAACAGAAATATATATTATTTTATATGTCCATGTGTTTATGCATGGTGTAATGGTTCTTTACCTATTTGTTTTTGTTTTTCCTTATTCCAAATTTTGCTATGCAATTCCCTTTAGTTCAATTCTAAATCGTATAACTAATGTTTGATTCTCTTATTTATTTGTTAGCGGTCCCTTCTGTATACTTCTTGTGTTATATGATCTAAGAAGTATTGGAAATGAGTACCTTAGATAGATGCATGACTACTAGATATGTAGTGCCCAGTCATGTACCCCGTTAACCCACTAAGGCAAGCAGACATATACAACAAACATTTGCTGTGCATATCAAATGGCATATAACATTATCTAACTTAATATTTTCTATAACTCACCTTTTGCAAATACATGTATACATTCAAGAGTTTATTTTGTATTTTTGTTGCAAGTATTTCATTCATTACACAAAGTAAATTGAATGCCGCATTAGAGATTGATACTACATTATGACATCTCTATTTGATTGCCAGTAAAATTAATAATGTAAACGATAACTCTGTAATTGTGGGATGATCTAATTTTTAAGTTAATTTATTAATCTGATATTTGTGCATTGTGCTTGTATGCTATATTGTATCATGCACTCAAGTGCAATGGTAGTGATAATGTTAAAGTTGGGTATAGATTTTGAAGGTGTATAATAGTGATATATATTACAACGATGTGTATGTTACTTGAAGGGGCCATGATGGTGTAAATATGAGAATTGAAATATTCATTCATAATATGATACTTTGACTAGGTAAACACATTTTTGTTTCATATAGAGCATGTATAATATCATAGGTATAAATACATGTACCGGTAGATGCAAAGTGCTTAACTGGATTTTTTTTGTTATTGTCTCTTCTTTTTCTTTCTTTTTTGTTGTCAAATATGTAAAGTTTTGAATGTTTATTTTGTGTTTTGTTTTTCATTATCGACTGTTGCCAATTAGCATTGATAATTAAATGTTTCATTTCAGAGGACATTTAAGTACATGCCCCCCCCCCCCCCCACAGAAAAAAAAATGATGTCAAAATGCTCTTTCATGAGCTTTAGTTGTTTTGTGCAATTACTTTATGGGGAATACAAAAAAGGTTGTCTCTTTGGGAGGGGGGGGGGTGTAATGGATTTTTTTTTTGTAGATTGTGTCTTTCAGTGGCTTGCAGGATTTTATTTTAGAATTTGTTCATCAAATAAATATTAAACCTTATTTGATGTGTAAGCATGAAATTAGTAGAGTGTTGAATGAATTATTCTTTTCAGATAACAGTGGTAAATTAAAAAAAAAAGTGTCTGTCAAAATAACAAGCCGTCATATAAAGTGGCAGGCACACATTCGGTCTTAACCTCGAATACGAAGGCAATTAAGGGACTGAGAAAACTATATTGACAGGTGCAATATATATTTTTAAATTGTTACCTGTAGTTTTATCATTCTCTGTAATGAATAAAAGTTACATTAATTTTTCTTCTTCAAAGCTCTGCATTTCTTGAAGTTTCTAAATTAACCTTCCCATTTTAATAGTTTTCCTCACCGATACATTATTAAATAAAGTCAAAACCTGTCCAGGTGCTCTTTTTTATATACCAATTGTAAATAAAAGACTGAAATTGCCCACTGTATGTGTGCTGGGGAAAATATCAATTGCCCCCCTCACTAATTTTTATTTTGAGGGATCTAGATGTATTGCACCTTCTCTTCAGCAAGAATTATCCTCATTCTCTATGGCACTTACTATTTACAATTTACCTTTAGTTTTCAAATTTTTGAGGAGCAGTAGATGATCCATCCCTCTCAATTTTAGGATAAATCTATTGACATTTCAATCTGATGAGTAGAATACATTTCAAGTATCTGTAACTACTGTTGCAACGGATATGTGGGTTTTGTTTTATATTTCCGTGGCTATGCCATGATTGCTTGTAATGCTGAGTAATCTTTCAATTATTGGTTAGGGTTAATTTAATTGTTATTATTTTTTTAATTATACATGTATGTTTGTGATGGTAACCTATGTAAAAGGCTGCATTGTCACAGATGCTTCCATTAAATGTTAATATGGGTTTTTTCTGGGACAGTGGCACTGGCTCATGCAGATGATATATGAATATGTAGTGAAAACAAAATAATTGCAGTATTTTAATAACATGACTGAAGACATTTATTGTAAAAATGTATGAGCATTACTGCAAACACAAGCTGTTTTGAAATGTGGACGTGAAAAAAAATGATATATTCGAAATATATGAAACTTGACTTGCAACCATATTTGAAATTGTTGTTGATTGTGTTTAATTTGTTATTTGTCATTGTGGTGATCACATGTGTAACATAATTATGTTCAGCATTTGTGATTTTTGAGTAAAGTACAATATCAATGTAGATAAATAGAAAAGAGCAACAAAAACAAAATACAGGTGCCAAGTCCATGCCTGTTTTGAAAAATGTCGGACAAGCCCAAAATGGTTGAAAATTATCAATCTTTCCCAAATGTTGCAAGGGGGTATCATTATTCTAAAGCATGAACCGCTTATGAACGCAATTGCCATGCTTTGTTCATAATATTCCTGTCTGGGGATGTAGAACACTGAATTACAAAGAAAATCAAACAAATCATCAACATAATGAAGACAAAATGTGTGTTTATATTTGTTTTACGATTCCTCATCGTTTGCAATTGAATTTTCCCTCTGTTAAAAGTTTCAAATTCCAGCTGAAGAGAAAGATAAATTAAATCCATTTTCTCTATTTCTACCGACCAATAAGGCAAAAGAAAACATGAAGAATATACTAAGGGTGGTAGCCGTCTTGTAATGCAAAACTACCTAAGTATCAATCTTAAAAGAAAGCTCGCCAAACAGGTGATATTTCCCGCTCTCTATGATGATGATGCCTTTGATCAGACGACATCAAGCATCGCCTTGAGGTTCCTCCGATCACCAAGCAACCCATATCGATCACACCTGGTCCTTTGCAGAGCCTCTAGACGAGTTGACAAAGAGTCTAGAGCTCAAAGCAAGACTTTTGGAGAGCCAGAGAGGAATAATGAAAGAGGCAGGTGTAAAAGGATGCATCACTTGATTTTGTTCTCTCAAATTCAATAATCGGTAGAGGTATATTATGAAATATCTTGAATTAATTTTTATTCATACTTATTTCCGTTTTCTCATTTGCTTCTCCGTCCTCTCCGCATTCGCTACAAAAGTTGCATTCTCACTTTTTCTTTCTTTGTTTCTTCATACTTCCTGTTTGCGCCTTCCAAATTATTTCCTTCTTGATGTACAATATCATTATGACAACGTACTCACGAACTCAAGTTTTCGAGTTAGTTTGAAAGTTAATTGCACCATATTCGAGTTTACTGTGTGAATGATATACAGCAGTATGAAATGAAGAGTTGATTTGTTATTCTCAAAATAAGATATCAGTAAAACTTCAACTTAGTATTTATTGTCCATTTCTGGATATTTGATTTTCACTGGTGTCACATTATACAGATTAACATTTACTAATGTATTTACAAAAATGTAGACATTAACAGTGAATACACAAGGTTTAACATATGATTAAGCACAGATTAACAGAGGATCGAATGTTGTTTTATAAACACTTATTCAGAACCAATATTAACCAGTAAATTGGATTGATTAAACGGCCATTTATGTAAACAATCAATATAGGTGAATGATAGGTAATGAAACAAGAGAAAGAAAAAGGTTAGGATGAAAGTTTTGAACCAAAATATGGAAAGGACAGAGAAGCAAAGTGAGGAAACGGAAATCGAATGAATAAATTTAATTCCAGACAGCTCATTATCATTAGGACGTCTCCTGCTTATTGAATGTGAGGGTTCTAAAACACGGCTCATAAATAATCTTCCAATAACGATGTGTTTGTAAGCTACGTACACCTTCTCACAAGTTCAGTTGCGAAGGTTATAGATTAGTCAACCAACTTACCACCACCTGCAAAAATATAAACAAAGCAGATCGTCATAGAAACTGGCGGTCTTCTTCTCTTTCTTCATCCTCTCACTCTCTCTTCCTCCCCTCCCCCTCTCTCTCTCTCTCTCCCTCTCTCTCTCTCTCTCTCTCTCTCTCTCTCTCTCTCTCTCTCTCTCTCACTGCCCTTTCTAATTATCTTGTCTCTGTATACGATCTCTCTATCTCCTCTCTATCGCATCCTCAATGCCTCTTTCACGCCCTATATATCTTTCGTCTGAGTCCCCTCCTTCTCTCTCTCTCTCTCTCTCTCTTCTATCTCTCTTCTCTTTCTCTCTCTATTTCTCTCTCTCTCTCACTCAGGCTCTCTCTCTCTCTCTCTCTCTCTCTCTCTCTCTCTCTCTCTCTCTCTCTCTCTCTCTCTCTCTCTCTTATGATCTCATCTGCATCCACCGTACGTACAAACCTCTTCTCTACTCCCAGTCAATGAATTTCCCGCCTGTCTCTGTCTCGCCCCTCCTCCCATCTGCTCCTCTCCTCTCTGCACGAATTGATGACAGTTTCCGAATATCGTTTTAAAAATTCATGCGATGCCAGCCAACATCTCTATTCTGAGTTACACTTCAATCACGATTGACGTCTAAGGATTAACAAGTGACACATCTGTATCTTGCGAAATAGACGTCTACTAGCTCTCGATCTTATCTCAGTACAAGTTTGATGGAACTTCATTCTTAAACGGTATATTTTTACAGTCATAGAACAAGTATTTAAAAATATCTTGTGCGATGAATTCTTCATTGGATACTGCTGTAGAGCCTTCGACCGGAAAGCATCTAATATGGGTCAACAAAAATATGATGGAACCGATCTACAGGAAGGTAAAGTGAATACATCAATATTACATATTTTGTAATTTGAAAGGTTCATAACATTTTTTATCACCCGGCACGCCCGTACCATTGCAAAACTAATAGAATCAGGCTCAACCGAGAATATCTCCTGTTTTCTTAAATCATGACACGTATTCTTCATATTTTAAGCAATTGGTATTTAGATTATAGACCAGACAGAAGTCATATTTCTGTCTCTCAAAAAAAGACGAAAGAAAAAAAGAACGATACAGTAGATATGTCTTGACCGCAACTTTGTCTACTTTTTCAGTTGCAGGTCGCTCGTCTCGGAACGATTTTTTTTATTGTCCGATGCCTCCCGCGGACTTCTTTGCTCATCAGAGATTATAGAGAAAAATTAAGTTACATTTGTGAAACATTATTATAGTATGCTTGTCAGAGATTTGTTTGACCTGTGTCTTTCTCACTAAGTATTGGTTTCACCCAAGTTGCATGTGCCCCCCCCAACACTCAATCGAGCATCGCCCCTTTAATGATAATATTGGAGGGATTCAAACTGGAAAAGAATTTAAATAAGATTCTTTATCTGTTTTTAGTATCGGCATCATTTAGGATAAGATAATTGGATGATTAATTGACATGCAGTTTGCAGAAGAATAAATCATTATTTTCCTCTTCTTCCTTCTCCTCCTCCTCCTCCTCCTCCTTTTCTCCTTCTCCTTCTCCTTCTTCTTTTTCTTCTTGTACGTATTATCATTTCTATCATCAGTTTAATGATGTTTTTTTTCCATATCATCATTATGATCTTTAATAAGTTTTTTTTTCTGGCTGTAAATATTACTATTTTAATTTATTTATTTTGTACATTTATGTCTGGTACCCCACTGGAAATAAGCTCTCGAGCTTTCGTGGATTATCCTGTTCAACTGATATGTTATTCTTGCATTTTGTTGTATGTTGGAAGCTTGGCGAATAAAAATCAATTAATAAATTAATCGGGGACATTTATTTGCGCCGATTCGACGTGGATAAGAGTTGGCGCTATTCACAAAAGTAGAAAGTTCGGAAAAGTTTTCCAAAACAGCTGATTGAGCGTTCCCAGCAACCGACGCGACGGTCATAGCTGCGCTGGCGACCACCATCAGGAATGCCGATCATGTATGCTGAGCTGTGAAGTTTGTCAAATTTAGAACAGTTTACCCTCAGTTCAGAGAGTTTGGAATACTTTCGAACGCTCAACAATGTTTAAGGGAAATCGGCCCATGATTTATGGTTAGATGGACGTGCTACCGCATTTCAAAACCAATCAATAATGTCCGATTCAAAACCAGCCAGACGTCACGCCTGTAGGCATAACCACGGAGAGTCCACCCGCTCTACCGGGGCGGTGGTGAGGCCTAGGTGGCTTACGGCTTCTGCCTCCACGACCACGGGCGTGGGCACCGCTGGTATACGACGAAGCAATAATGAATATGATATTATTAACAAAGTGGTAAGTTTTAAATCTTGGTACCAATATGATGACACCTTTGAATAACCCTGTATGTTGGAGGGTTGGGTGTCTGGACACTTACCATGCTTACAAACGTAAACTTAATTCTTCTCTTTTGGCTTTTCACTAATTTTTAGTGAGTGCCTTTGCTTTGGATTTCATGAAAAAAATATTCATCAAAATACTGAAATAGCACCAATTCACCAATCATTATCATGAATCGTTTGTAATTGATATTGCCCAATATAAATCTTAACAAATTTATGAAAATTGCTATTTAAGATAAATTGTTTGGATATACAAACTCTCCGGACATTGGGTTTATTCAGAGATTTTTTATTTTAAAAAGATAAATAATTAATGAACAAGTTTGTGCCCTAGCCCATGACAAGTGTTGATGGTTGATGATGGCATTTTTTCTGAGGAGGGGGGGGGGGGGTACTTTTAAAATGTCTTTAATACTTTCAACCAACAAAAGGTCAAAAATCACTTCTCTGAATTATATCAACTACAGGAAAGATGTATTGGTTATGATGACTTATGGATGGTCTTATTAAATGACTTTCCACATAATATGCATTTGCTCTACATTGTAATACCATTATTAATGTTACTGTCAGTCTGTACGTCGGCCCATATAAACATTATATGGCAGTTCTTTGACTTGAGGTCGAGACTGTTCAATTGATACAATTTGTTCACAATGGAGCTTACACATCACATGTAACGATATCCAACCTTTTCTTCAATTCTTGTAGTGTGTCTGTGATGTTTTGATGTTTTGATCTACTGCAATTAAATTACATTTTGAAACATGCAAAGATATTTGAAATAGATCTGACTACAATGCAGGATAACATTTTCAATAAATGTAGATCTAGACAATTCTTGAATATTTTGTTTTGGAGGAAATGCTTCTTTGAATGTTAACAAAATATAGTTGGTCATGTTTCATTTCACCCCCCCCCCCCCCATGGTCAC